ATATTTATGCGGAAACTCCCGCACCGGAAAACGTAAGCAGAACGCTTGCCAAGCAAGCACGAGGTCATCGGAAATACGCCCCCCCCCCCTCGGCGGCGCCAGAGGCCGAGGCATTAAATCTGGCACATCATACACAAAGACCTTCGCACTTTGCACCCAAATAGTGTATGAGCACCAAGGAACCAGCCGCACCCGTTCCCCGTAAAGAGATCCCAATACTGACGTGCAGGCAACTCTACCCCCTTCGCCGTTATAAAAAAAAAAAAACTGACCGGCCCCTCCCCCGCAGGGGATGGGGGGGGGTACCAAAGGGGACGCAAGCACATCGGGTGTCCAGCCATCGGGCACAGGAGCCGAGGCCTCCCTGGCGAACATCCTTCCGTAAAACCATCACAAGGTCCCGATCCGCAGCATCCACCTCAATGGGAGGTACAATCCCCTACAGCAGGGAGCCCACCACAGGAGAGACACAGGGGAAAGGGGGGACACAGGAACGAACACGGAGCTCACCACCATCCGCTGCGTGGACCTCCGCTATCACTAATACCATGGGCCACCACGTCCTCAGGAGCCGACTCACAACTCTGAAACTCCCCCACATCCGCCCAGGCCGCGTCCGCCGAGACCACAACAGGGAAAGAGCCGCAGGCACTTAGGATCGGGCAGGAATCGTCCGAGCTGTCCACTTTTCCAGAAGCTGAGACACTAGAGACGCTGGGAGTCCGGACCCGGGCACGCCGCAGGATCTCGGCAGCAGCAATGACATGGGGAAATCGGCCCAATCCCAGCAGGAGGCCTGGAACTCACACCTTCCTGCAGCCCAGGCGACAAGGGCGGTGGAGGACGCAAAGACAGGGGGTCACAGGAGAACCGGACGAAACATCCATAGAAGACGGAGGTAGAGACACGGCCTCCGACCGGGCCGCACCCGCACCAGCATCACCACCAACAGACACCGAACACACCTGGCAACTGCACAGCATCCGGCGCCCGAACCCCATCAGCGCAGGCGCTAAATACTATATCTGGCGAAGTCACGACATCCACGGGCACTTGCACAGCCCCACGCGCTGGACCCTTGTCGACAACCAGCAGCGGGAAATCCTCTTCACGAAAGCGATTGGCTCTCTCGACGATTGCCGTCTAGCAGTCAGCAGCCATGTGGCCCGAGAATCCACATCGAAAGCACGTGCAAGGCGGCCGTGCATAGTACACACGGATGTAAAAGCCCATAAGTTTCACAGAAGACCGGATGTCGGAATGCAGCCACATCCCCAGAGTCTGGATACTATTCCATATGCCCTGTAACTGCCCAGAAGAAATCATATTCATCCGCATACTCACAACAGTGCCAAACTGCCCGAAGTATCAGTTCAATAGTGCCTCCGGGAATTCAAAAGGCGCACCATGGATACTGACGCATGTGAGGGCACCACTCTGATCGGAGATAACCACCGAACCAGCACCGTCCGGCAGTAGAAACGACCGCCCCTCAAAGGGGCTCAAAAACACCCGATAATCCTTGGCGGCAGCAAATTTCACCACTGCTCGATATGAAGAGCAGTGGCACATCCATGGTGCCATGCCATGGATGACATCACGTCCACATCCAGTACCTCACAGAACACCAGCTCCACGGCAGGGTAGTCAGCCTTACCAAACAACCTCACCCCACGACGGCCAGTGCACAACTCCCATTTACAGGGTTGTGGTCCGAACTAAAGTTCGCTTCAGCGAAGAACTTGTTCCGGAAGTATTCGGACGTCATCAGTTGTGACGAGTCGTGTTAACCGTTTTTCATTCATAAACAGGGGGTTTGGCAGGTACATGGAATGGACTCTGGCCTTTGTTTAAGAGGACGGGCTGCAGTGGGTAGGGCTGGCAACACTCACCAGTGTTTCAGGTTGTGGAGGCCAGCGTGCGGGGTTGGCAACACTCACCAGTGTTGTTGTGTTGCAGGTGGTGGAGGCCAGCGGGTGGGGCTGGCAACACTTCAGCATGAGGACTGAGGGCACCTCTGGGCACTTGTATGCTGGGAGGACCCTGGACTATGAGGACGCTGCCCAGCGGCGAGGCTTCCGCTTCATGGTGCAGGTCACGGACAGGGTGAGTCACGGGCTGCATGGTGCAGGTCACGGACAGGGTGAGTCACGGGCTGCATGGTGCAGGTCACGGACAGGGTGAGTCACGGGCTGCATGGTGCAGGTCACGGACAGGGTGAGTCACGGGCTGCATGGTGCAGGTCACGGACAGGGTGAGTCACGGGCTGCATGGTGCAGGTCACGGACAGGGTGAGTCACGGGCTGCATGGGGCAGGTCACGGACAGGGTGAGTCACGGGCTGCATGGTGCAGGTCACGGACAGGGTGAGTCACGGGCTGCATGGGTGCAGGACACGGACAGGGTGAGTCACGTGCTGCATGGTGCAGGTCACGGACAGGGTGAGTTACCCAATCAAAAACATATGAACCTACCTTGTGGAACCAATATATAGAAAACGTCAATTTATTCACTTTCGCTCGGTAACGACGCAGCATTGCGTCGGCGGCGGCTTCGGGAGGGGCGCGCCACGGTTTTGGATATTATATGCATATACTCCTGTAGGGAATTGCATTGGAATACATTGATACCAAAATGAAAGACCAAGGACCAGATTTGAGGCAACAAAGTTGAAAAGAGTATACCCATTTTATTAGCAACACTCACTGGGCTTAGGATCCGTCACTTTCTCTGTTTCCTGTGGGTGGTACGCCTGGCTTTTGGACTTTATATTTGCATATACTCCTGTAGAGAATTCTATTGCGAACACAATGTTACCAAAATGAAAGACCTAGGACGAGAATTGAGATGTCCAAAGTGAAGAGAGTGTACACATTTTATTGCGTTTGCGCGCTTCTGGGTAATACGCTCTTACTTTCTCACTTTCTCGCTGGGCTTTTGGGCTTTATATACATTTAGTCTTGTAGAGAATTCTATTGCGAATATTGCTATAACTAATATATATATATATATATATATATATATATATATATATATATATATATATATGTGTGTGTGTGTGTGTGTGTGTGTGTGTGTGTGTGTGTGTGTGTGTGTGTGTGTGTGTGTGTGTGTGTGTGTGTGTGTGTGTGTATCACGAAAATAAACACGTGATTAAAAAGTGACAGTGTCAGACCACGGAGGAAAATTGAAACAGGAATTTCCTTAAGTACTTTCGTATATTAATACATCTTCAGAAGGAGTCACTCCTTCAGAGGCGTGTGGAGCCTCTATAGTGCAGCAATATGTATCAGAGGGGTGTGGAGCCTCTATAGTGACCTCTCGTGAAGGTTGAGAAGCGCTGCTCCAGTGGATGAGAACGAATGGGAGGATTTGAATTCGTCTCTGGGCACCACTTTGTCCGTTTAGAAAGCGTTGAACCAATAGTAAGTTCCGAAATTAGGCAGCCGGCAAGTTTTTTACTAAATACATTTTTCGCGCACCAGACGGGTTTAGGGTCAGATATGTGATATTTAACATTTTTAGAAACATTTATTTTTCTTTAGCAAATATTGAAAATAAATTTTGTAATCAGTATATACCTTGAGGCGACCTTCCTTCCTTTTAGGTCGCCCTAAAATTTTAAGGATGGTTGGCATCTTTAAAATTCAATACACGAGACTGCTGCACTACTAGTTCACTCTGCCCCCCTTCCCCCCCCTCATAAAATATTAATGATCACTGAGTCAACACAAAGTTATTTATTTTGCTCGATGACTTTCCGAGATAATATTTACCGTTTGAAATAATGGTTCATAGCATTGTACCGAATTAAATGCAATTATTTGTTTATTGAATGTTACATCATAATTTTGCAAGATGAAATCCATCTGCCTTGTAGCCGTGTGTATGTGATTAAGAACACACATGCATACGAGTACATGTATATGTTGCTATAGTAAGCGAACAATGCGGTCCATCGAAACGTTATGTATTATATATATATATATATATATATATATATATATATACATGAAAATGTTATATAAATATAATTTTTACCTATTTTATAAATTTTGATTGTTGGTGGTGGTGGTGGTGGTGGTACTCATCTATGTGTGATTCAGCTCCTGGGTCCCGCTTATCGGTCGTCTATTGCAATGGGTCCTGAGCCTTGCTTGTTGTCGTGCCTCCTCAGGAAGCTGTGTATGGGGGGTTTGGTTCAACTACTTCCCCCCCCGCCCCTTCCCCCTTCAGCGCCTTCCACTGAAGAGGTGCTTAATAACAACTTTATAACTCATTCCAGTGCCTAGTTTCCAGCCGGGCACTTTGGTCATGTTGAGCTGCGACGGTACTGTTTCCATCAAGTCCCTCCTGCCAGGGGTGACGACCTGCCAGGGGTGACGACCCACCGTAGGGTGCGTCGTCCTCCTGACGTAGCCCACTATACTGCTCTAGTAATGTGTGTGGAGGTTTACTAACACCTTTTAAGGTTTGCAGATTTGTCCTTGTCAAATATTTCTTTCCGGCTTGGAGTTATATATTTTTTATGGATTCTAGTTCTTAATAGATTATAGTTCTTGATGGATTATAGTTCTTGTATTGTTCTGTGTCGTGTTATCTATTCCACTTTTATTTCTTTTGTGTGTGTTTTGTTTTTTTCTCTTCTTGCGCGATCTGTTTGCTTGAACGTGTGTTACAATATGTTTTAGTGTGGCGGGAAGACCAACTAACGCCAGTGGTACAGGCCACCGTGGAAATCTGGTGCTCTATGATGTAGTCACTTAGAGGCGCCATATTGTAAGTGGCGAGACTCGTGCCGTTAGTGTTTAGTGAGGAAGTTGTCGGGGCGAACATGTACGCTCACGGTAATGGAACTCCGATCATGCAAATGTTCGCCCTAACTCTGCATTCAACCGGAGAGTCTGGCACGGGTGCCTTAGCAACACTAGTGGTGGTGGTGAGCCGGGTGTGGTGGTGGTGGTGGAGGGCCGGGTGTGGTGGTGGTGGTGGAGGGCCGGGTGTGGTGGTGGTGGTGGAGGGCCGGGTGTGGTGGTGGTGGTGGAGGGCCGGGTGTGGTGGTGGTGGTGGAGGGCCGGGTGTGGTGGTGGTGGTGAGCCGGGTGTGGTGGTGGTGGTGGAGGGCCGGGTGTGGTGGTGCTGTAGGGCCGGGTGTGGTGGTGATGGAGGGCCACATGTGGGAAAAGGGGTAACCAATTCACCTGGGAGAGCGAACAGTTGAATACTCCCCTAGAACCAGGGGAGGACTGCAGCTTGTATGACCCCCTAGGCCTGGGTGAGGTTATAGAGGCTAGTGTGACCCCTAGGCCTGAGGCTATAGAGGCTAGTGTGATCCCTAGGCCTGGGTGAGGTTATAGAGGCTAGTGTGACCCCTAGGCCTGGGTGAGGCTATAGAGGCTAGTGTGACCCCTAGGCCTGGGTGAGGCTATAGAGGCTAGTGTGACCCCTAGGCCTGGGTGAGGTTATAGAGGCTAGTGTGACCCCTAGGCCTGGGTGAGGTTATAGAGGCTAGTGTGACCCCTAGGCCTGGGTGAGGCTATAGAAGCTAGTGTGACCCCTAGGCCTGGGTGAGGCTATAGAAGCTAGTGTGACCCCTAGGCCTGGGTGAGGCTATAGAGGCTAGTGTGAGTTTAGACCCCCAAGGAAGGACTAGACAGGTGGGGTTAAGAGGGAGGGGGAAGGTAAAAGGTTTGTGTCAAAGACTACCAATGTCACGAAGTTCATGAACCAAGACGGCGTACCCATCTCTAAGAGTTAAGATAGGGGCAGAAAGAGCCCATCTTCGACAAGCCGCGTCTGGAGGTCAGGAGCCAAGGAGTCCCACCTCCAACCCACCCCACCCTACGCCTCCCACCGTCGTTGTAATAACAGTTTGCATATCTTGGTGTAATCTCGAATGGACTCAGTTCTATACGGTCATATTATGTAAATACGGCAGTGGTGTTGGGGGTGGAGTGTGGTGGCAATACCTACTGGAGACCCCGGGAGTGACGCCATGAAGGCCAAGGGTGGGGTTTATATTTAATATGTCAACCCGTTCTCGCAAATTCGTAAAGTCAATATTGACTTATTAACTACGTGCATAGGTGATATACTAAACATAATAGATACCCTTAAAAAGCTTCATAGAAAACACCGACCTTACCTAACCTTGTTAGTATGTTAAGATTAGCATCTTATTGCTTCGTAATTACAATTGTTACTTAACCTATTATAGGTATAGGTTAAGTAATAATTGTAATTAAGAAGCAATAAGATGCTAATCTTAACATACTAACAAGGTTAGGTAAGGTCGGTGTTTTCTATGAAGCTTTTTAAGGGTATCTATTATGTTTAGTATGTCACCTATGCACTTATTTAATAAGTCAATATTGACTTTACGAATTTGCGAGAACGGGTTGAATATGTACACGGACCTCCAAGATTGTCCAGGGCATGGTGATGGCGCCGTGGTGTCCGGTGCCAGGATGCCAGCATCTGCTTCTCCTCTTCCTCGTGTGAAGGGGGCCAGGATGGTGGCCAGGTTGGTGCACCCTGCTCAACCAGGATGTGAAGGGAAATAGCCCTTCGCTTGAAAAGACGATATTTAAGGTTGTATGTGTGCGCGTGCGTCCGCGCGCACCTTCAAGGGCACGAAGTAATAACTCTTTGGGTGATGTTTTCACAGTCGAGTTTCCGGTACATTTTTGCTCACAATTTTGTTTGATTTTATCGAATATTGTCTTAAGATTTTTTACTATATTTCTTGGTCTTCCGCCGTCTTTTAGAGTGTCCATGAGGGAAACACTTGGAATGGCACTAGTGGATATATCTATTTCCTTATTTGCCTGTCGCACATTTGGGTCGATTTCCTCTGTCTTTCTGGATTTTGTGTTGACTTTTGCTGGTGAATGATCACTACAGTGTGTAGGAGAGGGTGTTGATGGAGTTGATGTAATTATCTAAGTGAAATTACCAAAGTGTAGTTACAGGATGAGAGCTACGCTCGTGGTGTCCCGTCTTCCCAGCACTCTTTGTCATATAACGCTTTGAAACTACTGACGGTCTTGGCCTCCACCACCTTCTCACCTAACTTGTTCCAACCGTCTACCACTTCACTACCACACATGTGGGTGTGAGGTGAGGTCCCCTGTCTGTCTGTAGTCTGTGGGGAGGTTGTCAGATTGTAGGGTGTCCCCAGTGGGATGTTGTCGATAATTAGTCCGTTATTTGTGGTGTGTGTGGGGAGGGGGGCGGGGAGTGGGAAGGGGGGAGGGAGGGGCCGCGTCTGTGGCATTCATGTCAAAAATAATAATAATAATAAACACCAGTCAAATTCATGCGCAGCAGCCTTTTCACTTTTATTTGCTGTATTGGTTAAAACAAAACTCGTCGTTTCAATGTAAACTCTCATTAACAGTAATTTCTACCATGGCCACATCCATCAGGAATACGAACACGCGCACGCACACCCACCCACCCACCCACCCACCCACACACACACACACACACACACACACACACACACACACACACACACACACACACACACACACACACACACACACACACACACACACACACACTGAGAACTGAGGTAGTCTACAACCGAGAACTGAGGTAGTCTACAACCGAGAACTGAGGTAGTCTACAACCGAGAACTGAGGTAATCTACAACCGGGAACTGAGGTAGTCTACAACCGAGAACCTAGGTAGCCTACAACCGGGAACTGAGGTACTCTACAACCGGGAACTGAGGTAGTCTATAACCGAGAACCTAGGTAGCCTACAACCGGGAACTGAGGTAGTCTACAACCGGGAACTGAGGTAGTCTACAACTGAGAACTGAGGTAGTCTACAACCGGGAACTGAGGTAGTCTACAACCGAGAAGTGAGGTAGTCTACAACCGGGAACTGAGGTAGTCTACAACTGAGAACTGAGGTAGTCTACAACCGAGAACTGAGGTAGTCTACAACCGGGAACTGAGGTAGTCTACAACCGGGAACTGAGGTAGTCTACAACTGAGAACTGAGGTAGTCTACAACTGAGAACTGAGGTAGTCTACAACCGAGAACCGAGGTAGCCTACAACCGGGAACTGAGGTAGTCTACAACCGAGAACCGAGGTAGCCTACAACCGGGAACTGAGGTAGTCTACAACCGGGAACTGAGGTAGTCTACAACTGAGAACTGAGGTAGTCTACAACCGGGAACTGAGGTAGTCTACAACCGAGAACTGAGGTAGTCTACAACCGAGAACTGAGGTAGTCTACAACCGGGAACTGAGGTAGTCTATAACCGAGAACCTAGGTAGCCTACAACCGGGAACTGAGGTAGTCTACAACCGGGAACTGAGGTAGTCTATAACCGAGAACCTAGGTAGCCTACAACCGGGAACTGAGGTAGTCTACAACCGGGAACTGAGGTAGTCTACAACTGAGAACTGAGGTAGTCTACAACCGGGAACTGAGGTAGTCTACAACCGAGAAGTGAGGTAGTCTACAACCGAGATAAGGTAGCTTATACCTTAGTACAACCTTCTGGGATAGTTACGTATATTAACATATTTTCCATTTTCTTAGCAATTTCTTTTCCACGCTGCTCTACATTCCGTGTGGCAATGTTTAACATTGTAAATTCTCACCATAAGATTATTTTCATTTTTCGGAATATGAAAAAAAAAAATTGCACATTGCTATTTTTTTTTTATTGTTAGTAAATCAGGCGTCAAAATTAAATTTCTGTAAAGTTACAACGCTTTTCAAGAGGAAATCATTTACTTTTTTTTTTTTAGTTAGTTTTTGATGATACATTTTGAACAATTATACTGATCTTAATTTTGTAAAGTTTTTTCTTTGTGTATATAGATTGGTTTAGTCTTATATTATATTCCTGAAGATGATGGGAGTAATACATTGACACGTTGGCATAAATTGAACACACCATTGGTGTTGTAGTTGCCCCTAACCGAGCAACAACAACACAGTGTTGGTGCTGTAGCTGGCCCTAACCCAATAATAGTATCGTTGGTGCTGCAGCTGCCCCAAACCCGATAACAACAACAACATACTGTTGGTGCATTCTTTTAATCATTACTTATACTGTTAGTACTGTATCTGCCCCAAATTATTAACAATAACAGAACACTTGTTTTCGCTAATAGCAAAATATTTTCCAACAAGAAATGCACTTCTCATACAGGAAAGGTTCACTATAGTATGATCTCAAATCTCAAAAGCTTCATAGAAGATTGTAACAGAACCCATGAGCACTACACCAGAAATAAATACAGTTTTGATATTCCTAGAGTTCGACTTAATCAGACTAGAAATGCTCTACAAATCAACGGGCCCAGAATGTGGAATGACCTTCCCAACCATGTTAAAGACTGTACCTCTCTCAACCAGTTTAAGATAAAAACGAAGCTATACCTAATAAATTCCCTGTAACCTACCTTACCCTTCTATTGTCAACCAATGTCTGTTTTTTTTTTAAAGAGCGCTGTTTGTCGACATAATTGTATTTGTGCTGCTTTTTCAGCTATGTTTTCATTTCTTGTTTTCATTCTACTCATTATGCTCAATTAGTATTAAGCTTGTCATTTAAGTTTTTCATGCCCGAAACGCTTTGCGTAATAGTGGCTTTAGGCATTGTATGTACTAGCTCTACCTATAAGTCAACCAATCTTTGTAAAAATTTCTTGTATGTATGTACCTTACCGAAATAAACATTTTGTTTTATTTTATTTTTATTTTATTTTTAGTATTTTTGTTTAACCAGTTAGTTTAGCTCCCCTTTAGTTTAGTTCAGTTATTATGCACCCCATACCCATCTTGTGGGTGGTAGTGGCAAGGGTTACAGAAGCACATAATGGGCTCAGGGACTGAACCCCACAATTCATTTAGCTAAGCAAGTTAAAATCTTGATGAGCTAGTTACAAAATTCAGTATAAGTCGTCACATCATAAATGAGTTCCAGATCGACCACAAGTACAGTTTCTAAATTAACCAACTGACATATGTGGAGAGCTAGTGTCACAATTGATATGTTTGTCCTGCACACCGCCTCATCATCCAGTTTAACCAGAGAGGATATATAGCAGCGGAGAACCGTTTCTGTTCAGTTTACCGCAGTTCCCCTTTAGTTTGACTAACAAGTGTCAGGTTTCTTTTGTTGGAGGCTTGAGCTTATAATAAGCCTTAAGGTTCTTTTCGAATTTTGAGCTTGGATAACATGTTCCCAAAAATTTCTCATGTACAGTACAGTAATATATTATGTTGTCAAATGCCTAGTGCATTTACCAACTTTCCTCTACCACTACTCCATGTCACATCATCTTTGTCCAGTCTATATCCGGATAACATCCCTCAGGGTCGAGGCGGATGGAGCGACGCACGACACACAGACACAGCGTGGGTGGAGGTGAGGCTCCGAGATGTCAACGACAACCCACCACAGTTCAGCCGCCCACACGCCCATGTCACCGTCAGGGAAGACACTGCCCCCGGCACCCTCCTTGCTTCCCTCCCTGCGACAGACCCTGACATGGTGAGTCTGCCCCACCTCATTGCCATTTGTATAGTTGCCGTCATCATCTGTCATTATCATCATCATCGTCTGCATCTAGAAAATCAACTTCATCGTACCCTCGTTCTGTTCCCCTCCCATGCTAAATAGCCTATCACAGTTTACTCCGGTGTGTTAAGAATGCCTTTTTTAATTTTTATCTTCTCTTTAGTCAGTTTTTCTATCTCAATTTTCTCAGTTCTGATTCCAGCCTTGTAGTAAATCCTCTGGTTGATCTCACTTAGACTGCATAGGTTATATATGTCAATGATACAATAGTTCTCTCCCACTTCAGTGTAGCATTGTAAATGATTTGAAAGAGGCTTGCTCAGAGCTTGAGCTGCATTCTTTGGCATCCATGGGGAGATTTTTGTGTGATCTACAGCTTCCATGTTGCTTAGTCTATAATTATTCAAGTATGTCCAATCCTCTGTCTCTGGAAAATATTCAGGTTTTAGTTTGAGCACTTCCTGTTATGCAGTGGTCAGCACAGTCAAGTCACTACTGAAAGGTTCGGTGTTTGATTCCCAAGGTGGGATAGAAATATTTGAGTATGTTTCCTTTCACCCAATGCTTCTGTTCATCTAGCAATATCTAGGTATGTGGGAGATGAGTTGTGGGATGCATCCTGGGAAAGATTGGCAGTTGGCCAAGGGAAATCTCAAATTCCTTTCACTACCTTGTATTTTTTTGTTTGGCACCCTCAGTGATGGCTAGAAAGGTGGAGTCCAACAGCAAGCAGCTCGATCCTGCAGACACAAATAGTAAATATACACACATGTACATATGTGTGTGTGGCTGCAACTGCCGACCCAAAGCAACACAGGCTCGACGAGGCACTAAATTAACATTAACTAAGTAACGCATAGCCAGGACCCTGTTCGACCGCCAAAAATCCCGCGGTATAAGTATTTAGGCTTATCGAGGCCCCCCACCCCACCCCACCCATAGGCTAGCAACTAAACATTCTCAGGATGCATGCCACAACAGCTGTCTAATTCCCTGGTAACTATTTACTGCTATCTTGAGGTTATCTTGAGATGATTTCGGGGCTTACGTGTCCCCGCGGCCCGGTCCTCGACCAGGCCTCCACCCCCCAGGAAGCAGCCCGTGACAGCTGACTAACACCCAGGTACCTATTTTACTGCTAGGTAACAGGGGCATAGGGTGAAAGAAACTCTGCCCATTGTTTTTCGCCGGCGCCCGGGATCGAACCCGGGACCACAGGATCACAAGTCCAGTGTGCTGGCCGCTCGGCCGCTCGGCTCCTCTGTGCAGGTCATGTGTCAGCCTGCTGCATGAATCCCTTCCCCAGACACCTGGGTTAAGGCTTGACAAGCACTCAAGGTATAGTTTGCATTTATGAAACGCAAACTTACATAATATATATATAAAAAATTTATAATCTCCGAGGTGCTACAAAATTGTCAATAACAATAATAACCTTGGGTTGCAAAGATATACAGGTCTCGTAAGTGGACACAAAAATACTTGATGAATCCTGTTCCAAAGTGTTTGTATGAATTCTTACATAATAGTTGTTATTTAAGAGTTTGCAGGACCAAACTTCAACTCTTTGGGCCTGCCTTTCCAATCGTTGGTCTTGTAATGCAACTACTGAAAGCGACACATCTGTTTCTTGTAATATGTGCATTCAAAACTACAGTATTAGAATCATTTGTATTCTAATTATTTCTGACTTTTCTTACATCATGCATATGCTATTGCCTATAATGCTTACAGGGTGAAGCTTCAGCTCTTAGACCCAGTATGCTTGGCTATCTAGGTGTCAATTAGACTACTAGCAGCTGAAAGGCTGAAGTCTTGAGAATTGACCCTGCAGGCAGAAATTGGCCATTGCACATTCAGTATATTGTACTTGAGCCCATATTTGTATCTATATCAGATGGAGGAGCAGGTGGTGGAGTACCGTGTGGTGGGGGGTTGGGGGGCAGTGACAGTTGATGGTGTGGGGGGAGTGAGGTTGTGGCGCGCCCTGGACCGTGAGTCTCCTGGAGGGGAGGTGGGTGTGGCGCGAGTGGTAGCCGTGGATGATGGTCGCCCATCTCTCTCCTCCACCGCCACCCTCACCATCACCCTCACCGACGTCAACGACTGTCCGCCCCGGCTCCTACCCCCCACCGTCCTCCACGTCACAGAGGGAGCTCCTGCCTCTCTCCTTGGAATCCTCACAGCTACTGATGATGATGTCTGGGCATTGGGGCACGGCCCGCCCTTCACCTTCACTCTGGCCCCCTCCAACCCCGCCCACGTCCTCGACATTCTCAACATCAACTTCCAGGCAGGTGAGTTCTAGCTCCAACCATGTCCTCAACTACCACATCAGGCAGTGGATTAATGATTACCATACACACACACATTCTGCAAAAATTTGGGTTGTTGAACATTTATTTTTGATTGTGCTTCTGTCTGTACTCCATGTTAGGGTGGTAGCTCATGTTGTGTTTTTATAAATTAAATTACTCTGCCACAAGACAATTTAGGTCTGTAGTCTTGGTAAATGGTCCATAATCGTCTGTAGTAGTTACCTGAATGTACCTGAAGGCCACTGTCTCTAGTGGCCTCTCCTGGGACAGGAAGCTGGTGGGCTATTGAAGATCCACTCATTTTAATGTGGATACTCTGACCTTCTCCATATAAGAGTGGACTGTAACTACCTAAGTGAAGTTACAGGATGAGAGCTACGCTCATGGTGTCCCATCTTCCCAGCACTCTTTGTCATATAACGCTTTGAAATTACTGACGGTTTTGGCCTCCACCACCTCCTCGTCTGACTTGTTCCAACCGTCTACCACTCTGATTGCAAAAGATAATTTTCTTGTATAGTATTTCTTTGGCAGCTTTGTTTAGTTAGTTTAAATCTATGACTATAAATCTATGTTCTTGAAGTTCCAGGTCTCAGGAATTCTTCCCTATCAATTTTATCGATTTCGATTCTGATTTATCGATTGTTACTATTTTGTACGTGGTGATCATATCACCTCTTTTTCTTCTATCTTCTAATTTTGGCATATTTAATGCCTCTAACCTCTCCTTGTAGCTCTTGTCCTTCAGTTCTGGGAGCCAGGTCGGCCGAGCGGACAGCACGCGGGACTTGAGATCCTGTGGTCCTGGGTTCGATCCCAGGCGCCGGCGAGAAACAATGGGCAGAGTTTCTTTCACCCTATGCCCCTGTTACCTAGCAGTAAAATAGGTACCTGGGTGTTAGTCAGCTGTCACGGGCTGCTTCCTGGGGGTGGAGGCCTGGTCGAGGACCGGGCCGCGGGGACACTAAAAAGCCCCGAAATCATCTCAAGATAACCTCAAGATAACGCCACTTAGTGGCATATCTTTGCACTTTTTTCCAGTTTGTTGATGTGCTTCTTAAGATATGGACACTATACAACTCCTGCATATTTCAGCTTTGGTCTAACAAAAGTCATGAACAATTTCTTTAGTATTTTGCCATCCATGTATTTCAAAGCAATTCTGAAGTTAGAAAGTGTAACATAGGTTCCTCACATAATGTTCTTTATGTTCTCTTCAGGTGATAGTTTTCTATCTAGAACCACCCCTAGATCTCTTTCTTTATCCGAATTCTTCAAAGATTTCTCATAATTTATAGGTTGTGTGGGGTCTATGTTCTTCTATTCCACATTCCATAACATGGCATTTATTCACATTAAATTCCATTTGCCAAGTTGTGCTCCATATACTTATTTTGTCCAGGTCTTCTTGAAGGGCATGATAATCATCTAAGTTTCTTATCTTCCCTATTATCTTAGCATCATAAGCAAACATGTTCATATAATTCTGTATTCCATCTGGTAGATTGTTTATGTAGACAATGAACATTACCGGTGCAAGAACTGAGCCCTGTTTTCAACCTTTCCTGACTCTCCACTTGTGACATTTCTCCAGTCCGATACATTGCCTCTGATTACTACCCTCATTTTTCTATCAGTTAGAAAAATTTTCATCCATGTTAGAAGCTTACCTCTCAGCGAGAACAACCTCTAATGTGGAACTCTGTTGAAAGCCTTTTTAAGGTCCAGATAGATGTACAGTATCAGTAAAGACATGCACAGTAAGGTAAAATGGATCAAAGACACTTGGCATTGGTAAATGTAAACATAATAATTTAATAGGATTCAAATAATGTGTCAATAAATATTTATTCAGACCACAGCCACTGATGCAGAGTGCATGTGTACAGATCTGGACAGTGGCCGCGGGGGAGCAGAGGTATGGACACTGGGGCCATTAGACAGAGAGGAGCACCGCCAGCTGGTGGCTGAGGTGGTGGTAACAGATGGTGGTGGACTGGCAGCCACTCACCCAGTTACCGTTATTGTTGATGATGTCAATGACAACCCTATGAAACCAGCTGCCAAGACCGTATACCTTTGGAAGACTCAGGTCAGTCACTGATTTGCTCTACTTAAAACAATCATTTTCCAGGTTGTACTCTTAAGATTGCCTGTGATATAATACCACACAAAAGATTACAAAAGTAATTCTTGAGATGCTCTGTAGTAGATGCCCATAAATGCTTTTAAAGCCAATGCAACAACAATTAAAGCTGTTGTTGAATATAGCAAAATAAAATTTGTTGAGGTGTGGTTAATTCTTCACCTGTTTCTATCAACCAGTGTGTTTCCTACAGTATCAAATGCTGTAGTATTTCTTAATTTCAAGATACTTATTAAGATTATATGGTAGTAGGTTGTCTGATGACTCCCCCACCAGGGCGGAGGTGCGGATGCTGCCCTTGGCAGAGTGTACGTGGAAGACCCGGATGACTGGGATCTCCAGGATAAAACATTTACCTGGGCAGGACCTCCCCATCCACTCTTCACCCTCCAACCCAACACTGGAGATATATTTGCTTCCATTCAGCTGAGGGAGGGAAGGTGAGATTAACATGGCTAAGCTGACTGATAAAAAATAGTCCTTCAAGCTACAGCTAATTGATGCTATTATGTATGGTAACCATTTACTGTGTAGTGAGCTGCATGGTAACCAATCAGCGTAGGTGAGCAAGCATTACCAGGCTCTTTGCCCTCATCTTCAGAAGTTTCAATTTTTCATTAACTCTTGTGCATAGTAAAAGTTATATTTCTAGGCAGTAATACCAATTGTTGAATGGTGTAATTTTTGCAAAGTAATGGTTAAACTACAGTACAGGTACTGTATTTCATAAGTAAGCTATGTCACTCCATATATATATATATATTTATATACATAGTGTAACTTTCTATTTATGTGTGTAGTTTTCTCTACATCTCTATATATATAAGTATCTTTCTAACATTGACTATACTAAACTCTCTAAATATTTTTCAGTAGCTATTTATATAGCTACTGAAGATGAAACTTCTGAAGATAAAGATCATACAATTTATGATTTAATGAGATATATTTCCTATAGCTGATAAAGAGTTTAAGCTCATCACTGTAGCTCTTGTGCATCTTATACTTGCAAGCCTGTCATACATCATCTGTAGATGCTGATTATGAGATTCATATCTAGAAGTTTTAATAAGCTTTTAATAGGGTTAATTTTCAGCTCTATCAATCCCTAATTACCTCTGGTGTTAGTAGTGGTACCCATACTTGTGCTGGCATTTTAGCAAACTATTTGTTTATTCTGCTAGGCAGCATTGTTACCAATGCTTATATTAAACACTGGAGATATTTTGCACAGATTTAGGGACATTAAAGTGAAGAGTAAGTTGCAAGCTAGTGTGGATGCCACCTTGCTGTTTACCAAGGTTCCCACTGGCAAAGCATTGGGGGTTAGTAAGGGATAACTTTCCTTTCTCTTACACTGACTTTCCTCTAGCCCCCATTACAGCTGTATTGTATGTGCTTCTTGTGTAAATATATCAGCTGATAAACAATCTTACGCTCTTATCGTGCCATCAAACTGAATCACGATACCAATTGGACCTCTTTCATCACTTCCTCCAGTTAAGTTTAAAAAATATTATCTTCGGCCTCTTCTACTCTCCTACGTTACGGTACTGTGTTCTTTATAAAAAAAACTTTATCCTATTATTTTAATTAATTGCCTATAATTTGTATCTTTATTTCCTCATGTTTTCTATTTTTATGCTTAAGTAATCTTTACACAACTCATCATAATCTTTTTCTTTCCTCTCCTTAAAGGACATTTATTGTTCTAATGGATTTCATCAACTGCACTTTGTCACTTCATCCTACTGAGTAGTTCCTCTCTTTCTTCTCCTAGTTTTTGCAATGTCACATGCTTGATTGACATTCTTAACCAAATATTCCTTGTTCAAATTTCTATTGCACTGCTGCTTATAAACGCATAAATTATTTGTAAACAAAATCAACACATAGTGACAGAAACCATTCCAGAGCCACGTTAACTCTCATACCAGGAAAGCTTGAGGGGTCTCAGGACTAGCAACACTACAAATGTCTTTTAAAGGTCCATTGTAACTGACCCACATGTTCGAGCAGCCACAATATAGGACAGAAAACAGGGAGATACTTTTTCAACCATAGAGCAATAAATCCCTTTAATTGTCTACTTGCCAGAGTCATAAATTCCAATACAGTACCCCAGTTCAAAATTAAGTTGAAAAAGTCCTCGGTAATAATGTGGGGGGGACCTTAAACAAGCCACTAGCTTCTTTTTCCTATTGAGACCACTAGAGATTGTAAATGCCACTAAGATTCAATGCTTCATAGTGTCATTCTCAAAGTTCACCATCAACTCTTATTATATACGTGTTGACCAGTTCATTCACTTAGCTTCTCACCTTTTATTCATTCAACTCTTAGATTATTGTAAGGTATGATTGCCATCTTCTCACTTAACCAAATATCTTACACAGCACAGCCATCTTCCCACAGCATATATCTTAATATCTGATCTAGATATTCACCATACTGTGCTCTTATCACTGTATTCTTTTTAAGTGTGTTAATAATTTGCTAGGAGTTATTATTTTAGAGGATTGTTAAATCCATTTATATTGGTTTTGTTGTATAGTGCTTGAACATGAAATAGATGATAGTAAGTGAGAACAACATATTCTTGAATATTTTTTGTTTTCCTTCTGCATTTTGAATTGTGCAAATTGTGCATGCAACTTGCATGCCTCATATTCTCATGCTTCAGTTACACTGTGTTCAAATCCTTTGTAGTCCTCCATTGGTCAACGAGATTGGTTTTTGTGGTATAATCACAGAGATGTGTGTGCGCCTCTGTGTATATATACACCTGAGATTGCTTATTTATTAAATTATTGTTAGAATTGTGTATATTAACGGTACATTATGATCATGGTAGGCCTTGCAGTTGATTAGCCTTAAGGTCTTAACACCTGGATCTCCTACATAGTGTACAAGATGGGATACCTGACTGCAACTGGGGCTATTTCTACCCCCGTTCCCTCTCTCTTCCAATCTTTCCCCCCTAACTGATCTCTGATCCCTAATTTACCCTATTCCCAATCTCTCTTCCCTCCAACTTTTTCATGCCTCTTCCCCAACATTCTCCCTCTCACCCCACTTCCATCTTCCTCTCCCCTTTTCCATCCCTCTCTTCCAACGTCCCCCACTCTCCTTCCCTCTCTTCCAACATACCCCCACTCTCGTTCCCTCTCTTCCAACATCCTTCACCTTCCTTCCCTCACTTCCAACATCCCCTCCACTCCTTCCCTTTCTTCCAACATCCCCCACTCTCCTTCCCTCTCCTCCAACATCCCCCCCACTCCTTCCCTGTCTTCCAACATCCCCCCCACTCCTTCCCTTTTTTCCAACATCCCCAACTCTCCTTCCATCTATTCCAACATCCACCTCTATCTCTCTTAGAAAATTTACTATTATGAAATACAAAAAAACTGATATTTAACTAAATTGTACGGTGTCCTTATACATACTGATGTCTTAATCAGTGGCACTCTGCTTTATCCCGACCGATCTATGACATTTACCCCATGTATCATTTTGCAAAGGTTGGCGAGTATCTGGCCTCTTACTTTGGACAGACAGACATATCTTATTTTATTGACCTACTGTACATTGAGAGGTGTTTGAACATTAAGAATATAAAACTGATAGTGTATTCTATAAATTTATTCAGAATAAGTGTTGTTGATGATAATCTAAGGTAAATTAGGGCCATAATGATACTGGCAGGTGTATGGCATGATATCATTCTTGGTGCATTTATACTAAATAGTGTAGTCCTAAACCGTGTCTGGAATGGCAGTATAGTATAGTTAAAAGCTAGAAATTAGAATATATTTCAGCTTTAAACTTTGAAACCTATTAAAGATTTAAAGATTGGTAATTTTTACTGAGTAGTGGGGGTAGGGATTAGATTTACAGATAGAATGAACCCTCAAACCTTATCGAGATTTTGCTCTATTTCTCGTTTGGGGGCATTGTCAGGTATGAACTGCAGTTCCTGGTGTCTGACAGTGTGTGGGGCCAGATGGATGTGCCAGCTAATGTGACTGTGGTTGTGAGGTACTTGTCTCCTGAATCCCTGGCACACGCAGTCCCTATCACCTTGATGCCCACTACACCAGCAGCGCTCACGGCTGGATGGACACCTCTGGTAAATTATTTATTGCTAATTTAATTACATGTTGATAATTTACTTGCATTATTTTACCTGAAGGTCTACCGTCGGTATTGGTCTCAACAAGGACAGAAAGGAAGCAACTTGCCAAAGGTCCCCTTCCTTATGCCTGAGTATTTTTTCAGTTTAAATTTGAACTGGAGTACTGTATGGTGTAAATGTTGTAACGTATGATTATGTTACGTTATTGAGTAGATTAGATACACAGTGTTTAGTGGGTTTTCATATTTAGTACTCTTGGATACAGCAGTATCATAGACGTTGAGACGGAGTTTGGAGTAGAGCAGAGAGCTGAGTGAGGCCAGAGTCGCAGAGCTGTATGTGGGAGAGCATTGTAGCTCGATGCGATCCTAGCCTGCTGTCTGTTCTGTGTCGAAGCTGTAGCATCTTGGGGTCGATTACAGCTGCATACGCCGAGTGCTACATTCTTGACTGTGGAAATTGTACTGTTGGCTATCCTCATATCGCTTGCTTATATTCGGTGACTACACCTCAGCTTCCTCCACTAGGATAGGAGAATGGAAGAACTGTTACCTGTAATTAGGGAAGAGATTATAGCTTCTGCAATTAGTGCTAATTAGTTACACCATTAAGCTAATGAGAAGTTGGAGTGAGTATATTGTTTGTACTCATTACAATGTCTTTGGCAGTGAAGTGATTTAATGTTTTTATAACAAGAGCCTATAATAGATTTAACATTCGTATTACAGTAGTGAGAAAATCCACTGGGGCCGTGAGGTGGTGCGAATTTTATGACCCTGGCATTGCCAGTCACATTGCCGGGGTCGTAGGTTCATGGCCCCAAACAACCCCGGTGATTTTCTCATTGATATATATATATCACATTAGTGTGATTTGTGTGTGATTCATATTAGAAGTATTATAATTAACACTTAGTATTGACAGCTCACATTAAATCACATAAAATATAATGGACAGACAAGGAATAATATTTCAATTATGATAATACTTATTACCATTGCAGTTAAATGACTGGATAAAGTGTGGACATAATCCCATTGTTGTGATGTCATTAGCATTTCCTACACTGTCACCAAGATGCATGTTTTTTGTGTATGCTGATACAAATTGAATAATCTTCATTCAAATTCTGTAGTAAAGTCAGTGACAAGAAATACTGTTGCTACTTCAGATTTTGAGCAGTAAAACAGAATAACTGACGAATTATTGGAGAAGGTAGCACAGCTGGGTTCATTCTCAATTTACAATCAAGAATGCCGGGTGGGACACAAATAGTTGGGTGCGTTTCTCTTCATCTAATGCACCTGTTCACCTGTTCACCAATTGGTACCCAGAAGTTAGTCAGCTTGATGTGTCAGTAATTCCACCTTGGGAAGGGGACATCAATATAAGCCTAACATGCATATATATACATTGGTTGCCTGTCCCCCAACACAGTGCAAGAGACACCAGCTTCAAGCTCAACAAGGCATTGTGGAACATTAAAACAGATGCTTTATCACTAACTGCCTCAGTAATAAATGCCAAGTCATTATTTCAGTTTAAATACCAGATACAAAAATTCCTTAGGAACAATAGGACTGTTGATAAGCCACTGGCTTCCTGTCCCCATTGAGGTAACTAGGAAGATAATGGGCCTCAGATGAAATCAGGTAAAAACATGATTGGTGCTTTGTATTATATCAACTGCCTATACAGCACTCATTTATTTGGTAATAATGTTACTGGATGCTTCTCAATTGATGTCTTGGTCAGGCTTATTATAAAGAAAGCATACAGACTATTACTTAATTTTAATGAAGCTGTATCACCGTTATTAACTGCTGGCTGCATATTACAGTAATGTTATTTATGTCATAGAGATTCAAGCCCAAAAATTAACAGCCTTAATTTAACCTTTTAAGCCTTGTTCATTTTTATTGTTATTTTAGCATGGTGGTGGGGGTCTGGGCACACTGGCGGAGATTGTGATGCAAGTGGTGGGCAAAACGGCCAAGGGTGTGGAGATTGTGAGTGTGTCTGGAGCACCTCCCGCTTACCCCTCTTCTGCACCGACCATCTCAAAGGGCACTTCTGATGTGAGTGTTGCTCTTCAGAATTTCCCTGCTCCAACACCCTTTGCCTGTGTTTGGGTGAGCGTCAGACAAGCTGCAGGGAGATTTATAGACCCCCTCAAGCTGCATGGACTGCTGGCATTACACTTGCAGCATGTAAGTTGTAACCTGTGGGCACTCAAAAATAATTCCTTATGTGATATATCACCAGTGCTTATTAGTTTGCTTTGCTTTCATAACTTACTTCAGTAAGGCTCTACTCTTAATTAAGGAAGTAATAATAATTATTACTTTCCCATAGAGCTTTATTGAAGTATGTTATGAAAACAAACTTCAAAGGTTACATAGAGTACAGTCCTTTCATAAACCTTGTACTTCAGAGAAAGTAATGAGCTTAAAAGTGACATTCAGTATTTTGATATACCTTTCCCTTCAGTTAGAGAAAGTAATGAACTTGAAGGTGGCACTAGAAGACACATACACCATGGAGGGAAAAAATGGCAAGACTGCATCTGGTGGTTTTGGCTTTCCCTCAGATACCACGTCTCCCCAGAGTCCTTCTTCCATCGCTTCCCTGGCATCTGTGGTGCTCCCTCTGCAGGTAAGCCTTCAATGTGTCTTAAACTCATCTGTGTCTAGAAGGTACAATAATGTCTTTATCACATTTCGCCTTTAATATGCTACTCTTCATTAGTCATCCTTTAGGGTGTATAAATATTGTATATCTGAATTTACCTGAACACGACATTATCTCTAGTGGCCTTGATGGGAACGGCTTGTCAACGATCTCCGTATTTTTGCTGACAATTTTATCCAGCTGGATTTTGAACTGTAGTGAATGTCTTGGCAGTTACAGCTTTAGTGGGTAGACAATTGCATGGGTTTATAATCATATAGGTGAAAAAGCATCTCTTTACTATCCTACATTGTTAGTAGTTGAGCTTGAAACCATTGCTCCTTGTATGTGTTACATTTGACCTTTTAAAGATATAAAAAGATCAAGATCTTGGTCTGGGTCAAGATCCTCCAGACTGTTGAATATTTTAAAAGTTTCGAAGAGACGTCTGTTTGTCATGTGTTATTTCATGTCTGCAGTGTTATTGTGTGGACACCCTCAACTGTACCTTGTATGAGAGTTGATGTAGTATAGTACTGGGATGATTTTTTTTTTTTAGCCCAATGTTGAACTTTCTCCAAAGCAGATATGCCTTTTTGACAAACTAGGTCTCCATGCTTGGATGCAATAGTCCAAATGGGGCACATCAGAGATTTGTACAGTTGAATAACTACCTTCTTTTCCTTGAAGTCAAAAGACTGTATAACTGTTCATAGGGTTTGGTTGGCTTTATTACTGCAGCTCCCACTTGGGCAACTTTCAATAGCTGGTGAAATTCTGACTCCATGGTCCTTTTCTTCATCATATACAGAACAACCTTGATTGAACTTAATATATGGGACCAACCCCAATTCATTGCAGTGAGGGATTTATTGCAACTGGAAATACCTCCAGGATGCTGCTGCTGTTGTTTTAGATTCAGCTACTTAGAACAAAAAGTTGCAAGTAGCACAGGCTATGGTGAGCCCGTAGTGGACTTACCTGGCACAGGAGCAGGGCTGTAACTCGTCCAGGATGCATTTTCCATGCCTTACAGGCAAATTTCACCTAGCAAAATTTTAATTTCGCATCTAATTTCTCATCACATAATTTAAGCACATCTAGTTCATTTCTCACATCACCAGCCTCAAAACGCATCTTCAAATGGTAGTTGGGCTATATCTGAGTGAATGAAAACCTTGCATACAAAATGAAAAGAAACCATAAAATTTGGCTTAAATATCCTCAGTAACTTTCCCAAGGCTCCAGTTGTTTCTTGTAATATTGAGTATATCTGCAAAAATAATAAAAAAACATGATTGGAGCCATATTAAGAGAGTTATCATTCATACCCTAATATTTCCCATGCTCTATGGGCTGATTTCACTGAGCAAAATTTTTATTTAAATCTGTCATATGAAGGACAACTACCAAGAGAACCTGTCTTTAAAGAGATCTAACAACATCTAGCATATTTCTCATACCCTAGCCTTGAAATCTCATTTTCAAAGGAAAAATAGCCCATATTTTACTTAACAAAAACCTCTGCAACTGGAAAACCATATATGACCGTCACACCCATACCCACAGTCAGCAGAGTTTGGCTGGTCATCTGGCCTAGTGCAACAAGCTTTAAATGATTGCATCTCTCACCTCACTCTTAATAGACAGGTATCATATAAAAACTATATAATTTTGTTTTAAATATGCTCAGTGACTTTCCCAGGGCTCCAAATATTTCTTGCAAAGTTGCCTCCATCTGTGAATACGGTCCCAACATTCACACACATTCCCTGCTTCAGCAAACTCTTGTTTATTCAATTGTGTGAGTAAATCTGGCATAGAATGTCTTTCAAAAAGAGATTCACCGTATCAAGGTTCCACTGTACTTCAGAATCCTTTTGTAGTAATTAGTATTGGACTGGGTTCCTCGAGGTCTAGAGTTTCCAGATTAATCGTGGCTTTTCAAGAATGTTCCACTTAATCACCATCATATAAATAAGTAAGTAAATCAGTTAAGAGAAATTTTAAAGAGAATGGTATTATAGTCCTCTTTTGGGTACACCCAGCATGAGGGCGGAGATACGGTTGCTGTCTTCAGTATGAAATTCTATAAAGTATGACTATGCCGGGTGTCATCTGTGATAGGAATTTTATCATTGAACAACTTATAAAAATGATATTTACATGTCAAAAATACTGCCAGTTTAACATAATATTACAGTACAGTACTGCAATAATAATACAGAATAATCACAAGCTAGCAAGATGCAGTCTGGAGGATATTGATCAGGACCACTTTTTTTTAAAAGGTCTAATGTAACACAAGGAGCAATGGCTTCAAGCTCAACTACCCACATTGTAGGACAATAAACAGAAGATGCTTTTTCACAGAAAGGGCTATAAACCCATGGAACCACCTACCTGCCTAAGATTTAAAATCCCAAGATATCAGGGCCATATCAGTTATGAGATATCAGTTAAATAGTACTGCCATTCCCCACTGTACATTTGGAGCAAATCTTTGAAAACATGGCATCTGTTTTGTTTACAGCAATAGCCACGTTACTTTTGCAGGTAGTGGACACGAACTTGACCTCTCTGGTGACCCCTAGGCTGACACGAGCACATGATTGCAACACCCACACCCGCTATGAAGATGAAACTTGCACTCTCGCTTCTTGCCTCAATGGTGGTCGCTGTGTCCGGACACAGCAGGGCAGTAGGTGGGAGACTCTTTCATTTATATTTGGTGGATGCTGTAAAGGAAAAAATAAATAATGTTGATTAATTATAGTTTTTCATTAAAGCTTTGAGTGTAATGGGAGTTCAGTTATTGTCTTTAACTTCATTTCACCTCAAAATATATACAATACTGTATTATTAATATGTATTTGTTTAAGGCATGTTTTTCTAATATGAAAATGCTTCTTTGTCAAAAGCTGTTTCTAATACAGTATAAGGATAATTTAAATGTTATCATTTCATATTACATTTTATTCATAATTTTGAAAAAATATAAAGAGCTATGACACTCCTCATATAAGGTATATCTTTTAGGTGCATATGTCCTGGCGGGTCTTGGGGATCACGGTGTAAGGTCCTCGCTCGCACATTTTGGGGGTCTGGCTGGGCATGGGTTCAGCCATTGCCTCCATGTCTGCCAACCACACTCTCCTTGCGTCTCCTTACTCGCAGTCCAGATGCTCTCATTCTCTACTCGGGTCCCCTATCCTCTGCCTCCAGCCACCCACACTACCCTCCCACGCCTATGGTGGCACTGCAGCTGGTAGGCGGACAGCCCCAAGTGGTACTAGAAGGTGCGAGAGGACCTGCAAAACTTGCGGTGAACCTTACACTAAGCACTGGGACCTGGCACACCCTGCACCTACATCTCAATGCTCAGGTATGATTATATATTATAACCTCCTAAATGTGTACCCTAAAATTATGCCAATTTCCTAGTGTACATAAAAATATTTATTTCTGTACTGAAAAAAATAGCTTACTGAATGTGAGAAGAATACTGTACAACAACAAAAATGTACTTATTTTAGTTTGTCCCTAGCGAGGTGAAGAAATGTTAATTACATCATATTCTGAGGGATAATTTTTGAGTTAACTATTTGTAACGGATTCCTCCTCGTGACTAAAATCTTCCAGGTCCATAAATGTCCTTGCAATTTTGCATGGCATCACTGGTTCCTAGCATGACCGTCAGCCTGTGGATGGTAACACACCAGACACAGTGCCCATCTTTTTACTAAGACTTTTTGGGAATTTTTCTAATATGGCAAACAATTTCCAAAGGTCTCTGGTGTTGAATGACATCCACATAGAATTGGTGGACCTTGTGAATATTACGAGGCACATGTAGTCTCCCACAGGTGGTTGGTACCGTTTTGTTAAATGTCGTTGGAAGCAAATTAAAGGGTTAATTGTCAGGAAGCATAAGACTCTGAAGCTGAATTCCCTTAAACTTTCTAGTACATTATATGGGTTAGGTTCAATCACTCTCGGACAGGTTTCTGCACAAAGCAAAGATGAACAGCTTCTGAAGATAATAGTATTCTTATTGCATTTTGAACTATAAATCAGCTTCTTGTGAACATTATGAATGTAAATAAAACATGGGTGTCTTTCTTTGATTTTGGTGAACTTTTATGCATTTTTTGTATTGTTATATTGTAATTTCTAGTTTATAAGATGCATATTGTTGCTGAATTTTAGCAGTAATTGATATTAAACTAACTGAATTTTTCTTCAGGGAGTCATGCTAATGGTTGATCTCTGTGGACATGGTTGGGGAGCCAATAAAACTGACGATACACATTGTATTGCAAGGATTCCGTGGGTTAACTCCCAGGCTACGGAAAGTTGGAGCAGTAGTGTGCCCCTGCAGCTCGGTGGTCTTGCACACCCATACCCACAGTCAGCAGAGTTTGGCTGGTCATCTGGTCTAGTGCAACATGCTTTAAATGGTTGCATCTCTCACCTCACTCTTAATGGACAGGTATCATATGCTTAAAACAGGCTGGATGCATTTAGTATTTTGTGCATTTCATTGCCTCTTTTTGTTATATAGTAATCAAGAATTTTGTCTGAAGAATATCATAATTAGTAAGATGGTGTGCCATGGAATGAAGTAGGTTTAGCATTGTTGTTTGAAATTATATTACATAAAAGGGCCTTCACATATTGTATGTAAATACTAGATAAACAACCTTTCCTAGGGGTGATGTGTTTAGAATAGACGGAAAATATCTGTGCCTTCTTGAAAACTACTTAAATATCCAAACATGCTTTAAAAATAAGTATACCCTAAGGTATTGTGTTTGGGTACATTTATTTAAACAAAGTCTGCATATTAGTCCAGCATTATGTCTGTAGATGATTTCACGCTCGAGTTAGACGGGAGACATGAAAGGGGATGTTTGTAACTCACATTAATGAACCCCTTAAAAATGATTGATGAAGGAGCTGACATTGGCAAATAATTGTTGCACCCCAGGACATCAAATATAGTCATATCATATGAGTAGGCTATTAATTTGTGATATAAGTCATGGAATAATATATTGCTAGTGAGAAATCTGCTATTTTCTAGAAATATGAAACATATTAAAGTTACTTGGTAATACACTAAATATGCATCTGACCCTCTCACAGATGCAATGTCATATAAATAGGTTAGGATCAGGTTTCATTTAAAAAATTCTTAATTATGTGCCCTATAGGGAAATCTGAAAATAATTTATAACACGCCTTCACATAATTTATACTGATGAGTTGACTGTTCCCAGCTTGTTGACTTGGGCGAACCATCATACAGCACTCAAAGTGCCAAAGGTTGTGGCCATCAGGAGGATGCTTGCAGGAATGGTCCTGTTAGTTGTGGGGTGCGAGGCCAGTGTGTTGGTGGCATCGAGAGCCCTAAATGTGATTGTCAGCCAGGATGGATGGGGCATGACTGTGCCACACCCACAGTTCCAGTCAGTCTCGGGGAGGATTCATTTGCAAAGGTGGCACTGTCATTTACCCCAGACCCTTATGATATAACTCTGCAGTTGCGAATGAGGACAAGAGGTCATCCAAATGGTCTCTTAATGCAGTTGTCCACCAGCAAGCAATCTCATGCCTTGAAGTTATATGTAAGTGTTTTGTTTTCAACTCTGTGCTTCTTAACTACAAGCTTAAATATGCCCATGTATTTGCATAAGATAAATATTTACCATAATTAGAAAAAATATTTAAATATTTTTTCTAATTAGAAAAATTTTGTGCTATTTGCAGGCCCGTGGTGGTGTCATGTGTGCCTCCATTTCTGGGATAGAGTGGGGCATGCAGGAAGTATGCTTAGAGGGTTTCCCACTTGGCGATGGATCTTGGCACACTTTAAGAGTGGGTCGTCATGGACACAATTTGATCATCTCGGTGGACGACAGCGACGAGTGGCGAAAAAACGAGACTCTGGCTTCCTTCTTTACCACCACCATCCTCGGGGATATACGGGCTCTTGTAGCAGCACCTCCTTTACCCATTACTGTTGACAAGCAGGATGGTTTGATCATGGGAGGTATTCCAGAGTTTGAGAGCCTTAGTCTGGTGACAGTCCATGATGACCTCCAACATAGTGAGTAGGAATCAAGAGTATCAATGGATCGACCTGTCCTCTCGAATAACTCATCGTATCTTGACGTAATAATCCTTAACATCAAAATATGAGGTACTATAAATCATAGCGGGTTGCAAAATTGATGGGCTGTCCCATTTTCTATTCGTGGATCGTCGGTTTGGTTAAGTTAATTTAGTACAGTGCATCATTTTTGAGACATGACATCTCGAGAGGATAGGCTGAGAATGAACAGTAGTAACAAATTACTTTGTGAATTTTTGCTTGTTTTGGTCTGATTTGTTTGTTTTATTTAGATCATACTTTAGATTGTACAGTATAGAAACAGGTAAATGGAAACATTTAAAATGTAGCTTTTCTTTATGGAAACTTGTACAGTATATTCCAACCTCGCGGATACATGATATAAACTGGAAAATATATTTAACATAAGCTAATATGAAATGAAATTAGATATATATATATAGGAGAAACCTGAATACCAGAGTTTAAAATACAGTAATGTATTGTAAATTTGTTGGATTTTCAAGATATATATATATTGTTCAATTTTAATTCTGGTGCAGTCAGTTTCTTGAATATTTTTGTTTATGAATCTGACAGGTTGCATTGATGATGTACGTATAGCTGGGAATCCCATACCACTACCACCTTCTGTAAATGGAACAAACTGGGGCCAAGTGACTACTTTGCGAAACCTAAAGCAAGGCTGTTCGTCCCATGATTCCTGCAGCAATACCACATGTTTGCCTCCTCTGTCCTGTCATGACATCTGGAGACAGGCAACATGCAGGTGAGAATTGAAGACTTAATAGGAGGTAAGGAACCTTGTAAGGAAGTGTTATTAACTGAGAGAGAATCTGGATGCTGGTATGGACTTCAAAGAATGAGGAATTATGACAATATTAGAATTCATGGAGCTCTTGTTGTACAGTAGCATTTCATTTATCATGTGGCAGTGATCAGCTTGGCTCGGTCACAACTGAATGGTACTGGGGTTTGATTCCTCTGCAGGATGAGACATTTGGCCATGTTTCCTCACTCCTGATGCCTCTGTTGACTTGGTGATAAAGGTACCTGAGAGTTAGAAAAGTGTTGTGGGTTGTATTGTGTTCCCAACACTAGGATAGCAGATTTGTCTCTTCAGTTGTTGTATCTTCTGGGTTCTGATGCTGCCATGTGGCACTTAATTTTAACTGCTGTGCCAACACCATGGCTACTATGCTGATAGCATGTTTAAATGGTCTACAGTGGAATTATAGTATATACTCTGCTGTTATATATTTTTTAGCTAGCTTGAGTGTTTTGTTTGTTGTAACTTTATATTTCTTAACTGTGATTTTATTCCAATCATACAAGAAATTCCTAGATGTCAGAACATCAGTTGAACTTATGATCTAGAAGTTGTACGAGTTATTGCTGAATGTTTTTATATAATTAATATACTGTATGTTATAGCATTTCATATAATAAGTTTGTTGTTATTGGTTACATTCCTACAATATTTGTATAGATACTTTTCATGGCTTTCAAATTAAAATTAGAAAGTTTATTTAATTAAATGCCTTTTGTCTTAATTTCTATGCAAAAGCTAAAGGAACTATTACGAACCTACCTTCCCTTCCTAGACTAATAATCTTGTTGTTTATATACAAGTCATTATTAAATTGAAATGTTGAGCATAAATGGTTAATGTTGGGTGAGAATAAGTTGCAGTAACAGACATTTATTTCATAATATGCAGAATTCTTAATGTAAGTATCAGGAATTTAAAGATAAATTACAGAAATTTAAGAGAAGTGCCTATAGTTTAAGAGACAGCCTATATTACACATTAAATTAATCTTTGTTGAGGTGGTAGTGGTCATGCTTGATAGAGATACATTTTGCAGTACAGTAATAGAACTGTTATAAAAGATGTCTTAAACTGTATATTCAAAACATGCCATGTTTCTAGATGTTTAACTAGTTTTCTGTACTCTAGAGTCATGTAATTACTTTACCTATAATACATTTTGTAAAATAAGTGAAATTGTTTCTTGTATGTGTTTATTTACTTTTGCAGCTGTGAGTCAGGTGAGCAGGTGGTGGGGCACAACTGCCAGGATGTTGACGAGTGCGTGTTCCAGCCGTGTCTCCACGGGGGCACCTGCTACAACCTCACACCTGGCTACCACTGTTTGTGTGCTCCAGCCCACACTGGAGACAACTGTGAATGGTCCAAGTTGCCACCAGACTCCCATCCTCTCACAGCACCCATGGCCATAGCTGCCCTTACACTCTCTGTGCTTATTGTTGGTGAGTTTCATATTGTCTATATCACTGTTGGCTGGTCCAGCCCACACTGGAGACAACTGTGAATGGTCCAAGTTGCCACCAGACTCCCATCCTCTCACAGCTCCCATGGCCATAGCTGCCCTTACACTCTCTGTGCTTATTGTTGGTGAGTTTCATATTGTCTATATCACTGTTGGGAGTCCAGCCCACACTGGAGACAACTGTAAATCAACCACTACTTGACACCATAAGGAGGTGTAGTTGTAGGTTTATTCCACACACTACACGTATGTCCAATTCATGCAGTATGTGAAGCTTTCAATTAGGTTAGGTTCAGATTTGGAAAATATATTTTTTGTTTACGTTTCCATTGTACATTTTTATTGAATATTAGTGTAATTCGTGTAAGACAATTTGAATTATCTATATATTACACTAAGTATATTAATTGTTTCACATTCAGTATTTTATAATGTTTCATCCAGTTGCTGTTTTCTTATATTTCTTTAGTTAACAATAAACACTTTGTATCACAAACCCACTTACATTAAAGCAGGTGGGTCTGGCCAGTACAGTACTGTATATGGCTAGATCACCTGAAAACAATCTTTCTTTTGATAATGTGGTCCTCAGTTAGGCAGTTAAAGGAATCTTTATGAACATTGAGTACAGTATAACTGTATCATACTTTTTAGTATTTAAAAAAAATTTAATTTTATTTTAATGATAAACTCCTACAATGCTTAAAATAATACTTTATAAGTATTACTCTTCATAATATAAAGACATAATCACTTCACAATCACTTTCTTTCAGTAGTTCCATTTCTGTCTAAACTATCACTGTAGTATGGTCTCAAATATGCTTCCCTCTGGGGCTCATCAGTGGTGATTGGTGTCCTCCTTACCATACGCCTGCATCGATCTCGTACAGCACGAGGCCTGGCAATATGCAGTGGGGGTGTTGAAGATGTGACTGATGTCCTGGGAACGCCAATGGTAGTACAAGCAGTTTCCAGAAACCCTCAAAATCAAGCAGTCAAAGAAGAGGATATATTAATTGGATCACTCAAGATAAAGGGGGCAGGTAAGCTTAGAATGTCTCTAGAAGGTGAGTATATTTGTGCATGTGAATTTTAGAAACATTTGTCTGCCCTGTTTTCATGAAGTATCACTTACATGATTTGTTTATGAATCGTGTGGAGAGTGAAGACTGGCAAGAACACCGAAATAATGAACTTACATATTTATGAGTGCTAGCAGTTTCAATGAGGACAGGAAGTTGGCACCCTTTCAAAGATTTCCCCCTCTCCCTGTTATTCCAGAGGAATTATTTTAAAGTGGGTTTATTACCCAATGAGTGAAAAAGCATTGTAACATGTTTACGTGTTTTGGGTGATACGACACAAAGAGTTTAGTAGTCTTTGATATTTATTTAGCATAGTCTTGGTTACAGCAGTTTGTAATGTAATAAAGTATCATAGTAGTTGAGATGAAGCCTGGAACAGGGCAGAAAGCTTGGCACTCTGAATGCAGCTGGAATCTTGCTGTCTGCTCTGTAGTGTCTTGTAAGGGCAGGAACTGGGCTCATCGAGTGTTACATTGTTGCTGGTGATTGTTGAAGATGTGCGGTATCTCCCTGTACTGAATCCCTATACGAGTTTAGACTGATGACGGCTTATATTACAAGCTTCCGTCTCACCTTGCCAAACTGATCATCATCTAGCAGGTTGAAAAAAGATATTAACTGTACACTTGGGAATTGTAATTAGTGGACCAAGAATTAGGGTAGAGCTTTTAGGAATGTGGAACACTTAGAGAAAGGTTATGCAGAATTAAGACTCATCTCATTATCTGTGATTAAGCTAATGAGAACATTGAGCAAGTATATTACTTGTTAATATAGTTGCAACAATATCTCATATGTATTTTGTTGAGCTAGAAACTGTTGCCCATGTTATATTGAATCTGTTTAATGTAATTGCATTGAATAAGTAATTGAAATGTCTTGATGAAATCAGTCCTGTCATGTCTGGTTTGAGACACACAACTGTACCTACTATGAGAGTTGACTTAATTCTGTATTGAAATTTCTTCAAAGCACATATGTCCTTTTGAAAGTGAGGTCTTCATCCCTGGACAAATTACTCCAGATTGGGTTGGATCACAGATTTGTACAGCAGAATTATCATTTTTGTTTTCCCTTGGAGTCACTGATTAATGATGGAGCAACATTGAAATGCATAATCTTTATATGCGTGTTTTGACAGTACATTTAATGAGTGTGGGTGAGTGAAGGGGTAAATGCATTCCAAGGGGTACATTTGATGATGTCATAACCACCATTGAGGGAAATAAGACATATTCATTAGAATGATGGTCACACAGGACCATAATGTGACCCTTGCCATATTTGTGGCAGGACCCAGCTACTATCAGTAGTCATTCAGCACAGTAGTTGTTATTGAGGTGGGGCATTAAGAAACTTTTTATAGAGCAATAAAGTAGTTCTGGTCAGCCACAAAACTGACATTTTTTAGGACATTTTATTATCAAGATATATGTATATATGATACTTGTAACATATCCCTATTACCTTTACAGGTGCAGAGAACATAGTTACTCCCTTAGGTCTTCCAACCATTGGAGTTGATGCCATGGGCATAGGCTTAGTGATCCCAGGGGGTACCATGAAAGGTTCTATCCATGAATGCATTAATCTTATGAGTAAATCCAGTCCCGAGAGATGTTCCATAGCAACAGTTGGTACTGTGAAAGATGTGGTTCTGGAAAGAAGAGTGAGCATCTCATCAATAGCTTGCCCAACATCAGCTTGTCCTACTATAACTAGAGTGCACCATGCCATCACTGATACTGGTGTGAGCAGTGCGCCGCCTTTAATACCCCAGGATGACCTTAGAGCGTATGCATATGAAGGCGATGGCTCCCCATCTGGGTCACTCACCTCTACTGTCTTAGGTCAGTCTGAACTCTTATGTGTAATAAACAGAGATAGGTCTGAAAGGAGACAAAATATTTTGTAACCATTTTTACAATAACTGTTCTTCCATTTTGTATCATAATTTGTAGGATTTGTCAGAATTTGCATACTAATATCAAAACAGTGAAATTTATATAAAATCCAAGAACAGGATGTATATATTTTCATGCCGAGTTTATAACAAATGGCAGTTAACACTTTCGCGCTCTCCGCAAAGGTCACTCAGCCAACCGAATGTGCGCGCTGCGTTTTTATCGCTTAAGCGTAAAAACAAAAATGTGTATACTCTTTTTACTCTTCTGACCTTAGTTCTCATGCTACGTATTTCATTTTGGTACCAACGTGTTCGCAATAAAATTCTCTAGAAGAACATCAGTAAAATAAGTCACGAAACATATAGGGATACCAGCACCAAATAAATAACTACGTAGATGACTCGCTGTGAGCGCCCATCAGCAACAAAATGTTTTTACTCTTGGGATTGTAATCACCTCCACACTTGTTCTACAGCGTTAATTTTGGTATCAATAGACTCGCAATGAAATTCCCAACACGATGATATGAATATAAGCGTAGAATAATGATGCAGCCCGCCCGCAAGAGTGTGGGAAGTGGTGAAATTGTTTTCCGGTATCGGTGACGGGACGACGCACGGCGCTTTGAAAGTTTATACTTATTTCACTCTCATGACATTAATTTTTTATGTACGTCATTCATTTTTATGTCAATGTGTTCGCAATAGAATGTTCTATGTGCCCATAGGTAAAAAATATCAACAAAGCGTAAGTTAGAATAACGACAAATATAAAACAACGCTGGAACATATCAGTGAGCGTCAAACACACACGAAATATTTTTACTTTTGTTATGTTTGTCAAGTTTATACTTGTTGCACACAGTTATTTTTGGTTGTATATTGATTGGAATAAAATTCCCTAAACAGACATATGCATATAATACATGATATAGGGGAAGAATTACCAGTATAAACGGCTAAAGTCACCCACCTGCAACCCGTTTGGGACAAAATACCATTTGATCGAAGTTATCCACACCTTTCATGAACTTATTGTACCATGAAGCCTAGTGGTGAGAAAGAGAGCCTCAAGGCGCGCAGTTTGAAACAAACCCAAAGTAAATCGGATAAAAATTGAATTTTATACAAATATTTTAAAAGTTGACATAACTTTATGTCCACTATGCGTTAGCGTTAGACGAAAACGAACGCGCCGGCGCGTCCAGATAGCGCGAAAGTGTTAATTGTAACATTTGGCAAATATTCAATGATCCTTTGTATTTAGTAGTGTTCTTTTGTAATCTTACCAGAGATACTGCCTTTCTTCATCCTTGTCACATTTCTCCCCTTTACCACTTCTACTTTGCATTTTTTTTATTATCTACCTTTTTTTTATGTACCTATATTGTAAAGGACAGCAACAACGAAGGTGGTTTCCTCAGATTACATCTTCCCATCTCTCAGGTCTGCGGGCAGACTCAATAGAGGATGAAAACCAAAGGCCTCTGATATCTGAATATGGTGAAGTGTTTGATCTACTCAAGAATCTCCCAGATGGTGCATGCACACTAATACCTAGTCCAGACCCATCCAATACCTGCACAAGTGCCGATTCTAATCCCAAGTGGGGATTAGAAAGTGGGGTAATTATCACGTGATAGAGACCCAGGGTCATAATTGCTTGCACGTGTTGTTTGTAGTGATGGGATGATTAATGAAAATTGATACCGAGATTTTTGTTTAAGCAATCGGAATAGAGAGAAATTTATGATAAACCTTGCAAATGTACTTAATTATTTTTAAGAGGATTAATTTTGTTTACTATATTACCTGTGATGGGTAATGGAAAGTTTTCAGTGTTTGCTATATTAAGGATTAGTTATGCTATAATTGAGTTAAGTGTTGCAATATTTTTATGATGGTGAAGGAAAGCCCCAATAGTAAATGTATTAAAAAACTAATTTTCAGATGTAAGCTACATCCTTTTGGCACAGTAGTTGTGTGCTGTATACAGTACCTTGAGAAAGGATGTAGGTTACATTAGAAAAGTTGGCATTTAATACACTTATATTGGGGGTCTTTCCTTCAAGCACTATGCCTTTGTAGCAAGTGTCTCCGTTAGTTTGATTTCAACTAAGAGTATGTATAGCTGCTTTTATAATGGAATGATTCACTTGTCTTCCAGAAGAATAATGTGGATTTGCCTAATATTCCATATCTTAAATCATTTATATTATTAGTACATTTACCTTACAAAGCATTACAGGTTCCAACCTGAAATAAGAAAATGTTTAGAAAATTAAGTATCCAACGATAATTTTGTCAAGAATTGGAACCTGCATTATTAGAAATTTTAGTATGTCCCATCACTTGTTATTAGAAGTTCATTTGAATGCGCGTACAATCATGAACGTCCGATGGATCAATTTTAAACTGGTGTCTGCAAGGCTGACATTGCGTGTTTTTTAATTTAGTAATTAAACAAGATCAAAGTATGTTGAATGGAACAATAAGCAAGGGATTTGATGCACTTTTCCATCAAAATGCTGATTAGTATATATCATAATGGATAATACATGTATGTTTTCAGTCATTTCCTTCAATATATTTAAATTAGCAGACATTTTGGAGTGTCAAAGATATTTACAGATCTTTATATTTTATTTTGTATAGATTATATTGTTTTCATCGTATTCTCATGTTAACACGAGTTTGAGACTCCAAATTGTCTGGCTGTTAAAATATATTGTATATTTGTTCACTAATCATATAAATTATAGGTTTACCAGCTTTGGGGATCCATAGTCTCAGAAAAGCAGAGAATAAATGTTTTCTCTGGTACATGATTATAAATTGTTTGTGAATATAACTGCATAATCTGTCTTGCTTTGGGGTTTCTAGTTCATATTTGTTGGAGGTTAACTGTAGATTCTATTACACAACATATATTTTCAAGCAAGATTGAGGCACAGCAGATTTATGCCACTATTTTTATGTCAAGTACATACAAATAGGTAAGAGGCATAGGTCAATAACCTATACATACAAAGATTAGTCAGGTGTGGTGGGCATCTTTGTGTTTGGTTCTCGTGGTGGGTAGAGTAAATAACTGCGATATTTGATTTGTGTATAATCTTTCCTCGTGTGTGTTTATTCAGCTTTTCTCTTGTTAGGTGTAATGTCATTTGATTTTCAGGGGCACCTCACAGGTAAAATGTCTTAGTCAAAGTTCTTATATTAAAGATTACATCCATCCTTACTTCCTGGGGGCAGGTTTATATTTATACATCAGTTGACTTCAGTCTGTTTTTATGGAGGTCCTTGGTCTTGTCTGCTGTATGGTATGTGTTTATAAATTCTGTACTGTGGATTTGCAATATACTTATATTGTGTTTCTGTTCAGGGTTGTACCATCTGTCCTCTTGCAGTGGTGGTTGTACACTATTACTTATGTTGTCTTTTCCAATTCATGTTGCTCCAGTCAGAAAACAGGATAAGGGTTCACCAAATATTAATGCTGACATATCTTTTGGGGGGGCACTCAGTGTACTACCGTTTAGGAAAACTGATGACTAGATTGATGTTAACCAATAATATCAGGTTATTGGTTGTACTATACCTGTCAAGAATGCACTATACCAACTCCACTTGACTAAATGAACCCAAACTATATATATACAGTATTATAGTTTAATTTAGTACAATGTGGTTAGTTTAATTTGTTATTTTAGTTATTTAAATTAAACATGTACAATGTTTAATTTTAGTACAATTTAGTAGTTTCATTTAACTATATACTTGGTAAGGTCTGTGTGTGTGATTTTATACATATATATATATATATATATATATATATATATATATATATATATATATATATATATATATATATTATTAAATATGACCGAAAAAGTCAGATTAATAATTCTAACACGAATTTTCTCAATCTTTCGTACATTACGCTTCACTGTTGGAGGTAAATCAAAAATCAATTCTCCAAAATTCATTTTTATTTCTAGTCTGACGCGACACGGGCGCGTTTCGTAAAACTTATTACATTTTCAAAGACTTTAGTTCACAAATACACAACTGATTAGAACTTACGTATCTCCGATTTTATATCTACATTTGAGTGAGGTGGGAGGGGTGATGTGGCATTAACACAAGACAGAACAAGAGGGGATATTAATAGGGTATTAAAAGTATCAACACATGACAGAACACAAACAATGGGTATTGAATAGAAGTGTTTGTAGAAAGCCTATTGGTCCATATTTCTTGATGCTTCTATATTGGAGCGGAGTCTTGAGGTGGGTAGAATATAGTTGTGCAATAATTGGCTGTTGATTGCTGGTGTTGACTTCTTGATGTGTAGTGCCTCGCAAACGTCAAGCCGCCTGCTATCGCTGTATCTATCGATGATTTCTGTGTTGTTTACTAGGATTTCTCTGGCGATGGTTTGGTTGTGGGAAGAGATTATATGTTCCTTAATGGAGCCCTGTTGCTTATGCATCGTTAAACGCCTAGAAAGAGATGTTGTTGTCTTGCCTATATACTGGGTTTTTTGGAGCTTACAGTCCCCAAGAGGGCATTTGAAGGCATAGACGACGTTAGTCTCTTTTAAAGCGTTCTGTTTTGTGTCTGGAGAGTTTCTCATGAGTAGGCTGGCCGTTTTTCTGGTTTTATAGTAAATCGTCAGTTGTAGCCTCTGATTTTTGTCTGTAGATTTACTATAAAACCAGAAAAACGGCCAGCCTACTCATGAGAAACTCTCCAGACACAAAACAGAACGCTTTAAAAGAGACTAACGTCGTCTATGCCTTCAAATGCCCACTTGGGGACTGTAAGCTCCAAAAATCCCAGTATATAGGCAAGACAACAACATCTCTTTCTAGGCGTTTAACGATGCATAAGGAACATATAATCTCTTCCCACAACCAAACCATCGCCAGAGAAATCCTAGTAAACAACACAGAAATCATCGATAGATACAGCGATAGCAGGCGGCTTGACGTTTGCGAGGCACTACACATCAAGAAGTCAACACCAGCAATCAACAGCCAATTATTGCACAACTATATTCTACCCACCTCAAGACTCCGCTCCAATATAGAAGCATCAAGAAATATGGACCAATAGGCTTTCTACAAACACTTCTATTCAATACCCATTGTTTGTGTTCTGTCTTGTGTTGATACTTTTAATACCCTATTAATATCCCCTCTTGTATTAATACATATATATGTATTTATTATATATATATATATATTTATTATATATATATATATTTATTATATATATATATTATATATATATATATTTATTATATATATATATTATATATATAATATATATTACACACTCAATTATATATGACAGTGTCAGACCACGAAGGAAGAATTGAAACAGGAATTTCCTTAAGTACTTTCATATTTAATAATACATCTTCAGAAGATCCTTCTGAAGATGTATTATTAAATACGAAAGTAATTAAGGAAATTCCTGTTTCAGGTCTTCCTTCATGGTTTGACTCATATTTTTCATCACGTGATAATTTTCATGATTTACACACACACAATTATATATCTATTTTATATGTAAATACAAACATTTTATTTCTCTTCATATGTATCTTTTTTGTATTTGCTTCTGTATAGTACAATCTTATCAATTAGATATGTATATTCTAGTCGTATAGGTTTACTTTATTTAATAAGTTTATAATGTAAACTATTCTATGAAAGGTGAATGAAAAGATTTGTACATTTATATGACAAAGCAATATATTGATTTTACTTATCCTAAAAATTCTTGTCATGAAAACAAAGCATTAATATATTCAAATAAAATATATAATGTGTATATATAGCATAATATATAATGCACTATAATATGCATATATGGCCTTTACAATTTGTAGACATTATGTGATATACATAGTTTTTTCACCCTGAACATACATAACCTCCCATTCACCCTGAACATACATACATAACCTCCCCTTCACCCTGAACATACATAACCTCCCCTTCACCCTGAACATACATACATAACCTCCCCTTCACCCTGAACATACATACATAACCTCCCCTTCACCCTGAACATACATACATAACCTCCCCTTCACCCTGAACATACATACATAACCTCCCCTTCACCCTGAACATACATACATAACCTCCCCTTCACCCTGAACATACATACATAACCTCCCCTTCACCCTGAACATACATAACCTCCCCTTCACCCTGAACATACATACATAACCTCCCCTTCACCCTGAACATACATACATAACCTCTCCCCCCCCCCCCCCTCGCCGCCCTTTAACATGCACATTTGTCTGAAAAGTAACACTTAAACAGCTGAAGCTTTCATCTTACATTAATTCTACCTGTCTTGATATGAATGCAGTCACATACTGGAAACAATCTTGCCTTCATTCTCATAAATATGCACCACATTACAAAATACTGTATATAAGTACATTACTTTATATATATATATATATATATATATATATATATATATATATATATATATATATATATATATATATATATATATATATATATATGACAATGTCAGACCACGGAGGAAAAATGAAACAGGAAATTTCCTTAAGTACTTTCGTATATTAAATACATCTTCAGAAGGACCTTCTGAAGATGTATTTAATATACGAAAGTACTTAAGGAAATTTCCTGTTTCATTTTTCCTCCGTGGTCTGACATTGTCACATTCTTATTCACGTGTTTATTTTCGTGATATACACACATATATATATATATATATGTCGTACCTAGTAGCCAGAACGCACTTCTCAGCCTACTATGCAAGGCCCGATTTGCCTAATAAGCCAAGTTTTCATGAATTAATTGTTTTTCGACTACCTAACCTAACTTTTTCGGCTACCTAACCAAACCTAACCTATAAAGATAGGTTAGGTTAGGTTAGGTTAGGTAGGGTTGGTTAGGTTCGGTCATATATCTACGTTAATTTTAACTCCAATAAAAAAAAATTGACCTCATACATAATGAAATGGGTAGCTTTATCATTTCATAAGAAAAAAATTAGAAAAAATATATTAATTCAGGAAAACTTGGCTTATTAGGCAAATCGGGCCTTGAATAGTAGGCCAAAAAGTGAGTTCTGGCTACTAGGTACGACATTATATATATATATATATATATATATATATATATATATATATATATATATATATATATATATATATAATGTCGTACCTAGTAGCCAGAACTCACTTTTTGGCCTACTATTCAAGGCCCGATTTGCCTAATAAGCCAAGTTTTCCTGAATTAATATATTTTTTCTAATTTTTTTCTTATGAAATGATAAAGCTACCCATTTCATTATGTATGAGGTCAATTTTTTTTATTGGAGTTAAAATTAACGTAGATATATTAATTCAGGAAAACTTGGCTTATTAGGCAAATCGGGCCTTGAATAGTAGGCCAAAAAGTGAGTTCTGGCTACTAGGTACGACATTATATATATATATATATATATATATATATATATATATATATATATATATATATATATATATATATATATATAATGTCGTACCTAGTAGCCAGAACTCACTTTTTGGCCTACTATTCAAGGCCCGATTTGCCTAATAAGCCAAGTTTTCCTGAATTAATATATTTTTTCTAATTTTTTTCTTATGAAATGATAAAGCTACCCATTTCATTATGTATGAGGTCAATTTTTTTTTATTGGAGTTAAAATTAACGTAGATATATGACCGAACCTAACCAACCCTACCTAACCTAACCTAACCTAACCTATCTTTATAGGTTAGGTTTGGTTAGGTAGCCGAAAAAGTTAGGTTAGGTAGTCGAAAAACAATTAATTCATGAAAACTTGGCTTATTAGGCAAATCGGGCCTTGCATAGTAGGCTGAGAAGTGCGTTCTGGCTACTAGGTACGACATATATATATATATATATGTGTGTATATCACGAAAATAAACACGTGAATAAGAATGTGACAATGTCAGACCACGGAGGAAAAATGAAACAGGAAATTTCCTTAAGTACTTTCGTATATTAAATACATCTTCAGAAGGTCCTTCTGAAGATGTATTTAATATACGAAAGTACTTAAGGAAATTTCCTGTTTCATTTTTCCTCCGTGGTCTGACATTGTCATATATATATATATATATATATATATATATATATATATATATATATATATATATATATGCGAACAAGCCTGAATGGTCCCCAGGACTATATGCAAATGAATGTATATATGCGAATATATATATATATATATATATATATATATATATATATATATATATATATATATATATATATATATATATATATAATGTATGTCGTACCTAGTAGCCAGAACACACTTCTAAGCCTACTATGCAAGGCCCGATTTGCCTAATAAGCCAAGTTTTCATGAATTAATGTTTTTTCGACTACCTAACCTAACTTTTTTGGCTACCTAACCTAACCTATAAAGATAGGTTGGGTAGGGTTGGTTAGGTTCGGTAATATATCTACGTTAATTTTAACTCCAATAAAAAAAAATTGACCTCATACAGATTGAAATGGGTAGCTTTATCATTTCATAAGAAAAAAATTTGAGAAAATATATTAATTCAGGAAAACTTGGCTTATTAGGCAAATCGGGCCTTGCATAGTAGGCTGAGAAGTGCGTTCTGGCTACTAGGTACGACATATATATATAATATTATATATATATACAGTATATTGTATACAAGTTGTATATAATCTAAAAACTATTTATACCATGTACAATATTTACATATGTATTGTTTGGTTGACTAACAAATTTACATTAACAATATAGTGATCAAATGCATTTTCCCTCATCTATCAGCCACTACACGAGGAGTACCACATTCCAACAACTGTGATACTCTACAGGTCAATTCAAAATGTCTAGTATATTCTCAGATAAGCTACCAATTTTACCTGTCTGGGATTCAGCTAGGTGCTTTAACATGGGTATAACTGGGTGCTGTTTAATTATTGCCTGCCCCCTCTGATTGTTACATACTAGTGCCCACAGAATCCTTAAAGCAACCTCTATCCATGCTTCATTTCCACCGTTTTTAATAATGTCAATAATAGTTTTGATCATATCTTCAGAGGCTAACATTGAGTGAGCCAAATAGTGATTGAGAGAAATGTTAGCCATGATTCTGAGTGCATCCTGCTGTAAGCCATCCTGTAGCACAAGGTAATGTATGATACCAAGCCACCCATATGACTTGCACACTGCAATTTGTGAATCATGATGTCTAGTTAAAATAACAAGTAGTTTCACTAAGCTTCTTGTGATAGTCATACCCTCTTCTATAGCTACCTTGCACTCAAACCACTTCATTAAAGAGGCCACCAAGTCATGTTTGTTCATAACAAATGCACATTCATGTACTCTTGCACAGTTTATTAGAACTGAAATTGCTGCAAGAAAGCTATCTTTAGAAAAATCTGTAAAGCACAATGTAAGATTTCTGTTGCTTGTGAGCAATTTTGCTACCTGTTGGCAAACTGCAATAGTGATGCATGCAAGCAGAGGTCTCTTGGTACGAGACGTGCTGAGCAGCACACCAGGCAATCCACTTGTGCGAGTCAGAAACATACAAACTTCATGATGAGCTGATGCTGCTAACAAGAATCTCAAAACAGCTTCCATGAGAGCTACTGCACGAAGTGCTGGTGCCCAAAGTGGGTGAAGTAAAGGCACAAATGATTCGCCTACAGACACAGACCAATTACCCCTCGACTCAATCCAATTTGTTGCTACCTCTAAATGTTGTATAATTTTACATATACTCTCTTTTGTTTCTTTATTCTTCATTAATTGAGTTGTAATATGAATGTTGATTGTTCGGAGTTTGTTCTCAAAATCTGAAAGTGGCTTTGCAAGTGTAGGAAGCAAAAAGAGGCGGAAATGGTGACCAGCTTCTTTGGCACTATAAGAAACTAATAACAACATTTTTAGGCAATCTAAGCACTGAGAAATATGTTCTATATTCAAAGTTTCAACCTTCTGCTTCCCTGCAGTTAGTGTGTTTGGGTCCTCACTATTGGGTAAACCACAAATCAACTGAATAAGGTAACGTGACAGCTCCCAACCTGCACACACACGTTGCTCACTTAATAGTTCAACAGGGACATCTAGTGCTCCCGAGATGGCTGCTTGGAGCTCCTGCTTCTTGCCTATTTCACTGTGAAACACCTCGTGCAAGAGATTTGTAACAAATGCAAGTGTAGCAGTCTGATGCTCAAGAGGAGCACAAGAATGGAGGCCCATTACTATAGGACGTAGAGTGAGAGCAGGTGAAGCAGATATCCATTCAACGACACGCACTGCCCCCCAACCTCTCCCACATAATAAGGCATTCAAAACTTCCAAACTCACTACAGCAACACTTGACCTTTCAATGCCCGAGGACAGCACTACTAAACAGAGGTGCACAAGACCTGTATCACGAGCAAGTGAAGGTGCTCGAGTAGGGTCATGCTTTAATATAGCGGCAATTAATAAAAGAGCTTTCTCTACAATTTTTAAGTGATATTCTGAACACTTGACATGACAGACAGTGAAACGGAGCTGAGTTATTACCAACGATATAATATTATGTGAAGACAGCTGTGAAATTACCTGGGTGGGTTGGAGGAGGAGGATATTTATTAACAGTCTCAAAAGACTCTCGTACAGCTCAATTGACGTATGTAATGTGCTTCCATCATTTACATCACTCAGGTTTCCATCAGTACTGTGATTATCACTCTCTGGCACATAAAAAGAACTGAGTCGACTCAGAGACATATCCCATTCTCCCGCACTGGTGAATTTAGAGTTTACAGCTAACTGCTCCTTGGAGACAGACAACTTTGCCAAACATGAATGCACCACACTATAAAATTTGCAGTGTTCAAGCAAGACCATTAGTGCTGCCAAGCCTTCCACTGATTCCTGAAATGATCAAGTGTATATTTGATAAAACACAACTATTTTCAAAAGCATTAAAGTGTCTACCTAGTACCTGCTATTTAGACATATGACAAAACAATACATTATAGACTTCACAAACTAGTCATAACCTATTAAAACGATTTTTTTTATTATTCATTCACTAAGTGTGCTTATTTTGTATTTATATGCAACTTTTAGCCATGAGATATATCTTTCATTTGTAATATCTACACTATCTTCACTAATACATTAGACATCACAGAATAAATAATTCCTTACTCCTGTAAGAGTATCTGTCACAACCGGAGAAGTCCAGGGATTACTTCGTGTTGGACCAGTTCTTGTCAACTTTATCAGGAGTTGTGCAGCACAAGTTCGGACTAAGCAGCTTCGACCGTCTGACAGCAAGTAACTGAGGAATAATTTAATTAATTGACCCCAGGTATTGCCTACTTCACATGCACATTATGATACACACATTCCAAAACCATTACAATGGCTTAAAGTCACAAAAAAGGTCAATGTTCATGATAGTAAGCTGTTAATTTATTATTGTATCTCATAGTTCATCAATACCAAGACAATATATACAATACTAGATGAAGTGCCCCACATCGCTGTAACAATTTACAATACACAGTGTCTTTATCACTGTAAACATCCAGCGTATCCTTCTGTTTACATACTACTGTTACATCAATATATGTGGTACTATAATGGTACTCACCGTAAAAGGCAATTACAACGTAGAAATCACAACTACTGAATTTCAACAAACCAGAAAAGTATTTGTACTGATGTCGCAAAGAACACTTAACCTATGCCTAATATACTACACAAATGTGCTAAACTAGGCCTAACAATATTTAAGTTTGGTTTTTAGCCTTTTAATTTTCCAGACCCTATAAAGTGATTAGCATAATTTAGTGCTATCTAATTGTCCAATACGTCATATATATATATATATAATATATATATATATATATATATATATATATATATATATATATATATATATATATATATATATATATATATATATAATTTAGTGCTATCTAATTGTCCAATACGTATATGTATATATATATATATATATATATATATATATATATATATATATATATATATATATATATATATATATATATATATATAATTTAGTGCTATCTAATTGTCCAATACGTATATGTATATATATATATATATATATATATATATATATATATATATATATATATATATATATATATATATATATATATATGTCGTACCTAATAGCCAGAACGCACTTCTCAGCCTACTATTCAAGGCCCGATTTGCCTTATAAGCCAAGTTTTCATGAATTAATGTTTTTTCGTCTACCTGACCTACCTAACCTAACCTAACCTAGCTTTTTTTGGCTACCTAACCTAACCTTACCTATAAATATAGGTTAGGTTAGGTTAGGTAGGGTTGGTTAGGTTCGGTCATATATCTACGTTAATTTTAACTCCAATAAAAAAAAATTGACCTCATACATAGAGAAAAGGGTTGCTTTATCATTTCATAAGAAAAAAATTATAGTAAATATATTAATTCAGGAAAACTTGGCTTATTAGGCAAATCGGGCCTTGAATAGTAGGCTGAGAAGTGAGTTCTGGCTACTAGGTACGACATATATATATATATACGTATATGTATATATATACATTTCTTTACATAAGAAATAATGTAAATTGAATTAATCCATTCCACACCCCCAAAAATATTTACTTAAAAATACATTTTATACCATATACAACTTTTTTTTCTAGCTACAATACAGTATGTTTATCTTATGTGAACTGTGACTGCAATGAATATGCATATGTTTATGTCTCAAGTTAGGCCTCATATGACAGTGGAAAACTCTCTGCATTGTCCAATCATGGCCTACATATGCTCTGTTCACACAATAACATTAATTTCCATCAGTTTTCACACTGGCTCATGCAAATGTGATAGTCCAAGAACTGAAATCCAGCAATCGGATGATGCACTTTAGTGTCATTGCAATGTTTAGTGTTGGGGTACGGATGATGGGTTTGAGTCATCGGAACGCAAAACTATTAAGATACCTTTTACATTTCAAAATGTTATTGTAGTACATTTAACTCAAATTTTTATATTTTTTCTGTTTAATTGAAGGGTCTTAAGACCTTTATGCACAGATGGCTTAGCATGTACATCATGCAATTATACCCTATACATTTTTTTCACCACACTCAAATTCTTTACTCTTTGTGGGATGATGAGACGAGAGAAAAGTATTTTAGTTACATGGATTACAGATACATGTATCAACTTCACACCCATTGATTCAAGATATTGTACTGTAAGCCCGTTTATTAATCTCGTCAATGACACGTACCTTAAAGCAGCGCCCCACACTCCTCCCAAGACCTGGGTAAGATTGCTGTGGAGTAGCTTCAGTCCTGTAGCTTGAGTAATTAGAGCAGTAGCTACATTAAGCCCAACACTGGTCACAGTAGGGTCCTGGTACACCCACAGTGAGACCAACCAAGACCAGTCTAGCAAGCCCTCTTCACCTGACTTTGTTGCAACATCCTGAAGAAATGTTAAATATTCCATTACAATCACAAATTTGCTAATTTTTTTTATTTTAAAACTAAATATTGAACAGATGTGAACATTTAATTGGCAATATATACAGTACCAGCACAATGTTTAACACAAAATGTAAATTAAATATTTTCAATCATTATCTAAGCAAAAACCCAATGCCTTCTTGACTCCTATGACACTAGCATACATAGTTGTGAAGAACAAACATGTCTGCATGACCCACAAATACAGGTCATATGCCCACCATCAAACCATACCTATTAAAACCCTATACCCAAACAGTGAATAATGCCAATAGGCACAGGAAGAAGTGGCTAGTCGTTGGGAAGAGCAGTGGTGCTGATGAGGGTTGCTACCTGTCAGGCTCGGTATAAGCTGAAGTGAAGGAATGATAAAGGAAACACACAAACACACACACATTAAACTGAAACCATACAAGTCAATTCAATTCCCATTCACAACTCTTGTGGAAACCATTGCACAGGTAAATGATAGCCAGAAACTAGTGAATATTATAACCATGGACTCTGATATGTGGACAGTTATATAAAGTGCAACCTCGATTTGGCGAATCTCCGGCTAGGTCGAGCACACTTCAGGCCGGACTTACTCACCCGTTTTAACAAACTCTGGTTCGCTGAAGCGGAGAATGTGCAGATTTGTTTAGGATGTTGAAATGGTTCACAGTTTGGTGGAAATATTTCCCATCATGTCACAGGATAAAATGTTAAAATTCCCTTCATATGACAGTTTGAAATTAAAATTTTCATCAGAGAAATCTTCCTCCCACCCTCACTGGCTCAACCTCCCTTATTGTCTCTCCCTTCCTCACTACCATGCTCTGTCCCTCCCTCTCTCCCTCATTGCCACCCTCCCTCCCTCATTGCCATTCTCCTTCACTGCCACGCTCGCCATGCCATGAAAGTCGGTGGTAAAGTTCAAGCTAAGAAAATAATTGTGAGTAGAGGATGTCCCTTCCTCATTAAGAAAATGTGTGTAGTATGGGAAGAACTGCAAAATTTTGCTGAAAAAACTCACCCAGATAAAGCTGTAGCAGGCCGTTGTATTAACCTTTTTAATGACAATGTGATATCTCACTACAGACAAGTGTTAAAATGTAGGGAAAAACAAGTGTCTTTAGACAGATTCTTAGTAAGATAAGCAAGCAGTGAGCCACAACCAGGTCTAAGTAGTATGCCTGCAAAAGTTAGGAGAGAGAATACCCCAGAAATGTCATCACTGCCTGATGTTATAAAGGAAGGGGACTCCCTTTACAAACACTAACACCTCTCCTCCTCCCCGCCCTCCTTACCGTCTTCCATATGTCAACAAGAGTCCTCAATAAAGGTAAGGTACCTATGAGTAGTATTCTGTATAAAATGTATTCTTACGTTAATATTTTTGAGCGTGTGGAATGGATTAATTCAATTTACATTATTTCTTACGGGAAAAATGATTTCGGTTTTTGAATTTTCGGTGTGTGAACCGTCTCTTGGAACGGATTAAATTCACAAATGGAAGGGTCACTGTACAGCCGACAATGAACCTCTAATAAACAAGATTAGATCTAATAGACAAGGTTAGTAACATGGATCATTTGTTGCCTTCTCTATTAAAGCAGAAGCAACAGGTACGAACACAAGACAAATAACAAAATACCAACAGACAAGTAATACAATTACCGCCATACTCAATTATGCAGATTCAAAGTCAAGATAGCTAATAGTTGGGCAACATGGAGTTACAGCTCATAGCTGTGTACTGGAACCGGCTAATTATTAAGGGCACAGTGTATATTAGTACAAATCATCAAGGAAGAGACTCATAATTAAACAGGAGAGCATTTGAAAGGGTACCGGGCACTTCACCTGTGTAAGACCACCTCTTGGGTTAGAGAGCAAATGCACCAGAGCAATTGAAGAGTACAAAGTCACCATCCGTCCCATATATGAGTTGTGTGCTCTTCCTCGACCAACATGGAATGTGCTAATCAACCTGTTCATATGTAAGACAAATTAGCCCATACAAAGAAATCAAACATTATACATATCAGCTACTAACTAAAAAATAAATAAACAAAGATTTTAAATTATAAAAAATATGGAAATGCATGTTTCAGCACCATTTATAATAAGGGTTTCCATGAATTAAATTATCCTTTACTGATATTTATTACATTATCTTTACATGACTTACACTCACAAAGATCATTCAAAGAAACACTTACTCCACTCTATTTCTTTATTATAAGTTAAACCCTTTAACATTTTTGTGACGCCTACAATTTTCATGTGCTCAAAATGCCAGAACATTCCGACGACAATTGTAGTCGTAATTTTGAAAGTCATGTTGGCTAATTTTAATTCACTTCTTTTTGTCATTTTATTTTGCTTTTATTGTATTTTTTGAAAATACCAACATAAAGTACATCTTTTACCTTAAAAACAATATCAAATTGAACACTTTACCATGCATAGTAACTAGTGTACACTGAAAGTAAAATATTGCCTAACAATTTGACCTTAGTCCAAGGCGCTGGTAGTGCTGTGGACTATACATAAAACACAAGTTGAAAACATAATAGTAATCTGCAGTAATGAAGAGTAAGGGCACCATCTTGCTCTATTAGTACCTCTGCATTTCACCAAATGTTAAAGTTCCAAATACTGCAAGATAAATATTGTCAAGTGATACCTATACACTATTTTGTTTACCTTATAAGACTTTGTACAAGTTGATGTGAGAGTTCTTCACCAGGCCAACCCAACTCTGTTACATGAACGAGGCATTCCAACACACAGCCAAGTACAACTGCAACAAAAAACTTGGACATTATATATAACTGACACCTGTACTTTTCAATACTATTGAGAAACTTACTACAATACCATAGTGTTTAAATAAAGGTGAAAAAAATAACAAAGACCAAATGTATGTGTAAGTATATTATTAAAGCACATTTTCAGATGAACCTACATCCTTTTATGAAGGTGCTGTAAACATATATTGGGTCTTTTCTTCACCTTCATTAAATTATTCTTACAAAAAGAGAGACAGGAGGAATTAGGTAATATACACAGCATTACTCGTTACCAATAAATGTATGATACATTTGTGGTGTGTGGAGAAGCATACAACATTGAACCCATAAATAAGCAACAAATTTTACATTGCTTCCAAAATTAGCAACCAATAAAATACAGCTGGCCTTTACTTTGAGTGGTTGATTGTTCCTGAAATACCTGTACACATATAAAAGATGAACAACCATTTAAATCAACAGGTAAAATTTCTCCTAGAGAGCTGCTTATGTCACCATCTTTAAACATAAAATTAAGGCCTCAAATATAGGTAAAAAGTTCTATTTGAGCATGACATTCACTTATACTTCTTAGGAAATGTCCTACTTTATTTTGGGCAACAGCCAGCTCAGTGCAGCTTTCTCATCTTCAATGCAGCAGGTGTCTTTTTCAAGTCGCCAAAAGTACGAGCACAAAGACAATAGACAATACACAATTCACCTGTTAAGGCTTCATTGTCTTAAGCATCTTAAGAAAAGATCCCCACTGCACTGAAACTGTTTAGTAATATTACCTAACTTTCAATGATCAATCCTGCAGAGATGACATAAAGCACAAATGTTTTGTTAAATATGACTTGAGTGCATGAAGGCACAAACTACCTGTCAAAAAAAAGTCATACATGTTTTGTGAATAAAATTAAATCACTCTTGTAGAGTGAAGACTCATATTTACAAATTCACCGTGTTTAAAATACTGTACCCACCTAGATTATAGTAATGAAGGTCATTACTAGCGGTGAGTAGTGGGAGTAACCTGGTGGTTAAGCTAGCAACAAGTTGATCCAAAGCAGCACTGCCAAAGGCATCCCCACAAGTATCACAGCAACCAACAAACTTGAGTGCATCGTTAATAAGCCGTGTTACAGACCGGAACAAGCGCACAGACATCAAGGCTCGAGGACTTGGATCACTGGCCAGCCACTTGACACCACCTACAATAATAACAGTTACTACTCTATTCAAGAGTAAATGAAAATAGCAAGTATTATACAATTCTACTGCAAGGACATACTCAAATACATACTACAGTCTAAAATATCCCGAACTTCATTATTCTCATTAAGCTCACAATATAAAAATACTATATACAGATATTTTCTGCTGCAATAGATGATTGCGTTCAGACTCGCCAGGTGCATCCGACTGTGTATTTACTAAAGTAAATGATAATACATATTTTAAATTAGCTAAACACACAAACATGGAAAAATTAATATTTTTGAGATATATCACTTTCTTGCCTTCCAAGATATTTTAAATTGTCAAGGAATGGTCACTGTAGAATATTACAATAAATGCCCAAACAATAAATGTTCTAAATACGTATATACTGTATAATGCCTCTTTAGTTACCTAGCCAACACCAAAGGGTGCCTTAGCAAACTCTGTTTGCTCATTCCTGGGCAACATCTGAACTATAACATTTCAAGCCTTATCACATTACCTACCTTGAGGCTACCTTGAGGTGCTTCCGGGGCTTAGTGTCCCCGCGGCCCGGTCGTCGACCAGGCCTTCTGGTTGCTGGACTGATCAACCAGGCTGTTAGACGCGGCTGCTCGCAGCCTGACGTATGAGTCACAGCCTGGTTGATCAGGTATCCTTTGGGATATGCGCTATGCACTATGTCTGACAAATTATGCAGTCACACAACCAGATTAACATAAAATGGCTTGTTCGTTCATTGAAACACACTGTTAACACGATACACCCATGCTTATCATATCCAGGAAATGATTTCATGTGTTTTCAACTGTCTATATTTGACCAAAGTATTTTTGCCGATTTCTTTACAAATTGTGGTACTGTATTCAGAAGTGGTTTCTCTTTCGGTTAGGATTATTAATATTTCTCCTCGTGTTGTTCCGTCCTTACCCCCGTAGAGGGTCCCCCTTCCTCAATATTGCAAATCCCTGACCCACATCACTCAAACGTTTACCCCTCCTACAGTTCTGAAAAGCCTTTTCCTTGAACACTTTTCTTCACATTCCCACTCCGTTTCCATCTTCACCGATGGGTCTGCAGGCGGTGTAGGCTACTCTGTTTTTCCTGACTACACCTATATGTCGCCTGCCACCGAAGATTAGCATCTTCATGGCAGAACTTTACGCTATTCTCTATGCTCTTCATCTACTGCTTTCTCACTGTCAATCCTCCTTTGTGGTTGTAGTTGACTCTCAGTGCCCTCATGGCTCTGGAGTCCTTTAATCCAGTCCATCCAGTGGTAGTCGAGATTCAACATTTGGCTGTTTCTTCTCTCTAGTAGATTTAAGACATTTGAGTTTTGCTGGGCTCCCAGCCATATTGGTTTCTCTTTAAATGAGCGTGCGAACACTGCCGCTTGGGAAGCTATCCGCACTTGTCCCATCTCCCATAAAGATATTCCTTATTCCAACTTTTACCCAGTTATTCATTTCTCCATCCTTGCCCATTGGCAGGGTTGTTGGTCTTCTGTTACTGGTAACAAACTGGGTACTCTTAAGAGTAGTGTGTCCCTAAGGCCTTCTTTCTACCTCCGTAACCGGCGGTGGGAAACAGCTCTGGCAAGGTTGCGTATTGGCCATACACGCTTAACTCAGACACCTAATGGAGCGCTGTCCTGCTCCTTATTGTCCTAACAGCACTGTTCCTCTTACAGTTGTGCATATCCTTGATGAATGTCCTGACTTCCAGGACAAGCGTGTGTGTTGCTTTCCGACCATCCCCTGCAGTCACTTGTCCCTCGATAGAATTCTTGGTGAATCAGATACTTTTGATATCGTTCACCTTATGTGTTTCTGTTCTCATAGTGGCATCCTCAGTGATATGTAGCGCTCTCTGATTATCCCGCACATTTGATGGTGCTACATAACCTTCTTGCCTTGGTGCCTTCTTTGATAATTACTTACTTGCTCTCGAGCGTGAACTATTATTTTATAGTACATTGCTGCCTTGGCCTCTGGTGAAGGTGACTAGTACTGAGTGCCTATAGTTGTATTACCATTATTTGGGGTTGTGGCTGGTTTGGTTTCCCACCAAGTCACATTTTAAAAACTTGAGGGCATTTGTTTCCTCGTATGTTGACAAAAGGACAACAGCAGTCTTAGTAACCTGTTATTGGTCTCTGTACCAATTTGTTAATTCCAGTGTTGGGCAGTACGGTACAGCTCCTTGGGGATATGAAGCATGCAGAGTGGTACAGCTTAAGACTGAATAAAAATACCACATTTCTGCTATTGGGTATCTGCTGATACCACAGTTGGGTTCTTAACTGTTTTTGCCCTTGGGTGTGGTACGCAGTAGAGGACTTTGATAAAAACCATCTTCTCTGCAAGCTTCATGCATAACTGTTGCCAAGTTGTGGTCTCTGGCAAATACTGTACAAATTATTGCTGGATGTCTCAATTCCACACTTTTGTATATGTTCCAAGAGATCTTCTACTCCTATTGTACTCCTATCTGAACCAGAATGCATTGCAACTGCCTTACATGCAGAACTAAATCTTTTATATACATCTGATTTCCTTGTGGACCATGATCCAATTAAGCAGGAATCCCAAGAATATATATGGAATAAATATAGACGCTATAAAATTTAAAATTTGTTAATAGAGTTGTGCTAAACGCTTACAAAGATAAAAGCTTACCTGCATTCTGCAGTGTATGGTGTAAGGCACTATCCTGATTCTTCAGTTCATTCAGCAGCAGCGGAAGGAATTGTGGACAGAGAGCTTGACCACCCTTCACAAGTGGTAGGTATATCTGGAAAAAAAATTATAAAAAATAATCTTGTTCAAATTTATGGAAATACTCAACTGCCTCCCCCCCCCCCAAAAAAAAAAAAAATATTATGTAGATGTCCAAACTGCATCACAATACAGGTGCTGGCTCAGGAATCATCCGAGGGGCCTGAACTCAGTTAATCGATGACGCACCACAAGCATAGTTTTACTCATTTTAACCACAAACAGGCAATCAATGACAAATACTTAATCATACACACACACACATTCAATCTTTCAATCTACTTGAAGCTTCACAAATATTTACAAAAAATTAAATAAAGATGAGGCACAGCTTTATGAATGTAGAATACTCTACTTCCCTTTTCTGAATTATACAAATACTGTAATATCTTTAAATGCAACAGTGACTAATTAGCTATTGATGAAGAAATGCCATTTTAATTATTATTTAAATACAGTACAATCATGTTTTAATAATTGGTAATTAAGCTGATGAGAAAATAAATAATTTTTAAAACTAAAAACTAGATTTATATTGGACAAGTCATCAAAAAATCTTTGCACACTTACTGAAAGACTGATGGATACAGAGTTCAATATATGTGTAAGGAGCTGCTCGTCAACAGAGGAATTCGGCCGGGAAGTGAGAAAGCGCTGGAGGCTTTGTGTCCAATGATTGGAAACAAAAAATTCTTCATTTTTGCATGATGCAAACTGCACTTGTTGAATATAAAAGCTCAGAGTATTGATATTTCTCTTCACATCGTGATGGGAAGTGGCATTCTCAACGTTTTTAAGCAACTCCATCATGGCTACTCTTAAAACTGATGACTTTAATAATGATGCATCATATTTACTGAGCTGCAAATTAACAGAGAATTTGGATGGCTGATCAAAGGCCAAATCAATGTGTTCAATTCCACCAACACAGGCTGCTGTCCACACAGTTTTAAAAAACTCAAGCACTGGCCAATCTTTTTCCTGCAGAATGTGATGCACTGTTCTCATCTCCTCACATAAACCATACTCCTCAAGCCAAATGTAAGTATCGCATACAAACGGCAAATGAGTCCTAGAGGACAAGAGTTCTGGTACACAGATGAAATTTTTTTCACCAGCATTCACTGCATTTTTATCTTTTTTAGTTTCCAAATATGTAATGACATCATTGTAGAGGAGAAGAGCCAATAAACAAGATGCTTGACATCTGGTACGCTCATCTGCATAATAAAGGCGGGCAGCTGAAACAAAAAGTTTGGTATATATTAAGTCATTTTTGCTTATACTGTAGCTGAAATAATAAAATAATTAAACAGTTTGCAACTCTCCATGGAACCTACCTCTAACAACACACAACAAGACCTCCTCGTCTCGGAGCAATGTTGTCCTGATGTGAGCAGAGTTAGTAGCCAGCAACCTCAGACATTCCACTGCTCCAGGTAAGTACTCCACTGACACATTTTGTGACCCATCACGCTGCAAGAGATAAACCTTAAAGCCCTCTCGCTAATCTATAATATCTTACTCATTACTTACTTAAACTATAACTCTATATAATTAAGTTAAAAACATTAGCACTTTAAACTTCAATACAGGCAAACCTCAACACTCCACATTAGTGTATATAATTTTGGACCCGATCCAAATTTGCCCGAACTCTGGATTTCCCCAAATTTGATCTTATTTTAGCTATTTATCATAAAAAAATTTGTTTGTTTTTTTATCGTATAGCAAATATTACATACATGTACGTTTATAGTACTGTACTGCACAATCCAATACAAAGATCGCGCTTTCAGTTGGGAGCAATCAAAGGTTCAGGTGGACAGGGGTTTTAAAATGTGGTAGCTATGTGGGAAGATAATTGTGGAAATTATTGGCCTTGTGAGGGTCAACTTGTGCCACAATATACTAAACTGCCTGTTTACCTATAAATTCAATATATACAATTGAAGAATAGAAAGTTATAAAAGATGGTACATTATTTTATGTGATAACAATACAAATATTGCTGCATCTTGCATTGAATTCTGATTTTTTTTTAATCTGAATTTGGAGGAAAAATCCAGTGGACAAAATTGTTTCAGATGTTTATGCAAAATCTGCCATATCAGCATCCAGATTAATAGGCTGCTATTGTATTCAGGAAATATAGCACTGTAGAAGGAAACAGTGTTTTCTGAACTGTTGAAAAAGCCCCACTTCACAAAGGTGTCAGTAAAGCAATTACAAACCATTTATTAAATCATACATCATTCAAAACAATTTTACAATGCTTAGAAATCAACATACAAAACACACGGACTTGCACCATTGGGAGGTTGAAGTATAATAAGCCCTGGCTTCCTGTTCCGGCCCCTCGGGTAAAATTTATAATCTAGCGCAGCAGGTGTTTAAAGCAGAAAGCTCTTTCCTCAGACTCTGTGGCTCACTACAATATAGTCTTGGAAGCAACATAATATACATTGGTAAATGGAACTATGACAAAAATGACACACAAAAGATGCATATAAGAAATACGTAACTGGAAAAGCATGGAGGTTCATCTCCATATTCTGAACTAACAAACCACTAAAATTAGTTAATTGGAAACAAAATTACTTGCTACAAAAACGATGTTTCTCGGAGTAAAGTAAATCCTTCAAGAAACAAATTGTATAATATGTTTCACTACAAACAAATAACAATTCCTATTCAGTAAGTACAGTAGTGTAAATAGTAACATATTCACACTCTCGGCTGTTGGGATGGCATCAAAATCCACAGCTAAAATAAAATCCTTAAAGTAACACCATGATACAATAGTATTGTTGTTACCTATTATTTTCTTTTCCATATAACTTTTTATTACTTGTAAAGGTACAAAAAAATAAACAAAAAAATTCAAACAGAGATAGCTGCCGAAAACACAGCTACAGCTTAACGTTAAACATGGCTAACTGGGTCCCTACTTGTTGCAGTTATCCCTTCTGTATACATATAGAAAGAAACAGATTCTATGCTGTCAGATATCTGGGATCATTAAAATATAGAAATTTAACAAACTACCAGCTAATAATAATATATGAAAATAATGCTATTATCAGTGAATTACACCAATATAGTACTAAAGTATAATGCTAAATTTTACATAAGTGTTCCTGAAAGTACAGTACAACCTCAGTACTCAAACTTAATTGGTTCCTGAAGGCAGCTTGAGTACCGAAAAAAAATTCCCATGAGGAATAATATAAATTGGATCCAATTGTAGACCACGCAAATAAGTATATTAAGATATTAAATAAATACAATTACTATATACACTTTACCTACAATTAGGAGAGTTGATTGCATATGTGGAAGGTGGTGAGGCAGAGAAAAAGAAATGTTATTCTTTGGCAGGGAAGTCCCCCTACATTTATCAAAGCTTTGTCAGTGTTTTTTTATCAAGAATACTTTGCACTTTCCCCCATTATGCACACATTTCTTTTATTAGAGAACAAGATTTAGGCATACCAAACTCAGTAGCAAGAGCAGACACGTGGGCACCACTTTCATATTTGGCCGAGTTCTTATTTCATCTCGATCGTGGTTCTCACTAATTTCTTTTTGCTTGGCTTGGCTCTTATCACTAATTTTCTTTGCTGCCATGATGACTAATATAAAAAATATCCAAGAAAACACAAGAAAGTGTAGAGAAGTCTAGTGGTGGTGTGCACGAACGACAGCTACTGGGAAACCAACTCATCTGGAACCCGTGTTTACGTTTGAGGACCGAACATGAACACAGCATTCGCGTGCCAAATTGTTTGCATTGGGAGCTGTTCGAGTAGCAAGGTTACACTGTATACTAAAGTATAGATATTGTTAAACATACTATCTCTTGGGAAACAGTATTCTCTGAATGGAGATCTGTGTATCAAAAACAGATGCTCAAGTTTTGTCCTAACATTTGACAATTAAAAAAGTACAAAATACAACTTTTTCAATTTTAAAAACTTACCTTCATCATGTTGACAAAATTCATCACCAGAAACTGGAGAGAACACAGCTCAAGAAAGGGTTCATGAAGCCTGGGATCCTCTAACAGAAAGGCCAGCTGAGACCATGCAGCCTTACGAACCCCTGGCTCAATCCCTCTACCGAGGATCAGCTCCATCACCTTCATCAATCGACTCTCCTGAAGATAAACATTGTCATATTCACCAATTTCAATCAAAGTAGATTTCGTATTTTTCATAAATAAGGTCATGGCAAAGGTACAGTTGGCCACTAAATTATGAAGTGTTCCTAAATACAATATACACAATTGTATATTTGTCCACAATATATTCAGTATATATTGTGGGCAATATATAGCGAACGAGTATCTATTTGAAAGGATTCCAAATTTAATACCATTAAATAACTCATTATGAACTGACCTCTGCAGCCATATTGTTCACAACAAAGAGTTGTGAGGGATTCTTCAAAATCAAGAGGTCATGATGAATGGCAAGGTTAAAGTCTTGTGGATCAGGAAGAAAGTCGCCTCCAGTTATTACAAGTCTCTGAACCACACGTGACAGAGCTTGAATTCTCGTGTCTCTATCTCGTGAATACAGGCACTGAAGCCAATATTTCAAGTGCTGCAAGAAAATGTTAAGATTTTCAAAATGCATTCTTTCATGTAAGGGTATATATACAATTTTTAAGTACATTTGTAGTCTTCCTTGAACAAATCTCTTCCCAAAGTTTTTTCTAATCATTAAACACTTTAAAACCATCGGGTTGTCCCCAGTTAGGTGAAGAAATGGCATGTGCTGGAAGGAAGTTTATCTCAATCACTCCAATGTTGGAGGAAACAGGCATGACTGACGTGCTCCTGGAAAATCTTGGAAAAGCTCCTGGAAAAGAAATTTTGTGCACAAAGTCTCATTTATTTTGAAAAATATGTATACTTTATATTTAGAAATAGAAATTATGAATTTTAAATTTTGAAATGTCAATTAAGAAGGGGCATTGCCACAAAAAAGTTTGTATTTTTGAGGTTTCACTATACAGTAGTCATCATGTAGACACATTATGCACGACGTCTGATGATTTGGGAGAATTATTCACTTTCTTATCCAAAAATGGATGTGCACTTTCTCTTACCTCAATATTTTGCAATGTACGATCACCCTCATACACAATTGAGGGGAGGTTGATGATTGTTCGACCAAGACTAGTGTACGAGTCAGAAAGACACTGGAGGTCTGAGAGACATGCACGCCAACACTGAACCGCAGCAGTCAACACAGGGGTGCTCATCAGCGGATGGCCAAGCAACAATCCATGTATTATATCTTTGGCAGCTTTAATAACCTAAACAAAAATATAGATAATTACATTTTTATTTCCATGGAAACTAAATAAAATAAACCAACACAAAATTCTGAAAACATCAAAGATGGAGTCAACAAAGATTATAGATTTTGCATTTTAAACAAACAGAAGATATATAAAACATTTGTAGTTATCTATAATAGAAATAATGTAGCAGCTACTTAAATTATCCTAAGGAATTCCACATTTACACAATTCTTGCAAACCACTAATAACATCTGCAGTATAGTCCCAGAGATTCCCCGAAATACTAATGACATCCAACAGATACCAGGCAAGCTTTCCCATCAACCAATTTACAAAAACCTGGACCTACAAACAGTCTGATTAACAGAAATATAAGGCTGCTAAAATCAAAGCATCACCGAGTCACTCAACAAGTAACAGCCAACGGCAACAAAACTATGAACATATCACAAACCACTGTCTTTCCAGGCATTATCATCGGCATCTTACGACTAGTCGCGCCATCGTCATACCACTGTAACTAAACTATATCAAATATCCATCTAAATTATCAAACTGTGTTTGTGTCACTATAGGAACAAGTATGACACAGGATAGGGAGGATTCAACACAGGGAAAACAAACCCTAGTGAAGGCTACCTTCCAAAGAAGCCATCCAGTAAAGTACATGTGTACTATATATATAATGCCAGTGAAAAGGAGGCTGAGGGATCAGCACCCATGTTTTAATCCTGTCCCTCCAACTAGTATCCATATCTACCTATACATATTATGCCTCGGCCTTAGAGAGGTGACTAAATAGAATTTACACCTTCACTCAATTAAAAACAAAATCCTCTGAACTGTTGCTTGAATTGGCATTGTCTTAAGGATGGCTTTTAAGGTCTCCATAATAACTTACTGACCAACTAACATGTATACTAATTCAAACCTTAAGTACATTCTCAGTGCATTTACATAAAAAAGTGGACTGCACCTTCATGACATGTATACCATCACACTGCACTAACACCAATACCATGTGCACATTTTTCCAGACAACTTGCCTCTTCATTGTCATCTACAAATCCATGATAGAGAAGATGCCTGATGACTGTTGCTGACAGGAGGAGGAGGATTCTTGGAGATCGACTCATTGAGGTGTCTGCTGCCTGTGATATTCCAACACTATCTTCCACAAGTCGTTGAACAGATTTATATCTGAAAAGTTTTTATTTAAGTAGATTGCAATAAAAAATGGAACACAACAACATATTAATGAAAACTTATTTTTGTTTTATACATATATATAATAAACACATTTAAGTTATCCATATATTAACCCTTAAACTGCGCATGGCATATATATACGATCAGAGTAATGTGTCCCACCATGCGCATGGTATACATACACGACATAAGATGCCGGGCACGATTCAAATGGCCCGCGGTTACACGGGGTTCATATCAGCTTCCCCAGGGCTCTTGTAAACAGACTCCATTTAAAAAAAAAATCGTAGGCAACATCCCCAGGTGTAAAAGCCACAGTACTGTGTGAGCAACCAAGGCTGGCACATGCAGCATGAGCTAACAGCACTGCTGTTAGCTTGTGACCACAGCATCGCCTAAATATATCAAAATAAATATGTAACTGCTATTATTTAGTGATGTATTACACAAGACCCCCTGACTGATAAAAATGACCAGGATTGTGATAATAGCAGGATTGTTGTGATAATTAGTGCTGTCTGAGAGGAGTAATGCTGAGGGAGGGAGGGAGGTAGCGTCATCTGCTGAATCTGTGTGGCCACCTGTTGTCTGCACTCACCATACTAGCTAAGTGGTTCGCTATGGTGAACACAAATGTAGATACTTATATATAATGTGTGTATTAGTGTAATAACAGCAAAAGGAGTATGTTGGGAGGAGGCATTTTAGTGAGGGAGGTGGTGTCGTATGCATGACGCTGTCATGCAGTGTAGAGTGACCACTATGCTGTTTAGACATCATACCAGCTTAGTTGTACAGTTATGGTGAATAAAACATGTAGATACTTATATATAATATCTGTATTAGTGTAATAACATCACAAACAGTATTCTTGGAGGAGAAATGTTAGTGTGTCTGGCCTTGAACCAGTGAGGGAGGCAGCTGCCAGCTGTGTGTGTAGCTACGTCTCTTACTGCCTCAACTCACCATACCAGCTTAGTTGTACAGTTATGGTGAACAGAACATTTAGATACTTATATATAACGTCTGTATATAGTGAATAAAAGCAAAAACATTATGGTGGGAGGAGGAATATGTTGGCAAGTGAGGTGTTGAGGGAGGGAAGGAGGTGACATCTGCTGGCTTGGGTGTGGCAGCCCACTCGTTGGTGTTATGACTCGCCATACCAACTTAGTGGTTCGTTATAGTGATTCCTACATTACAACCTCTCAATTTTTATCTATGCTGTAACGACTCTCGCGTATTAACTTTTAAGTGTTTACTGACTTTCAATGGGTTATGTAACTAACAGCTAATTACTACATACTACATTAATAGGGCTTACTTCAAAAAGAAAATTTTCAACAAATCTTAGCCTTCAAAATTAAGCTGTGTTCACAGTCTTCTTACCCACTTAACCTAACAGTGACATCTGGAAACACAAGAATTTGTAGCAGTAGGCGTCTTGATTTCTCTACTTTTTCTTTGTCCATATTACCCAGTGCAATCTGTTTAGCAGCACCCCTGATAAATTTTTCCACCAGCACGTTACTCCGATGAATACTTGAAACAGGCACAGCCTTCTCGGCAAGATCAAGAAACTCTGTTATCTGTGATGACGACGTCTGCAAAAAGTCTGAGGTAGCGTGGAGAGACTCGGCGGCAAACAGTACACTTTTTATTTGGGTGGCAACCATAGGCTTTGCTTGAATGAGATACTGCAGTAAAATATCATATTGATTCTTGTGTTCTAAATAAAAGCCTCCATCACATAAAATGAGTATCAGTCCTTCACACACATCACCATCAATCACCTGGAATGAAAATATTTGTAATACTTTAAAAGATTACACGAATGAATTCAAAATTGCACAGACACACATTCCAAAAATAGCATTTCATCATTTTTTTTACCTGGTTAGAAGCTTCAATAGGAATGAAATCTGTAAAAACTCTGCTCAGTACTAATGCCAAGCAATGGATATTCAAGACTTGTCTCACGGCCTCAGTGTGTGTTCCTGCTAGATGTTTGGCTTCAAAGCTAGCCATAATAAGATGTGAAATGCATAGAATAACCTGAAAAGAAGAAAATTGAATTAATAAATCCTGTTGCCAAATACACTAGCTATTATACAAAATGTATTAATATCCAATTATGACAAATTAGCTCTAATAAATCTCAAACTAACCCTTCTAATTTCTCCTACGACTTCCTCAGTAGCTGCGTCATAATCCTCTTGTTCCCATAAATGCTGGGGTTGTACACATTGGTGCAGGAGGGCTAAACAGGAAGTGAGTAGACGGAGACTGGCATCTTGGATCGATGGTCTTAATGACACCAAGAGGGAGCACACGCGTCTCATAATGTGGCTACAGTGTCCAGTTACGGTTAACTGATGCATTCCAAGAAGAATAAATTCATCCCCATCATCTTCGTCATGTACAGTGGTACCCGACAGATCCTGGTTGGGAAGGGAAAGGGGTTAATATGTGCAGAATTTTCAATATATCTATTAGATTTAAGATCACAGGCTCCTGACAAGCATGCTGAAGAGAACATCAACGGAAAGGCCTTCAATTACTTATGTTATTTTGCTAGACATATCGTACATATCTACTTGGAGAGTAGAAGACCTCCCATCAAGCAGGTACAAACTCTTCAAGCAAAACATTATACTGTATGTAAATAAAGGCTGATCATTAACTCGCGTTTACATTCTGCACTAAGAGAAAAAAAAAAAAAAACAGCGTTGAATGTAATGACACACCATTTTCTGGGGGGAGCCCCGTCGGCTACCCGGAGCTATCCAGGCTGATATGCTAATGTCAGACTTTGGCATCAGTCATGTTTATGGAGTTCTGTTGGCCTACCGGGGACCACGAGCCAGAACCTGGCCCCCTCATAGAGGCACGAGGAGCAATCGCCTATAGAAACCCCAGTGTGGTTGGAAGCATTCTATGTCTGCCATCGATCGCAGACATAGAATGTCTGCTGCGCAGATAGCAGCGCGGCGACATGTGACGTCATACTCGTTTGCTCGTTTCTGTTTGGGGAAAACTTGTTCGGCTTTTCGTAGCAATTTTCACCAAAATCAGGGTTTGTTTTGGGACGCTTACCTTTCTAGGTGTCTAACCCTGTCGATGGCAGACATAGAATGCTTCCAACCACACGGGGGTTTCTATAGGCTATTGCTAGTTGTGCCTCTGTGAGGGGACCAGGTTCTGGCTTGTGGTCCCCGGTAGGCCCACAGAACTCCATACACATGACTGGTGCCAAAGTCTGACATTAGCATATCAGCCTGGATAGCTCCGAGAAGCCGATGGGGCTCCCCCACAGAAAAAAAAACACCCTTTTGGATTCATTCCTTAATGACTAATCCCTTTAACCCTTAGACTGCTAACTTAATAGCTTACATACCCCTATGTGCTCAAGAAAAAAATTGTTCTGAAAAAATCATTTTTTCTTATAACATTGTTAATTAGCCTTCGAGAAGCACAAAAATCCAATTAAAAAGTCTCAAGCTCTTATAGTTTAGCTGTAGTGGCCTGGAGAAGTTGTATATATTTAAGTGAAAAGAGTTAAGGTGCCACATGGGAATAACTTTGTTAATTTATTTTCATTGTTTCTCACTTTATATATTTAGTTTTTCATGCTAACAGGTTGTACTTGTATGTCAAAGGTACTGTCTATTATGTATAACTTTGAAGATATAAGTATGTATGGATATACAAGTATAGATATATACACACACACATACTTTAGGCTTATAATATATGTATATATATATTATTGTGAATAATCTTAAAATTGCATATAGCACACATTTTGCCTCAAATATATACATGGTAATCACTCATTTGCTGTTGCTAAAAGTTTAGTGTCCCTCTACGGTTGCCCTAAACATTCAGACACTGGATGGTGACGTTGACATCCAGTGTCATGGTGATGGTCATCATTTTCTTACTAAGGCCCTAGAAGGAAAGTGAGGGTTTCAGGATTCTTTTTCAAGATGGGGGAGGGTTACTAGAGCCCTGAGGAACCTGATGTGAACCCTGTGTAGCCACGGGACTTTTAAATCTTGCACGGTACTCCAAAACATCATATGATGTCGTGAACAATTTATCGATAGTTACTAAAGATATCATATAATGTTTTACGCAATTTAAGGGTTAAGGAATAAATAGAAATGTGACGAAAAATCCCACACATCTTCACAAATATAAACACAGGCTTTATGTACATAAGAAATCAAAGCTAATCAAAATTTCTGAGAGATGAAACCATGTGTAAAAACACACCTTAGTCACATTATTGAGGGAGCTGCTTCTATCTTGTCCATCTCCCAGTTGCCGGTTATCCTTTTCCTTGGTATTCGGAATGTGGCTATCAATACCCGTGTTCCGAATATAGCCACCATAAAAAGAACAGCAGCTACCTCTACTAATATCTGAATTTGAAGAAGCCTCTCCTGATGATGCGGGTGATGTAATCTGTTGGATTGTTCTTCACATTAGCAGTAACTACTTTATTTGATGCAGTTGAACATCGTTCAAGAGTTTTCCAAAATATTGCAAACATCAATTATAAATAAAGATTTTTTACACAAGTTACCTGGGAAAAAACATTTGTTTTATCAAATTAATGGCAAGATTTCATCACAATCAAAATAATGATATACACAACAGGCATTATTGACTACTGTACCACAATGACACGAGGCAATATTTACTACCACAACAATAATGAACGCCCAGTTGAGCAATATCCACAGTGGGCAACCAGCCCCTTCACATCGACACACACAGCTATAACTAACCCAACCACCACTGCAAGGCAGACTTGTGTTCCCCCCCTCCCCCTCCCCTTTCTCCCTCCATGTTGTTTCACCACCCACCCAAAGCTGCACCCTCACCTATACTCAACCAATTTTGTAGTGCACTATTAAGATCGTTCTAAACAAATTGTGTATTGAAACACAGCACTGTACGGTGTCAATAAACACATGCAAGGAGGTCATCGTACATACAGTGGTGAGTGAAGTGCTAAAGATTCTGCGTGGTGCTGGAGATTCGTAGTCGCTAAAACCAGGAGTTATAATGTCTGGTATGTAATGCTAGCTTTTATTTTGACTAATCTAATGGCTTTGTTTTATTTAAAATTTATATTTTTATTGTTTCATTTGCAGAGTATCTACAAGTATGTTGAGTATGAGAAAATGTTTGTGTGTAAAGTAATTCCTGCACTTTTGTGTCTCCTCACTGCCTGCTCCCACCCTCACAAAGGTCCTGTATCTTGTCGAGGACAGAGGGGTTGCATGTAGCTGTGCTGTGAAGCACCATCCACCATTATGATGTTGCTCACCTCAGTTTCTCATTGTGATTGAAAAGGTATGGTTAATCTGCTGAGCTGACACACCTCTCTTACACTTTGAACATTAGCATATGCTCATAACTCACATGATCAAATTTGCAATAAGATCGCTTTAAATAGAAGGTGCTCGAGTTGTTGCAACAAAAGTGTTCCAATTGGCAACAGGAAGTATACTTGACGTCAGTGCAGCATGATATCAGTCACCACCCACACGCTAATCCTTCAGACACCTTGTTGTTTAATTACCTTGCGGGTACCTTGCGATGATTTCGAGGCTCAACGTCCCAGCAGCCTGGTCCTCAACTAGATCACATGTCAGAGGAGCACATTTCATATTCTCAAGAGATAATATTCAAGTTAACAACTGGTACATCATATATTCCTCTTCATCAGAAACCTTCCAGGTCCATCAAAGTCCTTGCAATTTTGCACATAATCAATGGTTCCTAGTATGGTTACCCTGCTCGTTCAGTCACTGGATGATGGTGTGCCAGACCTGTGTCTTTTTAATGAGGTTCTCAGGTTTTTTAAAACATGGCAAGCAATCAACAGATGTCTCTTTGTTAAATGACATCCCCCAAGAATGGGGGAGGCTTCTGAATAAAATGTGCCATCTTAAATCCTCTCCAGGCAATTGGAAGACATGGGACAGTGTAAGGGTTAATGAAAATCTATATAAAATTTATTTTTGATTTTTGTTCTTATTATATCTTATTATTTACCCACACCTGTCTTGTGTCTTAATGTAATGGTTAAATTTAATGCTAATAATACAAATAGCACTAAGTCTCTTAGAGAAATGTGAACAACATGTTTTTAAAATTATAAATGTAAAATTACTTGCACTTCTAAATGGCAGTTCAGGACAGAATCATGAACCCAACAAATATTTACTAAAGACACTCAAAACACATTAAAAACTACAAGATTTCTTTTATTCTTGATGATCTGGAATATATAGTACACTATTGAATAGTTACAGAACTTAACAATGACGGAGTAAAGTGCGACAAAACTACACCAAAACAGCAAGCGCTTAGTACCCAGCCTAGAACTCTGCCAGTTAAACTAAATCACCATCGAGACAAGACAACCGCCAAGCCAATTACTTAAACGACTTACTTGTTCCTTTCCTGGTGTTAGATGTTTGTCTTTGAAATGTGCAACTCGAGTGCTCAGCAGGCGAGTCAGGCTCAACAAGCAGTTGCACGCAGGACCTTGCACACGCCAAGCATGCTCCCCTTCCTCTTGTATACACCCATAAACAGTCTGGTAGAGTTGTGATTAAACAAATTTACACATCTGGCAAAATAAAAATTCATTTGCAAATACTGTATTAGTACATTATGGACCCTTTGCACTCAAGTCAAGCACCTATTTATTTTTTTTAACATCACACTCATCAACCTCTAGAAAGTGCATCATTGATAAATTTTTCTTAGTTTCATCCATAATTATACTGTATAATTAATAAGTTACAATGCAGTAATTGTCTTATTTTTATGCCATATCATTGGACACACACACACGAGCATAGCCCTCATCCTGTAACTACACTTAGGTAATTATATACACACACACACACACAAATGCATACAGGGATATATAAACTGTCCATACTAGAATATATGTTTTAGTTAGTTTGTCAGTGTTAATGAACACCCACTGGACTATGATTAAACTTACTGTATCTGAACCAATACATACAGTATTAACCACCGATATCGTACTTGATATGTTTTAAAAATTCAACATAAATAAATAGCGATTTATCTAGATGAGACTAAGGGGGGCTACAAGTCGTTTAAAAAAGCTGGGTGATTTTGTCTAGAAAAGCAGAGTGACTCAAGATAAACCCTCAGGAGCTAATGAGTAATAATTCAGTTGTTTTTTAAACTATTATACTCATAAATAAATAAAGATACACTATTTTGAGTATATATATAAAGGTATGCACAACAAAATAAATTGATGTAACAAACACATGCACACATTCAAGATGTGCCAGCTCTCAAAACATATAATTAAGTTATATTTTCTTGCTGATTGAATGTTGAAGTTGAATGCTCATCACATATTCTACATAGCTCAAATGAATGCAAACCTGTACAACTGCTGGTCTTTGTAGAAGAACTTCTGGAGGGAAGTCTTTAAGCACAACGGCATCGAGAAAATGCAAAGATGCCACCACCACGGCCTCATTGTGACTTAGTAGTGACTGCGTTGTCGAGTCCAGCACTCGCCGATCTACACCTGTTAAGGCCTGAAAACAAGTATTTCCAATATGAAAGCGTAACTTGTAAATAATTATGCTCGTATTTACTCATTCATTTCTAAGCATAATATGGATGAGAATCTGATTTAACAATATAAATGACCATATACACTCACACTGTACTGTACGTCATTGAAAAAGAAAACTGAGAAGAAAACGTCACAATACAGTGTGTGGAATATCATTCGGTGTATACCAATTCAGGAATGAATGGCTGTATGGCAAGCAAATTTCATCAAATTGTCATCAGGTAATCATTACCTTAGTCCATACAAGATGTTAACCAGCACAATATTATGACAAAAAAGCTATAAGATGATTCCATATGATAGGTATATTAATATCCACTATGTGGGCATTAATGTACCTACCAAAAATTCTTACAAAACTTATTCAAACAAAAATAAAGTCTACTTTAAAAATTATAAGAACAACAGCTCAAAGGTAATTGCATAAAGTCCCTCAAGCATCTTGATAATATTAGATTAATGATGATATGAAAGCACTAAGATTTCAGCATTTTCTTTTATATATATGCAACAAAATTAGAAAAAGATTACTAAACTATTAAAACATGGAGCATGAAAATTTGTTTTGCCACGTTATCAAATGTCTGCAGTAGCCATGGTGGGGCACACAAAGGCCTGTGGCATGAGAAGAGCCTTTTTCAATTCTGTGTTTTAAGACATTAGTAGCCAAAAACCTACTTTTAGTAGCCAGACATTACTTTTTAATTTTTAAGACATTACTACTAATTTTTCTAGTACATTACTACTAATTTTTAAGACATTAGTAGCCAGGTGATTAAAAAAATAATAATTACAAACCATTAATATATTCAAGGTAAGTTTTTGAAACACTACTAACCTGGGATATCTTGTAACACAAGGTGAAGTAAATGATAGAAATGCAGTAATCATACACACCTGCCATGGAAAGGTTGTAAATGTCACAGGTGATTCTTGGTCCGTCACAGAATGTTCTTGGAGAGTTACATCACACAAACTATCCAAACGACTTCCGTCCACATTATAACTGTACAAAAAGCAAACAGGACATTGAATATTTCACCACTGTAAAATCAAAGAAAGACTAAAAACCAGCATTGAATGTAATGAAACACCATTTTCTGGGTGAAACACGGAGGCTCCCCAGAGCTATCCAGGCTGATGTGGATATATTAGAGTTCGGCATCAATGTGAATGGAGTTCTAGGCCTATCGGGGACCACGAGCCAGAACCTGGCCCTCTCAGTAGAGGCATGAGCAGCAGTGGCCTATAGAAACCCCCATGTGGTTTGGTGATGTGGTAACATCATGCTCGTTTGCTTGTTTTTGTTTGGGGAATTCTGTCCACTAGGCTTTCAGTAGCAATTTCTTAACCAGAATAAGGGTTTGTTTTGGGGCGCTTACCTTTCTGGGTGCCTGACCCAGTCGCTGGCAGACATAGAATGCTTCCAAACACATGGGGGGTTTCTATTTACCGTTGCTCCTCGTGCCTCTTCTAAGGGGGCCAGGTTCTGGCTCGCAGTCCCCCAGTAGGCCTAGAACTCCGTTCACATTGACTGATGCCAAAGTGTAATATATATCCATATCAGCCTGGATAGCTCCGGGGAGCCGAAGGGAGCGAAGATAGCTCCCCCCAGAAAAAAAAATAAAGTATGCATTTTTTTTTTTAGAATTGTGGATGTTTTTTAATCTGCAAAACAACATTTGCAGATTATTATTTTTTTTAAATGGGCAGTTTAGTTTTTTGTTTGGTGTTTGTTAATATTTTTCTTGGCCTTTTAGATATTTTTGTTGGCCATTCTGGACAGTTGTTTTTGACTTTTGAATTATTTATTGGGCATTCTGGAATTTTTATTGGTCACAAAACAAACTTACATTTATCAAAAGTTACATAAATCTTATAATTATGCTTATAATATATAAAAAATTTCCTAGCAAGGAAAATTAAATGTGATAACATATTTCAAGCTGGAAATATACTTGTTTTATAACCAAATGACCAAAAAAGGAAAGATGTGCATATACCCAAAACTACCCAAATTCCTGTATAATTATGTAAATACAAATAAAATATTTCTCTACAGTATTATTGATAATGAAAATAAAATGTGATAACATGTAATTCTGTTGGAAATATTATCACAGCAAAATATGACCAAAAATGTTGAGCTACTCACGTTTACCTACAATTACAAAATAATACGGATACAGCAATTATGCAATCTAATAATGCATCCTATCCTGTGAGTGGCAGTGGAAACGGTATGGAGGCACATATAAATGTGCTGAGGACCTGAACCCCAATTTCATTTACCTAGGTAGCTATAGCATTGATGAACTTATCTAAAGTGAAAAATATGGGCAGTATACTTATTTCATAATTAATGCCTTTATAAGTTGCTCCACATGAGATTAATTGATACAAATACTGTATGTTGAAATATAGTAATTATTTCTGAACTTTCAGCAATGATACATATTGTACAATTAAACAAACCAAACTTAAATATCATATGAAGAAATGTGCAATTTAGTGATCATTCACCATCTATTTAGTGATCATTCACATGCTTAATTTATTATCAGTACAGTAGAACCTCGATTTGGCAAATCTCAGGTTGGAACACACACTTTCCAGGCCAGATTTATTTGCCCGATTCCACGAACTGAAGCAGAGGATGTGTGGATTTGCTTAGGATGTTGGGAGAGTTAGTGGAAAACTTGCCTATCATATCATAGGTTAAACATTAAAGATTGCCTTAGTGAAATCAGCCCATAGAGCATGGGAAATAATAGGATATGAATGGTTACTGTTAATATGGCTCCAATCACTTTTTTAGTGATATTCATAGATGAGCATAACATTAGAAGAAAGAATTGGGGCCTTGGGAAAGCCATTGAGCATATTTAAAACCTATATTCTATAATTCTGTTTCATTTTAAGATTTCCCAGTTTTTGTCAAAAAACATGGGCCTCATGGAGCTATCTCCAGTTACAACAAGTCCCTCACTGCAATGAATTGGGGTTGGTCCTATATAGTCCACTGAATCTAGGTTACACTTCAATAAACAATTCTAATGTTTTGTCTTGGAAGACAAGAACAGGAGCTACCATTTCTCCAGATCTCAATGTTTAGCTGAAACTAATACTGTGTACATTTTCATTTTCCAATTTAAGACATTGTATATATTTTCTTCCAACAGATTTCTGTTCAAAGTATATATAAACAATAGGAAACTTTAAAATGTCCCTACAGGAAATGCCTAATAATGCATCCTTTCACTGCCATCTCATGTATACTAAAATCACCACGTTCACAACTCACCCCATTTCATAAATATTAGCGCCATGATTATTTGCAAATGCAAAGCTGTATTCTGAACTGTTTATTGATGCTGCTCTCTGTGGCTCCTCTTCCACGTGTAGCTGATGAAACTCTGGTGACTGTCAGGGGAAAAAAAGATCTAAAGTTCAGGGTGCTTCTTTTCCATGTAACATGATTTAGGTGTAGAATTATACATCCTTAATTTGCAGCCACTAAGTCACACTGAAATTTATGTGTAATAAACAATACATTGCACGAACAGCCAACCCATTGAGTAAGTATCTAAGTCTCCAATTTACATCTTGAATGCTTTGTTTCCAATGGGAACTCTCCTAACTTGTTGGGACTAAATCCTGTTGAATGCTCCTCACATATTTTAAATAAGAATTTCATATTCTGATCTGTCAAGCAAATGCTTGTCAGGTAATTGTACTCTAACACGCCAATTAAAAACAGCAAAAATGTCAAATACAGTATCCATGATATTCATGTACATGTACTGTATATTTAATCAGTAGTGAAGTAATAGATTTAATTTTTAGACTGAGAGCCAAAAGAATAATGTGTGCCTAGTTAAGTGTCCCTACAAGAAAAATGGATTACTGAATGCAAAGAACTATACTAATTAAATAAGGAAGCTCACTCTAAGAATTCTCTCTTCAGATGCTTGACATGGACTATGCTGAAGCTTCTGCAGTAGATGGTTAATGTCTGGCAGAAGATCGAGAGGAGCTGTTGCCTTCAAGCTACGGAGATAGTGAGCCCCACCAAGATAGATAAACTGCCTTTTTGCCGAGTCATCCTGGAAAAAGATACGCCCAAAAACAAATGGCGTGATATTTCTTAGATACTTAACATGCTTCCTTAGGAAACCAGTGCTCATTGATCCATTACTAAGCTGTACTGTAGAGAATAACAGATTATACCACATCTCGGAATCTTGAATACCTCGTGCTAAAATTCCATAAAAATCTCGAGTTCACACATTTTGAAATTAGCAAATTGTTAGTTTTTATGGTCCAACATTACACTACTGCAAAATTATGTCATTTAATTTAGCTCCTCACAGAATCAATGTATTTCATCTTTTGTGCCAGGTAGATAAATTAATTAATTTAAAAAATACAATTACAGTATATGCAATTCATAATATAAATACTGTAGTCATTTATATTATCATTTATATATATCCACTCGCAACATCTTGTAATTATTCTAATTCATACTTCAGGAATTCCTACCTTAAACAGAAATAAAAGCAAGTTCAGAATTTGCGATCTTAGAGTGTGAGGCCCCAGGTCCAGTAGCTGTAGCAGATTAGCTAGTAGGTCTTTGTGCTGGCTTAGTCTGCAACACGTCACCAACTTTAGCTCAACTTTTTGAAGAAGGGAACCGAGAGCACGACTACGGACTTCCGCAATAGGGTGTACTGAAAAATTAAAAATTAAGTATTAAAAGTACAGCACTGTAATTCAAAATTTACAGCCATATATTTAAGTTTCTTATAATTAAACAAAATTCAGTACTCAGACCTAGAAATACAGTGCTCAATTTTTTTTAACAAATGTTTATGCTACTGTCTGAAAAGCAAAGTTTTGGCTTTACCTACACACACACACATACCGCTCAACCCCTGCAAGCACAACTAGGTGAATACAACTAGATGAATACACACACACACACACTGCACTAGAAAGCCTAAGATAATATAAGTTCAATCTGGTACAGTAGTATAACTGGAAATAAGGTTAACCTTTTGACGGAGCTAGCTTGTGCATTCATTCCTTGGACTAGATTTTAAATGCTGAAAGACATAACAGAAAAACTAAATACCATGTAAAAAAAATTAAAATAAAGTTCCAATCGCTCCATTGTGATTTCATTGCAAACTGCATATAAAAATGCATTTTTTTAAAGTGATTTTGAAAAGTAGCAAGCTGTGTTTAGCACATATCCTTGGCATTTTCCATTGATTTGCAAATCTAGTACTGTACAGTACAGTACAGTACAGTACTTTATTTTGGTTTCTGTATACAAGTAACAGAATTGTAGTACCTGTACCAGTCTCTGGACTCCCTTTATTACCTATACCTGTAAGTAACAGATTAAGTGCCATACTTCTGCCTGAAAACAATGAGAATCAATTACAACAAAATTCATAAAAAACTATGTACTGTACCATACTAATTCATGGAAAAATTAAAGGTATAATATTAATTTTAACAAGCTTCTTTAGATACATGTTTCAACAAGTTTTGCAAATACATATGACAAGTTCCTGGCATTTTTGTATCTTTCATTCTATTCACGTGCCATTAGTCTTTATCAGCCTACAGAAATAACTTAAACCAGTGTTGATTATTTATAATATGTAAATACTGTAATATGTATACTGTCTTTCCTTTAGTACTGATTTAAAGATTATAAAAAGTTGTTCTAATATTTGTCTAAGTTTAATTTTATACACCTATTACAGACATGCAAATAATCAATATAAAACAAAAAAAACTTTTAGTTTGTACAAAACCATTGTCCATAATGGGCTTTGTAAACAAGCGATCATTAAATTTAATTGGAAGTCGCCCACAATCTGTTTTGTATTGGATTACACAGGTATCTGTATCCTGTCAGTCACTAGTGTCCAGCTACCATTGAAATGATGAAAATAAAACTTTGAATGTTTGACATTCCTACGATACTTGTTCATTACGAATATCTTTGGAAAATAATTTTTTCTATCATCAAACGTAGACATTTAATTATTTGCTCTTTCTTGTTTTAAGGTGGCTGTACAGTACTTAAACTGCATATGCTACAGTACTGATAGACAACCTGAAAAGTGTATCATTAATATATAAGGTGGGCGACTACCAATGCCACAGAAACCCAAGTGGCACCATCTGACCACCAAAACCTAGCACAGTATACTGTATCTCAAAAATCATTTAAAATGCCACCAATGCATGCAAATTCACCAAGTTACCTTGTATATTAATATCAGATTTAATACTCAGTGGTTCCCTAATGAACGAGCTACCAAACGAGTTGTGGTGACAGAATACGGTGATCAGCATGCAAGTTATGCTGGTGTTTTCCCATATGGAGATGATGGACTTCAGGCATATTGAGGTAAACATCATTGCAGAAATGGTGGATAAGTGTTGAAAAATTAGTGGGTTGATGTAACTACAGTATATGACAGATCCATATTACCTACTCAAATTAACAGCCACCTGTATCTTCAAATACATGCAACAGTACTGTAGTTTTTATCATATGGATTTTATTTTATGCAGGTCGATTACACAATATAGAGTAGAGGAAGGTATCCCTGCCTAGAATTTAGATCTAGTAGTGTTTTTTTTTTTATACCCAAGTCACAGCAAATATCCCTTTATTTTTCGAATAATAAATGACACGTAAAAAAAAAAAAAAGATGTACCAACTACATATATATTAATTAATTACAATTACATATATATACACTGAACATTAACTCTGTAATGTTCTTTTCCAAAGCTTACTCTTTTACAATTTAAAATGTTCCGAAATTAACTGCAATCACATCGAACACAAGATGGTCTGCAAACTCAATCTAACCCAAATTAACGTACACAGGCCCAACACAGCCTAAGATAATATAGTACATCTTAACCTAACTATATATATATGGTTTTGACAATCAGAAAATGAGGTGTTGAAATGTCTTATTTTCGATTTTACCATAATCCATGCCAATGTATGGGTATCTGTATTTTTGCAGTACAGTATTGATAAAATTTTAACCCATTTGATTTTATTGTTATTCTTGCACAGATGGGTACAATTCCAACATGAAAAAAGTATTAAGTACTGATATCGCAGTACAGTATCGATATTTAGTACGTTAATACGTCACCTTCAATATCAGTACACCTTCAATGTTTATTACATCATAAAATTAAGTTTAATGCTCGATACTTACTTTATCGAGAAGGGAAAGAGGAAATTACTATGGGAAAGCGCCAAGCCATTACGACTATATAGCACAAGAAATGACTGTATCCAGTAACTTAGAATCATAGACTTTAAAGTTCTAAATTGGCACATCCAGTAAGGTACAGGACCTCCCTAAACCTCCCCCCATCCCCACCCACTCATTTTGCTGCTTCACTCACCTAATTTCCTCACATACTCTGCTACTTCTGACATCTTCTCCAGAAACAGCACACACAGTTCTTTAGTCGACGACGGGCAATTATGGCTTTATAAACCATGTCATTCAGTCATTCGAAGACTATAGAATTCATGTGTAAAACTTTTCCTTGAGAACCCAGATAAGCCCCGAGAGTCCTATATACTTGTCTCGGCAGGCCAACAGAACTCGAAACAATGTGGCAGTATATCAGAGCCTCGGCTTGCCTAAGGGGAAAAAACATGGCCCACAATGAGCCAAAAATAATTCACTGTAGCAGTGGATATGGTTGATCAAGTGACATGGTCCTGCCTTACAGGTTCACCTCCACCATTCAAAAACAAACCAATAATTCGAGTTTCGTTCATGAAGACGAGCTCAGATCCAGATTTGCCGAATCGTTCTTCACGGCCACTTTATGACGTCACGTTCATTGATTGACACTACTGTCAGTGCTATGTTCCCTTCTGTCATATCAATAATATTTAAAAGGTGTCCAAATTAATGCAAAAATAATGCTAAACACATCCACTGCGGTCCGATTAAGATCTTTAATATAACCTGTCATTGCAGATGAGGTTGCAAAAGTTGCAAAGAAGAAAAGAAGAGAAGAAATTTAGACATTTACATTCCACAGAGTCTATCACAGATTAAGAAAGTAATTAGTAACAGAGCAATGCAAAAGATGTACAGTGACCGCAACACAGCAGTTCTTGTTTGATAAGCTGTTCACTTAAGACAGTTAAGCAAGTCTCAGCTGTGTCTGGGTACACGTGATAGGATGAACAACCCAGCGGGTTTTCTTCCTATTGGGGAATATTGTACATGCTGATGATGATGCTATAGCAGTAAGTCCACTCACAGGATGGGTGGCGCTGCCCACTAAACTCGCCCCTCGGGGCAAAACTTAAAATTAAGAAGTCATAGATTTAAACTAACTAAACACAGATGCCGAAGAAATATAAGGAAATTCGCTTCAGCAAACAGGGTGGTAGACGGTTGGAACAAGTTAGGTGAGAAGGTGGTGGAGACCAAGACCGTCAGTAGTTTCAAAGCATTATATGACAAAGAGTGCTGGGAAGACGGGACACCACGAGCGTAGCTCTCATTCTGTAACTACACTTAGGTAATTACAAATATTGTATTGTGACACCGTTAGAGAACTGAAAACAATCAGGTATTTTGGATGCGTCAATATATAAGCAAGAATAAAACATTTACATTAAATTAACAATTGCATTTACAGTTTTACCATATTTTAACGACTAAATAATAATATTTATTAATTTATTTAAAAAATATGTAATTATTAATTGTTTTTGTATATAAACGTTTGTAAAGCACATTACCCTGAACCACGACTTATTATTTGGATGACGCGCCGCCAGTCTTGGGTCATCCTTCTCTCCGGATTAAATTCTATTTGCAAGGATAAGACAGGTGGTGGGTGGCCAGAGTCAGCTGGTGGCTGAGCTGACACTGCTGCACTGGAGTAACTAATGACTTGTCTTTTCCTCGGTTCAGATTGCTTAATGGTTCATGTGTGAAGAAGAGTTCAGCGATATCTGATTAGGTTATTTTATTTTATTTTATTTATATATATTCAAGAAGGTACATTGGGTTTATGAGAGCACGTAGCATTGATGTTTTTACATTTTTGTAAAGCCACTAACAGCATAATGTTTCAGACAGGGCCTTAAAGGTGCGATCGACCTGGCAATCGAGCCCAGGATTCCTGATTGTGAGTCGAAAGCAAAGTCAAACATACTACTGTACTTACTATCAAACTAAGGTTAAACAAGGTATTCATGGTTTGAATACAGCACAACATGGAAATATAAGTCACATCTTATACTAGACAGTTTGCCAATGAATTTTAAAGCTAAGGAACCTTACCCATCCTTACCTAACTTTATTTTTAAATGGCTAAATGCTGCTCTCCTTTTCACTAAATGATTCACTGAGACCTTTTCTGACTATGTTGTGCTTCTGTTTACTCTGGCAATCCAACCATCGCTTGCCCTGGAACCATTTATTCGTTAGCTGGATGTAAACCTGCCTGCTGCATTCCTTATTTATTCACTGCAAATTGTCATACTCACTGTGCAGATGAGTATCCTTTGCCAATACGCATGGCAAATCATTTATACACATATCTAACTGTCCAAAATGTGTGCATGCTTCAAGGTTTTCCTATTATAATCTCCACTAATGCTCATTCTCCTACTCTCACTAGTACATGTAATTATGTATTGCTCTTTTTATTTCCTGATATCAGACACAGTACTCATGCCTACACCCAAATCCCTGGCAATTCTCACAGCAGAATGGCCATTTTCACAAAGCTCAATGATTCTAAGCTTCTCTTGAATCGATTGTGTAATTTTTCCTCTTAACACCTCCATATTGCTGCTGCTAGCAGACATGTTCTTAGCAAAAAATTATCTTGTTAATTTGGATTTCTGTTAAGTGAACAAGAACTTTGGACTTGATATTGGGTGAATTACCCAGAGATTCAGATTACTGTGGCTCAAATTACTGAGCTCTTCCTATATTCAATATTTTTTTCTCCAGATATTAGAAAATGCTGCAGCCCTTAAGCTGCAGCTGTAGCCATTTCTCAAACATTATTTTATATTATTTTCCCATTAAGTTTTGTAGACATGGTTCAACAATTATACAAATCTATGAACTGTGCAGAATTGAGTTACAGTATTGACAAATCAGGACTGAAAGGAATGTGTGTGATGCACGTGCTTTCTAATTCACTGTCACCTGTTGAGCATAATAGACTAGATTGCTAGGTCTACTGTGTGCCTTTTAGGTTTCTATGAAAATATTAATAAAAAATGACAGGTATTATAGTGGTGTAACTTTAGAAATACTGAATTGATATAAAGTATTTGCTGTCAAACTTAATGCAGTATACATAGTCTGTGTGCTTTACAATTTCCGCAGGGTAATACAGGTACTCAGAGTAGGATGTACAAGACACTTGCACAAGCAGTTTCATTTTTCTCGCTCCTCTGCTGCTCCTCAACCTCCCATATATGCAAGGGTGTTGAAGATGAGATCCCATTAAACCGTCTTTCTACCAAGACTTCATATTTTAATGCAGAAAAAGATAAAAGCCACTGGGAAAAATTTAACAATGAAGGTATGGTATTATTATTAATATATGTTGTTATTATTATTATTATTATTAATATAAGGTAAACATATAATGTTGTACCTAGTAGCCAGAATGCAGTACAGTACTCGGCCTACTATGCAAGGTCTGATTTGCCTAATAAGATCAATTTTTCTAAATTTATATATTTTTATAATTCTTATGAAATACTAAAACTATCCATTTCATTATGTAGGAGTTCATTTTTTTTTTTTTAATTTGTGTTCAAACGAACGTAGATATATGACTGAACCTAACCTAACCCAAACCAACATAACTAAGTCAGTAATTTATGTTCTTAATATAATATAATATAATATATAATATAATATAATATAATAATGTTTCAGATAAACCAATTGGATTTTTTTTTTAATAAAAAGAATCACTCGACCTATTAGGCAAATCGGGCCTAAAATTCTTCAAACAGTTCAAATACATTGAACTGTTTGAAGAAAGTTAATGTTATTTTAGAGTTTTATGCTTTCTTCACTTGCATAAATATTGTACATCAATTTACCATATATTATTAAACTTTGATTAATAATGTATTACTAAATAAATTAGATTAATTTATTACAGTATTCTTCTTAGTGACATGTTCACAAGTGTTTAACCTGAATACAGTATTTAGTAGTTTCTCTTAAAGCTTTATTATATTTGTACACAAAAGATTTCATTTCCAGTGTGGGGCTGCACAGCTCAGCAAATGTGGCTCCTCAACCGCCATGGTACTCGCTACCCAACGAAGAATGATATGGGCAAGCTGTTGAGCATATTACCAAGTATGAGCCAGCAGATAGAAGCAAATCATCAACAAGGGAGAGGTGCTGTACTTACAAATGCTTCATTTACAAAATTATTTTTTTGTTGGGTATTATTTTTGTTTTTAACATCAAACGACAGAGGTCACTCTGATTTTTTACTTTATTTATTTATTTGTCATATTATTTTGCTTTTTCCTTTAGTTATTTATGTATTGTACTGTTTCTCTTATCGTTAGCCCAAGTTTTCTACCGGACTTTTTCATCCTTTCTGGGCAAGTACCTGCCACCCTCTGATAGTGGAAACATTATAGGTGTAGGAAGCCTCTCATTCACAGGACCACAGTCAATAAATAGTAGTAGTAGTAGTAGTAGGCGGAATCGTGCAGTCTTGGGAGACTTGGGTTGCGTTCTGGTTTGCCGAGGCTGGAGTGTCCTCTCCAGGGCACAAAGCCTGGGAATGTCGATATGGAGGAGAAGCTGTTGTCCATGCTGCAGATCCCCCCTCCCTCCACATTGTGAAATTGTCCAACAGAAAGGCAAACGCCAATACGCTTGGTTCCAGCGTCATAACAGGAGCTGCCAGAACAAGGTTAAAGTCAACCCCCCCTTCCTTAGGGGCTCCAGCTGCAGACTTTTCCTTGAGGTTGACTCCTGAAGCCCGTCCTAAAAGTGGGTATGGCCGCGAAGCAGTGAAGGTTTGAGATCAGGAATTCCTTCCCCAAGATGAACTGCCTTCCTAGGCTGTTGAGTACCATCTAACCGGAGCAGCAGGTTGTAAGGTGCCAGAGGCACAAGCTCATGCACGAGGACAAGGACCTGAAGGGCCGCTCCTGGTACTACTACTGCAGTAGACTGATAGTCTTGCTCAGGGCCCGGCAGAACCTCTCGAAGGATGACTGGGAGTCCTCCGGGGACTACCACAGACAACAACACACAACTCAAATATTATAATAATATCATTATTATTATTATTATTATTATATTAATATTGTAATAATATTATATAATAATTATAATATATATATTATTATAATATTAAAATAACAATTATACTATATATTATTGCAATATTAACACTCGACTAAATACAGGATATTTAAATATACAATAAACATGGAAGAAATTACCCCATTATACACCAGTCTGTCATGTCTTTATGATGCCTGCATCACTATATGCCATTTTAAAGAAGTCAAAATTTATTTATAATCTCTTGGACTACATTTGGATACGGTATAAATTGTTCAGTGATTGTCCATATAAGCAATTATTAGTACTATTAATTTAATAAAAAAATCAAAGCATCAGCCATGTTGATATTGATGCAAACTTTTGCACAAATAATTTCATCATAAACCAACACTTGCAATGAAAAGCATTGAGACCACAGTGGCATATTCACACATAACCTGTGTGTGAAGTAATAATCACTATAGAATAAAAAACTGTTATAAATGAATTACACTAATAACATTTTTGATATTAGTAATTCATTAGATACATTTTATATGCAGAGGCATGTAACCCCATGCCCATCATCACTTGAAATCAACACATCTCATCAAAGATGAGATTTATCAGCTGCTAAGTGTTTGAGCTGCTACAGTTGATGTAGAGTTAGTGCATGCCAGAAGCCACCACCTGCCCCCCTCAATAGTAAGCATGACAAGAAACTCCAGTTGAGCGGATATTTGGGTTAATGCTCGTTCATTTACCATCCCTAGAATATTATATACATTTTATGTTTTCACTGATCCCTTCTTTCTTTATAGATAGAAATTTTAATTTCCTCAACTTACACAAGAAAGAGGTGGAATAAATAAATCTTAATGCAGTTTCATACACATTCCATGCTTAATTTTGCAATTTGCCTACACTCTTAGCACAGCTCCTTTGTATGATTTGAATCAACAGGTTGTTTAAATCAAGATGATATAAGCCAGTTAGGCAGTTGGTTTCCTCCCTATGGACCACACGACAAGGAGCAGCTGCAGGAGATGGGTTACGATGAGCTCACTTCCATTGGCGAGTACTGGAGAGATATGTTTCCACATCTTTTCAACGTGACATATGATCCTGCCAAGTTCAAGGTACAAGATTTGTTTGAGCACATTCTTTTGTAGTTTCATAAAAAAAAATCAGAATCTTAACATTAGTTATTGCCAACCAATGGTAAATATACTGTAATATGAAAGTGCCAATCTCATTTTAAATATTTTCATACCTGTATATCACCAAAGCAGTTTACATTTCTACGTAATTTACCTTATTTTCTGTCTTTCATAACACTGTCAATACAAATGCTAAGTACAGTACTATACACACTATACATTCAAGTGCAATGTCATTTAATACTCGTGTTTCAGTAACACAAATTAGTGACATAAGCTACTTTCTGTTTTATGTTCTGATAATGCCAAGCATTGTTGGTATTTTCAACACTAGACATACTTATGCCTCATTGACCTCACTACTCATTTTTATCCTTTATTAAGTACTACCTATGTATCTTAAATTTTTAAAGCTCTTTTAGGCAAACCATTACCTAAAAAAATCAAAATGTTAAATGTAACATAAGGTAAGGTAATTATCAGGAGAAAGCACTAAACTATTACAACTATATAGCACTTGGAAGGGATATGAGGATAAGAATTTGGGATAGGACAAGGGGGAGAGAATGGTTCCCAACCACTTCGATGGCTGGAGACTGAATACCAACCTGCAAGAAGTGAGACCAACACTCCTTACTGAGTCAGACCATCAGTTCCCTGTTAAACTAGGGCTTGATGGGCCACTCAGGACACAGTGCACATGCTAGGTTCTAGTTAACTTATCCCCCACTATAGCAAGGCTCTTGTAGATGGCCTTGGTGAGTACAGTAGTTTTAACAGGGGAGGCAGTGGGGAATGTAATCTCAATCCTCCACTAAACTATTGCTTACTGTCACAAAAAAGTAGATCAATACACTTAACACCCCCTTCTTCCTGTAAGTAATACTGGAATTAAAAGAAAAATCCATAATTGCTCTCCTGGTTAGTAACAGCAGGCTCAGGAGAAAACAGAGGACCAATGGGGCCAACTTGGTGTTGGCACCAGAAATTACTGGATGAAGCACAACAATGAACTACTTAAATGAGCAAAACACGAGGGAAGCACACAGGAACAAATCCCAATGGCCCCTCTTCCCCTATACCCATGCCCACAGGCTGGGTGGGAGTTTGCTTGATGGTGGATTAAGAAAGACTTCACTATATTGCCAGCCCAACTGTGTGACAAGGCCATTTGCATAGATCTTGGTAGAGTTGAGGACAAGTCAACTAGCGTCTAACATATGTGTTGAGTCTTTGATGAACTGACTTTGGGAGTAATCAAGGGGTCCTAGCTCAGAAAGTCTACTTACAATATGGCATTTCTCTACATCATTTTCAGGATTGTGTTTTCTTCAAGCAACTTCCCCCTGAATACAGTTTAGTAAGATAAAAGCTTCCTTAAATATTTTCAGGTGGAGTTTACTGTAAAGAACCGTACTGGTCAGAGTGCTTACCACTTCCTGAAAGGCATGTTTGGAGATGATGTGGTTGGAAATATAGAATTTCCAGAGCCATTTAGTCCAAACTTCATACTGAGAGTTAGTAACAATTGTTGTTTTATTATTAGAATTACACTATGAATAGTGCTATTCTGAACTGTCATATTTGGTTGCCCCTAAAGTACGGTACGATCCCTGTGTCATATGAATGAATTGTGCATAGTCAGTCAAGACAACAGTCTGACACTAGCACCATGGGAAAATTTTCAAGCATCCTTGCTGGGTTGTTATAAAATTGCAATTATTATTTCCTTCATTTGATTTCTCTCACACTAATGATGATTCTTGTTGGTACAAAATATGCCATTCAATTAAAAGATTATACTTTTCCTAGCTCAGAACCTTCTTCTTAGTTATATAAATAATTATTATTATTATTTGATTTAAAAGCAATGATAAAGGTACTGTAAGAGTTTGTTAAGTACAGTAAATGGTGAGAGTAAGCAAGTAAACCAAGGGAATGTGCAGGTAAATGGCAGGAATAACTGGGTAAATGATGGGAGTAACTGGGTTATGGTGCAAACAGTTGCGAATGTGATCATTTTTGTACAGTCCTGGTAAAAAGTTTGGCATGTGAAATGTTCAGTTAACTCAAGTGTTGGTGGGTTCCATATAATTTGGATTACTGAGCAAGTACCCCTGCCTCAGGTCAGGCAGGGGTCTAGCCTGCCTTCTTCCTTACATGAGATGCACTCAATCTCCATGGAAAAGAAGGACAAAGAAGAGAGGGGTATAGGAAGTTACCAAAGCAATCTGGTAGTGTGAAAGTCAACTATGAGGTTCCAGTTTAGTTTTGGCAATGGCACCTCACTGCATCATAGGTTCAACACACCTTGTTAACTGGTCGAGGCAAAGGCACCACATAGCTTCAGGTGTTCAGCTCAAGAGTTCTGCCAATCCAAAGCATGTTCGCTTCTGAAATTGAGGGCTACATGGTCCCCTACTCTGAAGAAGATTGTGTAGTCCCCACCTATTTCACAGGGTATGAATTTCCTGTAGACTTGGAAAGGGGATCCTAATAATCCCCACCCATTTCATAGGTTAGAATTTCCAATAGACTTGAAAAGAGGTCTGAATAGTCCTCAGGCTGTTTATCCTATCTAATACTCCTATCACCAAGTTCCCACTTTGTCCCCGTTCAGTTCTTAGTGTCATCGAATCTTCACTAAGTTCCCACTTAATTCCCATTTAGTCCTTTGGCTGTCTATCCTATCTTAGCCTCGTGTTACCAAGTTCCAGTTTAGTCCTTAGGCTATCTATTACCCATGGCACTAGTGCCAAAATACTATCCTTCCTGACTTTCCATAATCTTATCATATGACTAAATTTTACCTTACCATAAGGGGTAATGGAATAATGGTCAGAATGATTCTTCTCACCATTATCCAGTGGCTAATTATTTTAATGAAAACCTTTAGTTGCAGTCATTTACATTATTTCTAGCCCCCAAAAAACTGGATAAAAAATTTAAGTTTTAATTTACAAGTTATTAAGTACAGGCATTTGGCATGTACAACGCTATTGGCATACAACATTAATATAATAATTTTATTATGAATATTATTAAACTGGATTTACTGAACCTGTTCTGTATTTTATTATCCAAGTCATAACCAGAAAACTAGACTGTTTAATATCTCATCATGACTATTTAATATTAAAGCTCTATCATTTAGAAGGATCAGACAAGTTCATCAATTACTGGTACTTACATATGTCTGAATGCAAGATCTGTTCTGGAAGTACATTTCTCCTGTGTTTGATCAAAGTGGTAGCTTTAGAATTTAACAAATCACATGTGCCAGTGCTTGGGAAAAATTGCTGGGAGAAGCTACTGTTATAATTTTGCATATGTTAAATGCTGTAACTTTTTTTCCTTCATTTCATAATATCTAGTTCTACAAAGCATGTCCTCGCTGGTTGCGTGAAGTATATAGGAACAGTGAGACGACATACAAAGAGCGAACATTATTTACTCACTCCGAAGTGTTCCAGAGTGTTGCCCATGCTGTGAGCGCCAGACTTGGGTTCATGCATCCACTTAAACCAGGTCTGTTACCTATGGTATTGGATTTTTTTTTTTACATTGATTATTATAAGCATGCAATGTGCATTCTATTTGTTTAGTACAGTACTAGTTTCTCTCATTGTATGGAAAAAAAAACACTAAGTTGATTATTTGCTATTTTAATTCATATTTAATTATTCATGTTAGATTATAAATACAATGATCTAATGTGCTGCTCTCTTTTATTTTGTACAGGAGAAATTGAGGCAATTTACGATGAGTGCCGCTATGAAACAGCTTGGTGGCCTTCTCAGAAAAGTGCATGGTGTTCAGCTTTCTCCCACTATGACTTTGAGGTGATTGTTGCTGAGAACTGTGAAGTGTGTGTGTGTGTGTGTGTGTGTGCATAATAGAAGCATTGCTTATGTGTATTATTACCTATTTGTAATTATCAGTATTTAGTTAAAGGAAGAGAGAGTGATGCTCCTGGTGTCCCAGCTTCTTTGTCATTTGTGAATCTTATTCTATACACAGTGGCACCTCGATTAACGAGTGGCTTTTTAACATGGGTGGTACGCTAACAAGGGGACACAGGTGGAGACTGAGTACCCAAATGAGCTACAAGGACGTTAGAACATTTTCAGTGTCAGAGTAGTTAACAGGTTGAATGCATTAGGCAGTGATGTGGTGGAGGCTGACTCCATACACAGTTTTAAATGTAGATATGATAGAGCTCAATAGGCTCAGGAATCTGTTCACCAGTTGATTGACAGTTGAGAGGCGGGACCAAAGAGCCAGAGCTCAACCCCAGCAAGCACAACTAGGTTGAGTACACACACTCACACACACTAGCAAGATTCCTGTCTGCAACAAAACAAATTATTAAAATTATATAATGACTTACATAACATGTGATATATAATTCTCTATTATCAGGTCATGGAATATCATCAGGACTTAAAATATTATTATGAGGACAGCTATGGCCATCCCCTCAACTCGAAGACCGCTTGTAGGACCCTGTGTGATCTTTACAATAACTTCAGGTAAGAAATGCACCAAGTAAGATTTTTACCCATTAATAGAATGATAATGGCCTAAAATAGATGATGTGTGAGAGATGAATAATAATAAACAGTTGTTCAGTTTTGGGGTCTCCTGGCAGTATGTACCTCACACATGCACACACCCTCAGTGGGTGACGTCTGACCCTCTCTCCCTTGTGGGGTGCAGAGATGCTACCCTCACAAAAACCTATGGGAAAAAACTTTACACACACACACCGAAAGAGCAGAGCTCAACCCCCGCAAGCACAACTAGGTGAATATACACACACACACGCAGCATAAACATTTTCTAATACAAAATTCAATATGCAGTACTTAGAAACACTGACAATTGAAACAAAAATTAACAAAAATAAAACAAACTTACATTTTAATTAAGGAAAAAAAATTTAGCTTAATAAAAATAAATACTAGACTTTATATACCAGCTGTATTGCAAAACATCTCCCTATGCTGCTGCTGTTATTGCTGTCCTACTGCTTTTGTTTATTTGGCTGTGTTGCCTTTCTGATGCTGCTACTATTTCTGGAAATATTGCCTATTTAGAATTTGTAGGTATTTTAGGCATTTGGGAAGATATGTCAGCCAGTATATCGAAGTGACAGAAAAAATATGCTAGGAAAAAAATAAAAAAGAGCTTTTCACAAGCCTAATGTATATATTTTTTTACAGGATGACTATCAGCAAAGGGGAGGCCAAGCCACAAGGGATATTTTATTTTGCACATGACAAAACTATATTTAAGGTAAGTTATTTATAATCTTATTACTGTATACCCCTAAACATTATGAATCTGTGTAGTGGTACTATTTTATCCAGTAATATTAGAAACAAGGATGCATCTACATAACATGGCGACTTGTAATGCACTTCGCTCATGACCAGTTGCTCCGAGGCTCTGTTCTTTGTGCATGAAGACATTTGGGCACATTTACAGTACTTACTTCTACTGCCCCTATTCACCCAATAATAAATAGGTACGTGGAAATTAGTCAACTGTTGTGTTGCATCCTAGAAATCACCAGTTCTGTATTTTATTGTCAGAGTAATTAACCAGAATACCAGGTTCCACTGCCCACCTCTGCCAGGTCATTTACAAGATGTATGGATTTATGCAGCCAGCTGTGTGTGTCTTTCTTTGCTCTCATGATGTGCAGAAGTTGCTGCTTTGACAGCTTTCTTTGCCAATGCAGTATACCCATGGCTAATATCAGGCCAGGGGGCTTCTGGCTGTCCAACAGAGTGATGGTCTCTCATTACTTGTTGAATGTCAGTAGGCCTCACTGTGCTTGGGTTGCACTTGGGTGTTTGACATGTAACTGATGTTCTGACTATTCTTCTTCCATGGGTAAGCCCAGTCTGCCTTTTCTGTTTTCTAATCTTTTTTCCATTCCAGAAAAGCTGGCCTTTTCTATTGAGGTATTGTTGTGAGTAAGCTTTGGGTGCTACTGATATACACCTTGATTCCTTCCAGAAATCAAGACGCATCAAGAGTAGGGTAATTACTTGACAGCAATGATCATTTGTCTTGTTTTTCTTGGGACAGCCCCATTTTCTTCAAGCTGTGCTTATTTTATTGGGCCTATGGTTTCAGGTGGATTTTTCTCCAGTTTTGTGGCTGATCTCCAATTTCCAGTTTCCCCTCACCTCATAGTTACCCTGATTCTGGACATGTAGATAAAATGTGTAGCATTCATAGAGCTTCGTTGTGAACATTTAACATTTTATTTCAGGTTCTGGCTAGTATGGGATTATATCATCCTCCTGAACACTTGAGGCATGACAATTTTGCAGACTTAAGGAGCAGGAAGTGGCGAACAAGCTTTATTTCTCCCTTTGGTGCTAATGTAGCATTTGTTCTTTACAGGTATGTTAAGTTAGGTTGTCAAAATTGTTATAAACATTTTACCTGTTTGATAAGATATACTGTATCTTATCCTGCTTTATTGTTGTTCTCACCTTGTTCTTATTGTTGTTCTCACCACAGTGAGAACAATAAGATTTGTTCATTTGTTCATATACTGTACTGTAATTGCTTTTGGTACTGTTAGGTAAGACTGGCAGTTATAGTTATTAGGGAGTAATGAGGCTATGAAGTACAGTACATCAGTTCATAAGGGGTTGTGAAGATAGTATAACTGTATTGCACTAGGAAGACATTAGATTACTAAAATTAAGAAAAGATAGTTATGAAATTATAGGACTGACTACTGTATAGTTTTTTTTTTTTAATTATGTTGGAGATAGCGAACATCCCCAAAGTTACTAGCATAGGGTTAATGAAATAGAGTAGTCATTATATATTGTACACAGTCACATTAGGTGTTAAAGTCCAGTATTTTCAGTTTGAGGATGTAAACTTTGCGATGACTGAAACTAAACGTACCATGAGAACAGTGAACAATATTATAAAAAAGTATAAAAATTATAAGTTGCTTGAAGTTTGATTATTTCTAATTTTCTCTTTCATCAGATGTGGGTTAGAGTACAAAATAGGCACCTTCTTCCAAGGTCAGCCTACACCCCTCACCGAGCACTGCCAAGGAACGCTGTGTCGGTTGGAAGAGATAAACCCGTGGCTGAGTGAGAGCTGCGAGACCTGCGACCTCAGCAAGCTGTGTATGATGCATGATGAGCTTTAAAAAGGAACTGACTAGTTTGAACGTGTGTATATATAATACAGTTTATTATAATTTTTAGGTATGAGAATTGTGATGACTGATTTTTTTAATGATTTTTCATTAAAAATTTTTCTTGTTGATTTAAATAATTATTTAAACCGTCTCATATTTATGAATGAATGAGATGTGAGTAATCCAGATATGTAGTTGAAAGTGTTAAATTATTTACAGATACAGTACACCACATAGAGCACAAAATCCTCCAAAAGAAAAGAATCTTTTCTTTCTGTATCCTGTACTACAATTTGAAGAATCTCAGTAATATATCCGTAATATAATTGCATTTTAATACAAGCCATGTATATATATTTATCACAGTGCAACAAACGCTGTGTTTAGCAAATGGTATAAACATTCAAACTTTTATCAAGCAGGTGGGTCTTCGATGCTCCACTTTCTCAACAACTCTGATCTATACCTTAGATGGGCAAAATGATATTAATAACATGCCATACATTTCATCTTTACTTCTTGTAGTGTCAAGGGTTGTAGCCATTTCAAGAAATGTAGATGAAGCTTGTAGTACCAGGTTTTTCTTTAACAGATTCCTGTAATTGAAGAACTCCTTGTGCTTTAGTTTACAGCATTGAAACTGCAAATACAGTAATGTACAACAGTTTGGCAGGGAGGGTATTGTATTGGGCTAGTAACCAAATACAGTAGTACCAGGTTTCATTCCTTATGAGGAGGCAGTGTTAGTTTTAAGCTGGCTTCCAAAGCATAACCATATACAGGACTGTTCATTCCAGTGACTTGTATTCTTTAATTTGTTTATGTTTAAGTTATCATAGAAAAAACTATATAAGAATATCAGACAACTTTATACAATTGCCAATAATACTATGATAAAAAAATTACTTAAGAGTTGGCTGATTTCTTTCAAATAAAGCTCAAAATATAGCTAAAAAGGCCAATTTTCTTGTGCTATGCAAATCAAGAATTAAAAGAATTACAAAAATTATTGATTTCCTAAGAGTGTAAACAAATAATATGGAAACATTCTTTGTGCCAACAAAGTTATTGAGGTACATAAGAATGCCATTACCTGCCAGCACTTGAAAGTGTCAGCTTACACTGCTATGGTTAATGGCATATTTCTGGAAGGAAGCCCCCTGTAGCTCCCCAAGCTTAGCTCAACACATCAGACCTCTGGGACACATCTGCCATCTATTGGGAGCCAGGGGCCAGAATCTGGCAAATTCTATGAGAGGGTTTCGCGAGTTCTTCTACTCCCCGAGCCCGGCCTGGGGCCAGGCTCAACTTGTGATAACTTGGTCCAACTGGCTGTTGCTTGGAGCAGCCCACAGGCCTACCTATTCACTACAGCCTGGTTGGTCTGGAACTTCTTAAGTGTCTCTTGAAGACCTCCACTGACAATACTGTATTTCTAATGTTTGCTGGGAGGGTATTGAACAGCTATGGACCCCCTGATGTTCAGAGAGTGTTCTCTTATTGTCTCTATGGCACCTCTAGTAAGGGAAGCAGGGAATTAGAGATTTACCACAATACTTGTCATCCAACCAGAAAACCTAGACTGCCAGCAGATTTGGCAGGTTTCAGTCAGCCTGCCTTCTCACTCTTCCACCCCATATATCCTGTCAAGCTCCTGTAGTTTCTTTTGGGCTTATCATCGGCTTCTCTCTCTCACTTAAATGGTGCTTGCTTTTCCTGGAACATTAAATTCCACCAGAGACCATTGTTGTTTTATATTTTAGGTAACATGCTGGGTATGCTCTTTGTTGCATGTTTTCTAGCATTCCACTTCACTCTATCCATGGCCATGGTTCACTTCCCTATAACCTACTTAACTATGAATTAGCTCCTCTCGAGTCACCTTGTCTCCAGGCAGTGCATGAGATTTATTCTTCCTTGTGGGACCTGTTGATGGAGAAGAAACAGTCTTCTTGGCTTAGTGAAACAATAGCTTTGAGACATTTAGACTGTGCTTGTGCATATTAAAGGCATGCATATTGTACTGGTGTGTGCTCCTCTTGGAAGCCAGATTTTGGTCTGGGCTTCCAGTAGACTGTGGATAGATCATAGAGGCCTGGTTTGTTGAATGAAGACTCGATGGTTCACAGCTACTGGGGTCCACAAAAATGGTGAATTTCACTGTGGTCAATGCTTGATTTTTCCATAATATTTGTACGTTTTTACAATTTAACTAGTATTTAAATTATCCTAAACCAAGAATTACAGATACTGTACTGTACTTGTTAGTAGCAAATAATAGATTTTAGTGTATGTAACTTATTATTTGATTCATAGTTCTATTTATATTATTGTAATTACAGTACAGTACAGTAATTGAAAATTTTAATTACATTATTTTTACACAATATTAGAGTATGTATTTACATTAGACTAAATTTGTATCAGAGATGTTTTCCTTATTCCAGAGCTATTTGTGGGTTTCAGTGTATTTAACAGTATTAAATGAGTCAGAGGGATTTGGTACCTGCTGATTCAAGTGGTTTCATAACATAGTTTATACTCACTCAACTCAAGTGATTTTCAACTCGAGTTTATACTCACTTATAAATACTCAAGTGTAATTACAGGATGAGAGCTACGCTCGTTGATTCCCTTCTTCCCAGTACTGTACTCTTTGTCGTATTATGCTTTGAAACTATTGATGGTTTTGGCCTCCTCCACCTTCTCACTTAACTTGTTCCAACCGTCTACCACTGTTTGCAAAAAAAAAAAAAAAAAAAAAAAAAAAGTGTAGCCAGTGATGTGCATCCTTTTTTATGTGTAATGTACTGAACTTTAAGGCCAGTGCCTGTTGTTTATTTATAGGTAATGAAGCTTAATGAAATAATCAACCTTGAAAGTAAGGAATTACTTTCAAATGTTACTGCACTTAACTCTGAATAAACTCATTTGATTTGTCTTTTCATTGATTGTTCTCATTCTGGCACTGCACACATTTTGCATATTGGCGAAATATTGTATTTGGAAAATTTCTTGTTGGCTTTAAACCATTAACTGATCTAGTGCAGACAGAGTTCAAGCTGGAGATCTTAATAAACTTAAATAAATCTTGAGCAGTTTTATTAAACAAAGGTGAAGATGACTAAACCTGATGCTTTCACCTGATTGTTGTAATGTTAATGATTTTGTAGAATTTAGACCATCTTCTTTTATCCCTTTATCACATTAGTGTAATTTTCATTTATATCCATGAACACCTGTTAACACTAATCTAATACTGAATACTGTACATCTTTGATGCTTACTTCTTCTTTAAAATTCCTCTTACTAGTGGGGAGATCTTTTGTATAGTGTAATTTTCCCTCACATATTTCATTCATCAAATATAACATGCTTTCAAGATAAATATGCTTTTCATCTCTTGATGAAAGCCAATGTTACTAGTAGTCTTTTAGTAACAATTTAGAATTACAAACTTGAGGGATGAGTCAGATTGTGTACTAAATGCATGAAACATGTTTCCGAACATATTTCATGCCATTTACAAGTTTTTTCTCAGGGAGCCCCTTGGTAGCTGCCTAAACTCACTCTCTGAGATAACTCCTTTCTAATAGATGACATCAGTAGCAATTGTTCTGTTTGACTTACTGGAGACCAGGGCCAAGACCTGACGTATTGGCAACCAGTGTTAAGACCCGCCCCCCTCCCTCCCCTGCCAATTATCATTTCATAACGAAATTAGACAAAAATAAGCTGCTGATAACGGCAAAGCAAGTCAACAATCCAAGCGACAATGTTGTGGAGCGACTTATCCAAGACACATTGTTGCCTAAAGAATATTTGCTGGCATATCAGCCTCCTGTATCTACCTAACCTAACCAACCTACCCAAACATAACCTAACCTATCGAAACCTAAGTTAATATAACCTTTATGCAACAATATATCTTGGATAAGTCGGTCCACAACATTGTTTGGACCGTCACCAGCCCCTTATTTTTGTCTAATTTTATGAAAATGATACTTTTTCAGAGTAAAAATATGTTTTTCCATGTTCTACATTCAGCACCAACATTATAATGAGTAAATATATCATATTTATTCATTACTAACATAATGCCAGGAAGCTTTGGGTAATTAGACGAACTGCCCATTTTTGTTTCTCTGCTTCCTGTTGTCCATTCAACAGATGTGTTTCTGTATCTATATTCAGTATATTTTAGTGCTGTATATTAACGTCAAGTGACCCCAGTGCATAACTAAAAAAAAAAAAAAAATCCATGACACTAAAATGGATGTGTAAATATACAGAATAATACATGGCAACTCCTCCTGCTTGAATGGCCCAGGCAACCTCCATGGAGCAAACACTGCACAAACACTCGTGAACTGGTGACATCACAAGATGGGATTATATTTTAAGAATATTATAAACAAATCATTGGAATTTATATTTTTCTTGTGCACCAGTGGGGTTGTCATACAAGACAGAGATGTACACACACTGTAAGTGTTAAGGAGAGTAAAAGAAAGTTCTTCGATGTGTGTTAAGATTCTTGTAAAAATAATCTATAATATATAATTATATATACAGTACATGATTAGGTGTAACGAATGCAACAAAATATGACAAAGCCTATCACTGATATATGGTATAATGAACATATGATATATTAACAACTGTCACCATTACACTTCACAGGGGCTCTTGGTAAGAGTTTATTGATCACACTGATTTCATATATATATATTATGTATATTTTATATATATTTAAATATATATATAAAGAATTGTTCAAATACTTTTTCATGATGTATCAAACCTTCCATCCCATTGCCATTTATGTATATTTTACACTTAATGGATACAATGTTATATAAACACGTGTTTACACACTCTTATTGAAAATTATGAAAAGCTCTATATATATATAAATATCCTATACAAAAAAAATAGCCAAATATTTTTGCAGACTGTACTTGGTGTTCCATAATGCGGATAAACCAGGTTCAATTATTTACCGAGTGTGTAGTTAATGTATACACAAAATTGTTTTGAATCACCTGAAATTTTAAGTCTGGAACCTGTCATTACCAATTACTCAAATCTTTTTAAAACAATTTTACCAAGAAATGTTTTGAAGTATATTTCGGTCACAGAAATTTCAAGTAGACTTGGTATCCCTCACCACTAGAGATCCAACACAAGATTGCTTTTTATTTTGTTACTATCGTGTGAGGAACCACTTGGGCATACAGGGGTAAACCATCCCTCCATTAAGCTGCCAGCTCGGGTTAACGAAAAAAACTAAAATATGTATAATAATTTGGCATCCTAAAACATAAACATGTTTATGTGACAAGAGAAGTCTGGAAAATAAAGGTTTACTATAATTGTAAATAATACTCACATCACAGCTTTCAAGTCGATGTTAATTCACTAAATCTTGGTTGCGTAAATTAAATATAATTGCTGTACAATATATTTGTACTAGATCCATATGTTAGATAATGGTCACATCATAATTACTATTTATCCCAATAATACACAAAGTGCATGAATTATGATTCAGACTCTTCTTAACACTCATTACTTAAGTCATTTTGAAAATTTGTACAAATGTAAGTTTTTGAAGTGTTACCTTTAGGAAATATGGCATATTCAGCAAATCTTCAAGTACTATTTACACGATATTGCAAAGACTTCCCTCTTGCATTAGTTAGGGGAAAGCAGATTTGTGTAGACGTCATATGGTTAAGAAAAGTTGCATTTTGTACACATTACAGTCACGTGTATGAAACAAGTTCATTGTTTTTCCATGACAAAATGTTGCCATCTTAACTTTAAACAAAATTAACTTTCCCCGTAGCATAGAAAGCATGATCATACTAGTGCATAAACATTGAAACATATTGGTGTAGAAATTCCAAATCCAAAGGATTACATGTAAACATTATAAAAAGTTTTAATAGGTTCTAATTTGTTTGACAATTATACAATTGTATCAAGAGTAAATCTAAAATTTAAATTTTAAATTCTTTCTGTCCCAACATGAAACAAAAATTTATTATAAATTAGTTTGTCATATTTCCTAACCATGTTTCCAAAGAAATTTTTTTGTAGCTGATTGTTTCCTTAATTAAGACCAGTTAGTTATAAGCTCTTATAAAATCAGCTGCTCACATCAAGGGGTTGGTTTCTAATCGTGTGTAAATTTTCTTAAAAAAATCAAAAATAAAAAAAAAATTGAGATTCTTTCAACAAGCCTATAAAAGCTAGTGGTGACATGCTCACCTGCTTGACAACTGAATGAACGTGCAGTGTTCTTCAGGAAATGTTTCAAGCAAGGTGGGTTGTCAAGGTGCAGAAGTTAGTTAATATTGTGTTCTCTGCTTTAAATGCAGGAAAACATGACAAGACATGGACAACAGTAATAGGCAAGAGAATACAAATACTTATGATTTATAATTCCGAGCACTGTAATATCTTGTGGGAGATACCCCTTTCATTTTTAAATATATTTTCAGATTATGCAACGTGACTGCACAATTCAATTTTTCTTTTATTTGATGTACGGTCATTAACCAAACGTGATTACTGAAACCAAATAATAATTTTGTGACTTATCATATTTTGGAGAAATTTGTATGTCTACTTGTTAAATTATTTTGTTATATTTTATAACAAGATAGAATTAACAGGAATTTTAAAGGCTAAATAATGTTTCTCAAGCCCAGTATTACATCAATTGAGACAATTACAAATCCTGAAAAATTTTGGGCTGATTAAGAGATGTTTCAGCATCATTACTGTCACTATAACAATGGGATGACAGTGAATATAGCTTAATCATGAGTATTAAGCTCTATGCAATATGAAGATTAAGCTACCTTATACCGGTAACCCTCCCTGTTAAAATGTAGAAGCACCATTATAACACTTAGCAATGGGAATGTATTGGTAAGTGATGCGCCATCATGTCGTACAACCTAGTGAGAATCTTAAACATTGAGAAACATACCTTATGCGGCCCTACAAACACCTTGCATGAATTAAATTACACACTATTGCATCCAACGCTGGAGATTTTCCTGCAATGGGAGATTGTACTTGGTCTCCTGGAACCAGAATGAAGCACACTTTCACCATTGTACTAAACAATGGACAAACAATGAACTATGACTGCTTTTGGAAAATGAAAATCAATTGAACAGCTAGCTTTTTGGGGGCTCACAATACTGAAGGTGCTTGTCAACTATATGCCCATTTTGGGTGCCTTTGAATAATAACCTGAAAGCCATCCATTTGATTATGATTTCACTCTCCAAAATTGCAATCAACTATACATCATCCCATAACCTGAGAAGTCTTCCTGTGTCCACAGCTTATGTAGTATGATCAGCTATTTTAGTCCTTAGAGTTGGGTAAAGAAGTGTCTTTAGGGATGAATACAGATTCTAAAAAGCAAAAATAACTGACTATCATGGGCATGTGATCCACAATTTAACTCTTTAACTGCACTTGTATTTCAGCTGTCCACAAGTTCCCTGATAGCAATGAAATCAACCATATCTTCACCCGGACCTCAAATTCAGCATACTCTAAGGAAGCTGTCATTGTCAAGTTATTATCACTCTTAGATTTCAGACTCTTCAATAACGAATTCATACTGCACTTACAATTTTACTTCACTTCTCGCAAGTGGCTCCTGCCACTCTGGACCCATCACTCTAAATGGCGTGATAGACTGCATTAGCACAGTACTTCACAGTACCTCATGATAAATCACATTAGCACCAAAGCATTACACCTTATAGTCTGTCTCCAGGATTTTCATGAGGATTTGTCAGAAGGCAAAAAAGATGTGCGCACTCTTAGAATTAATGAAATGCACGCACAATACATGAAATAGTAAATGGATAAGTTACGTAAACTTCGCCGAAGTCAAGACACAGTCTATGGTTAAGACTTTTCACAACACTTCGTTAACCGCACAGAATTCCTCCTGCTGCCTGATACTTGCTGCATCTAAAGGTTTCCAAAAGCTGCACTCATGATCTGGTATAAGATGCACTGTATTTGCACTGCAAAAGCAAGGGAACAAATGCAATATTTGTTAACTTGCATGACACTTGTCTTACCAGGTTATACTGGAAAATTTTGTTATACTTGTCATATTCAAGCTACTCAATAATCACACTTGCAATACCAGTAAATTTCTCAACATATATGACACTGAGTTTCAAAATTCAGTTATCATATTTATATTAGGTTAAACACCACGATACTTTTCTTTGCCCAATCCAGATGTCCTGTATCCACTAGAAACAGTATACTGTATTGTAGTTTTTTAATGTTTAGCATCACTTGTTTTGTATTTTATAGACGAGTCTCTGTACACACTGTCTGCATGACTATCTCGTACGACACTTGCCAACTGCACACTCGACAGCTTCCTGGATGTTTATGAAAACAGGGATTCCATCCTTGTTAGCCTGGTCAGTGAGGTAACTTCTTCCCCTGTTGTAATCCTTGATTGCTAGTCTAGAGAGCTGTAAAGCAGAAAAACAATTAAGTTTCCTTTAGTATGGAAGTACTGTATAGACAGACAATACATACAGTTTACAATACGGAATGCTTCTGAATCTTGGCACTCTTTGCTCCCTCAGGTAAGATCCTAATGCAATGGGAATGTATTGGTAATCATTAACACAATATTCATAATCTTATTCATAATATTCATAATCATAATTCATAAACCTAAGTACAGTATACCCTTTGGTATTATGATTGGAGCACTTCTGTGGAACATTTAGATTTTTGGCACCCTGAAGTCAATACCTGATGCATAGGCCTATGCAGATAATTTCACACTTCATCTTACAGAAAATGTAAGAGAAGATAAATCACATTGGGGACGAAGATGGCAAGTTGCTGTTGCCCACAAAAACACTCGATGCAAAACTTGACATATAACTTGTTGATTAATATATTAAGCATAAAGATTGCTGGAAATCTCTCCTTTACTAAGATACATAAAAGATGTTACAGCTAAATGTGCTAGGAAAGTGTCATGTCCAGAAAGTTGTGTTTGCATGCGAAAAAGGGTGTTTAATGTTACACAAGTCACAAATGAGGTTGAGCATGGCATACTAATGTGACTGCCAGCATACATACTCCTTGTACATAACACCAATTCTGATACTTATTTCATCCAAAATATTCAAAATTATGGACCTCATTGTGGCCACAGGTTGGCAACCAAAGCATAATACAATAGTCACCCCAACAATTCAAACATCTTGTATAAATCCTGTAGTTTAATAACCCAAAATGGTATCCAATAATACTAAAACTGTAATAATAATAATAATAATAATAATAATAATAATAATAATAATAATAATAATAATAATAATAACAACTACTTTAACTCACCCTTTCTCCATTGACAAGTGATTCTTCAGTTATCATCTGGATGCAAAGTACAACATTACAACCAAGCCCAATGTAGTGAGAGGCCTGAAAATGTAAACAAATTGTAATTAAACGCTGATTTTTAAACCTCTTTACCAGTCAAATGACTCTACATTACTGCAATGATTTTCTAAGCAATAGTTGTGGGATTAAGAATGTAGCAAATTAGGTATGGAATAATTATAATGTAGACAAAAATAAAGAATTTAATAAAGAGTTAAGAAGGTGCAATTATTTTGGTATATAGAATAACATATAAACTGTAAATAAGTATGAAGCAAGTCTTTCAAGTGCAGTATTAGAGATGAAGTATATGGCAGGACATTGTTTAAAAAAAAAAAAAGTGTTAAGTGACTGACAAAATTTATATACAGTATATATATAAAAAAAAAGTAATTCTTTTCATATAAAAACTAGCAACAAAACTTACAAGTGCCATGGCTGAAACACCTCTGGTTGTGTCGGTGATAACAAAGAGCATCACTCTTGAGTGTTCCATCAGTGCAGCTTCCATTGGCAACAAACGTCCCGAGCAGGCACCTGCCGCAGGATTGAAGTATGTCAGCCCATGCTTCAGAAGCATAGGAATGGCGATATCTTCGCGCCAGGTTACTCGATTTCCTATAGAACCTCCTAAATAGATGTCTCGACCACCAGTGCTGTTGATTGGCCGCAACGGTCTGCGCGGCAACGCCCAACCTGTTTCAGAAACATTATCTTTCTAAATAATTTCAAATCATCATTTTAGAGGAGGAATAACCTGGTACTCTTCCCTTTACTTTTAACAGGGCTTTCAAAATTTTGTAGAATATTTATTTCACAGGATAAATAGACTCAATACAAGTACTGTACACACTAGCTCGTCCTTCCAAATTTCTAAAATACAAGCGTATTTGTAAGAGCAGAGAGGTTTAGACACAAGTTGCATCCCCGTAGTCCCCTAAATGTTTTCTAGGGCAGTATTTCATTTGAACTATACCGATACAAAATTTGTCAATTTTATAAGCCAGCTGATTGATAACAATTCTTGTATATATAAATAACTTACCTAATACCTTCTGTACAGAATGAGTGAAGACGTCCCACAATCTCCGGCTTTCTAAATGTTGGTTCTTAAACTCAGCAACTATACAGCAGAATTCATCAAATGTAAGGTATACGTCATTTAGTGGGAGTTCTGTACCATTTAGTTCTTGTATACTCATACCTATAATACAGTATGTACAAAAATATATAAATACTGTACTGTATAATTAAAAAAGTACAATAACTTAAATCATAATACCTGTATTGGTACAGTATAATACTATACCTATACAGTATTATGTGTAATATACAAAACTGTACTGTGGGAAATACAGTATTATATTATACTGTATTTCCACAGTGTTATTTAAGCCAATATAACAAAGGATCTGATTCAACAAGAACTCAAAGCAAGCAGAATGTAATATACCACACAAAAAGTGTTTTGTATATATTACACAGAGTGTAATATATATGTATGTGTATATATATATATATATATGCCATTATGTGTGTGTGTGTATGTATGTATGTATGTATGTATGTATGTGTATGTATGTATGTATGTATGTATGTATGTATGTATATATATATATATATATATATATATATATATATATATATATATATATATATATATATATATATATATATATATATATATATATATATATATATATATATATATATATATATATATATATATATATATATATATATATATATATATATATATTTGCAACAATGATAAAAAATACTGATCCAAGTACTGTATGTGGAAAAACCACATGTGAAAATTAGAGAATGCTTAACGTGTTTTTGGCTACATCGCCTTCATCAGAGTAAAGTAGAATGAACTATTCTACTTTGCTCTGATGAAGGCGATGTAGTCGAAAATGCGTTAAGCATTCTCTATTTTTCACATGTGGTTTTTCTGCATATATATTTTTTTTTATGTGCATGTAAATATTTTATGTGCTATATATATAATATATAGTTTATATATTATTTGTGTACAAAATTTGCAGAAACATCTATTGCATCATTTGATATGTTAGTATCAGAAAAGTCTTAAAAACAAAAATTATGCCAAAAACTAGCCATTATTCAAAAATAAAAATGATTTGTGAATTTGGATTTGATAGAGATTTTTTTAGAGATTCCACTATACTGTCAATTCTAGTTGCCCCAAAGAATAAATTTACCTTATGCTTCTTGCATGGTAACTTTAAAATAACAATATAGTTAGTCTTTATCATACATTCTGTACTCGTAAAATAAAAACTAAATAAACCCCCCCTTGAACTACAGACCAACCATTACCACCATTCCCTATTATCACTCCCATGGGGAGATAAACATTTTCTCAGTGATAAGAAAGCATAATGAGAAAGAAGTCTTAACATGTTTAAAATGACATCCCTATTTATTCATTATATTTTCCAACTTAAAAACCATCACTACCACACTAACAAGTCATTACAAAGCAGCATTCCACCACCTTGTATGACTGAATGTACGATGCTTTCTGCAACTTTTCTAACGAAGTTACTTACTACCTAACCAGTTAACTACCTGTACTAGTGAACATTTCGTAAAATGATATTGTACCGTACCTTTTTTGGCAGCAACAATATCTCGTAGCTCCTCCGTAGTCAGGTCCTTGTTTGTCACCACCTTATATGCTACACGAGCCTGAAATTGTTTGAACAAAATCATATACAGTAATTATAACTAAAGTACATAAGTACATTTATATTTTAAGCATAACAAATTTATAAACATTCATCTAAAAGTAAAAATTTCTTAAAGAAGTTGAAGTATCTGCCAAGAAGGCATTGTGGCAATATAAAATCCACTTATCAAGTACTAACAAATTTCCTTACACATCTAATATTTTTTCAATGAGCACATACCTCTGCTAATGATATTTGTTCTGAATTTGTGTTGACAAAGGTATCGTGCAGTTTTCTGAAAATTAAAAAAAAATATATTATTTAGTGCACTTTCTCTTACATTTAAAATCCTAATAATGATAGCATATCAAAGTAACAGAATGGAAAACAAATTATGTTATCTATTATCTGCATTTCATTTTTCAGAAGAAATGAACTGGATTAAGCACAGCGTGTCTTAAAAGTGAAAATGTAACTTTTTAAGGCCACATCACTATTATCATTCACTTTATACACTAAACCAATTGATCAAGTACTACAGATTCAGCTTTTGCAACCTGTCCCACAAAATATATACAGTGTATATATATATATAAATATATATATATACTGTACAGTATACTTTCCAGGATCTCCTCCATGAAACCTCAACATAACAAAATCACTGTTTATATATTACTTGAGTGTTTTAATATGTGCAAAGATAAATTCTATCTTTTACTACAAGAAAACTAGTAACAAAAAAAAAAAAAAAAAAAAAAGCTACTTTATTGTACTAATTTTTAACTTGCTGTTCTATGTATCATCAAATATGAGCTTCTTAAAATACTCATAGTACTAAAACGTAATTACGATTCGGGGGCTTTTAATTAGTGTTGAACTACCTGGTTGGAATGATAGAAGCAACAGATCCCATGTGACAATTTAGAGTAACCACTGGAAATTTTAACACCCGATGCATGCTGAATAAAAGTGACTCACTAAAGAAGTCCCTTCAGAAGTCAAATCATATGTGCCCCATATACACTCAAGCATCTTGCATAGTTATTGTAACTACAGACATTTACAAAAATGTTTTAAGCAATTTATTTACCCCATCACTACATACATACATTTGCATTACTGCTTTGGCAAAGTTCAATGGGTGGGTAAGCATCAGGCCAGAGAAAGTATATGAATAATTAGTGAATGAAGGATACAGATATCAACAAATAATTTGTTTGAAATGTCCCTTATCAGTTCACTATATCTCTAACACAATATATCATTAGTTATAAATAAGTTACCTCTACACTTAGCATTCATCTACAGCAGCACCTCCCTTCCTTCTGCCAATACATAGTCATTCATAAATAAAATCAAAAGTGCACAGTAAACTTACATAAGTTTATCTCCCAATTGAAGATAAGGGTATTTAATAGGTTGAACTTGATCTTCTGCACCCAAATCCTGAGGGTGAAGGTTCTCCCGTAATATCTGTGAACCAAAACAATTAGGTTCATATTACAAAATATATTATAAATATTTACCTGACAGAAATAACAAGTAAGTTGCACATGGTAAATGGGCATAAACAGTGAAGTTGTGACATGACTTAGTGTATTTGCTCTGACTTGACTGGGAATAAAGTATGGCTGACAGAATGATGCACAAAACTTTCATACAATATAAGTGGTATCACTACATACCATACCTTCCAAAATCAGTGAAAATACAAAAACACAGACAACATTCCAAATCTATACAACTACCTTTTGATGTGTGTACTACTGGTATGGAGAAATAAATGTGTGATAAAAGTCACAACTAGCTATATACTATTACTGTATACATAATACCAATTGAAACTGGAGTTGCACAAAACAATTTAACAAAAAAATAAGAATGAAGAAAAATGGCAAAAGGCTTATTTGTCCGTAGAAGGCAGCTCCTAGTAACATCTACCCAAGCTCATTCATATTCCTGTCTAACTTGCAGGAAACTTAACTTGAATTGAAACAATCAACTGATCCTATGGTAATTTGTTCCATAAATCAACAACCCTGTTTCCAAACCAGTATTTACCCAGGTCTTTCCTAAATCTAAACTTATACAATTTATATCCATTGTTATAAATCCTGAACAGTACATCAGTATAGTTTATGCCCTCCTTATACTTAAGTGGAGATGGATCCTTCTAAAAAAGACAAAAAGCAAATATACTGTAAGGTCAAGAAAAAGCTACAATCAATTTCAAGATTAAGTTAAACCCAAGACTTCCAGTTTGACTTCCTTTGTAGTCATACAAAATTTACATCAAACTATTGGTCATCAAACTAATCACTCCTTAAGCCAAACATAAACCATTCACTCTTGGATGTTTATTCCTATACAAATTTACATACTATAAATTTTTAGTTTAAGAAAATTCAAAGTTGCAATGTTTCCTTCCTGTTGAACTAAACATCATCACTCACTTTTTTGCAGATTATCAGTAGAGTATCTCACCTTAGCTGTACAGTTGAGGGCATGATCAATTTCATCAAAGACTGGGATTCCCTGACGCTCTAGCACGTCTTGAACTGTGTGGAGGCCACTAGTCAGATCTTCGTACTCTCTAAGATGATAAAAGGATTTTATGAGATTTTATACATGCTGTGCATACTTTCCAACAAGAATAAAAGAAACAAATGATCGTCTATCTACAGTACTTCCACCCTTAACCCTTAGACAACAGCTTTGTGGTAAATTTGGCTTATGTCATGTGAACTTTTCCCTATAGAAATTTGAGGAAGTTGCATTTTGATTGTAACACACTATAATTACTAAGATTTAACATATCTATGCCTATTATTACCTAATAAAAATGATGAAGTTGTTATTATACAGTACATAAAAACATTAATCAATAAAATTGCAAAATTTGAGGCACCATCACACCAAATAAATGTGTTACTGTGTTCAAAATGTTAAGTTTCAGAAAAGTTATTTTGAAATTGTCTTTGTTCACCAATCATACTCTGATGTACTCCATGCTAGGCTTAGATAAACAAAACAAAAATCCCTGAGATAGTGTCCATTTTTATCAGTTCATATGTGGCAGAAGATTGTCACTTCTATAGTAAGTGGAACAGGCTACTGTAAGTGGTAGCAATTATTGAGGCAAATACCTATATAGGCATAAACATAGGCAGCTCTGGTATTCACATTACTAACTCCCACCTGTAACAATTGTTATCTAGTAACTAACGTGGGAAATGAAACATAAAAAAGGTATCCTTCCTATCAGGAATATCCAATAAATAACAAATAATTGGATGCATTGTGACTGCACTGCGATCCAATTCTTTCTTTTTCAAAATAATAAGTCATCAAACACGCATGCATATAATAAAGATATGCTATTGTCATCTAATGTACTGTGTAACTAAAACTTATGTTATTTGATAAAATTTTTAGTAAAGAATACTTACAGTTCAGATAGAGCCTCCCCATTAATGAGCTGCCCAGGGCCAGCGTAGGAGTCCATGACAACCACCAACTTGCGACGGCAGCCAGCCATATACGACGCTTCAATCATTGAGGCAACATTTCGGGTATTGCGGTCCAAAACAAAAAACAAAACTGATGCAGTTTGTTTGGCTTGATATTCCTGCTCTATCAATGCCTCTTCCCAGTGAGACACTTGCTGTTGGAAAAATACACCCATGAGGAACAGATTGGACAGCACCATAGCATCATTGGAAAAAATGTACATTTAATAAACAATTTTGGTATTTAATGATTGAACAGCAAACTATTTTGCAGTCAGTAATAATTATACATTTAAAGCATTCTAATTCCAAAGAAATGGGTGATATAAGAAAAATAATAAGAAGTATGACATCTGTAAAATGACAATAGAAAATTTATTAATATCTAGAACATAAGTTGCATTAAATTTAAACTTAGCACTTGAACAAAATAAGAGGACACAGCAACACAGATTAATGTATATGGTACAGTGCTAGGTTTTCAATGCTAGGAAAATGACACAAGCTTAAGACTGTTTACCAGAACAGTTTCTTACCGGGTTATAGAAAGATATGCCTTGGTTTTTCAGCATGGGGATGGCTACATTCTGCCGCCATGTTGTGGGATTGCACGACCCACCCAGGAATACTTCATACTTTGGAGATGACTCACCTGAGCAAGAAGAAATACTTACATAAGTCACGCCATATAAAATTACCCGAATTGTAAGCTGTCTTTAAAAAATTAAAAAGAAAACAAAAAAATGGAATGAAAATAAAATACTGTATAACATATTTTCTCTTTTACTATTACTGTACAATACTGTATACCTTGGAGGAGATTCTGTATATAGTACTTGCAGTAGGTTCTGGGAGTTCTTGTACTCTCCAAGGACAGTGATAACTTGGTCCAAAAACCAGTTGCCTTCACACCACTTTTCACTTTTAGCATAAACTACTGTTGCATAAATATGCAACTTATATATAAATTTAGCTCCAAAAATTAAGCATCACTATTATATAAAGTTTGGGGCTTAATTTCCCTAGACTTTTAGCACTTAACCCCAGAATTAAAAAAAAAGCGTTGAATGTAATGAAACTCCATTTTCTGGGTGAGATCTGGAGGCTTTCCAGAGCTATCCAGGTTGATATGCTAATGTCAGACTTTGGCATCAGTCATGTGTATGGGCCTACCGGGGACCATGAGCCAGAACCTGGCCCCCTTACAGAGGCATGAGGAGCAATGACCTATAGAAACCCCCGTGTGGTTGGAAGCATTCTATGTCTGCCATCGACCAGGTTAGGCACCCAGAAAAGGTAGGCATCCCAACACAAACCCCTATTCTGGTGAAAATTGCTACAAAAAGCCGAACAAGTGGATAGAACTCCCCAAACAGTAACGAGCAAACGAGTATGACGTCACATGTCGCCGCGCTGCTGTCTGCACAGCTCCCCCCTTCCTGGGAGGAGGAATAGGTAGCCCAAGACCCTCACGCCTGCCATCCACACCCCAGTTCTGAGGCTGGATATCAAAAAATGCGAAAAAATGCCAACAGGAAGGAGGGAGGGAGGGAGGGAGGGAGGGTTGCCGGGGAACCTCCTGTCTCACCCAGAAAATAGTGTTCCATTACATTCAACGCTGGCTTTCTGTGGGGAGCCCCGTTGACTCCCCGGAGCTACCTTCACAAAGACGAAAACAAGAGGGACCTAACCCAGGAGGCGGGTTAGGTCCGTGGTAGGCCCACAGAACTCCATACACATGACTGATGCCAAAGTCTGACATTTGCATATCAGCCTGGATAGCTCCGGGATGCCAATGGGGCTCCCCCCAGAAAAATAGAAAAAAGAAAAGAAAAATAATATGTAAATTTCTGTGATTCAATATCTCCCCATCAAGTATTTGGAAAATCCTCAAGCACTCCTTCAAAATAGACAGCAAGAATAAAAAAAATAGTAATTATAATTAGCCTGCTCACTGCATACAATACAGTGGGTGCAGAATCTCTTTAATATGAATACCATCTCACACAATTACTATATGGTGTACTGAGAAACTCGTCATGATGACACAAGACACATCAGCTACATGAGGTCAGGAAGGAAAGCAATGATGCTCAGTGGCCAGAAAATACACATACAGTATATATATATATAAACAAATTCTGACCTCTTTAGATCTGATGGAAAACTGATGTAAACTTGGTGTGTAAACTTGTGCAAAATAAATAAATAAATAAACAACGCCAGTGGTGATCCGTTGAATAATCTCACGTAACCCAGTAATGGGTTCCAACCCTGGGTTTGTGGAACATCTGCATTACAGAATAAACAATTGCTTAGATATTTAGAGAAATTACCATTATTTAACAAAAATAGCAAATTTTTAATTACCGGTAGTTTACTTTGATAATCTCAGAATTTTAGTCCTATTATGGGTGACAATAAAGAAGGCTTTGCTTTAGTCGGCTAGGTCAATGAGTTGGCCGCAGTAGAATGTGTTGTAACGTGTGATAAACAATCAATGAAATTTGCTGATCGTCATAATCTCTCTTTTTAAAATTACTGTACATCTTTGAACAATTCTTAATACAGAACAGTATCAACAAGAGCCCTAAATTTCTATTCAGCAGACATAAACCAATCCAAAGAATGTGAAATGAGAAAAATCAAGTACTGTAGCTCACACAACACGATATAATCAAAAACTTTTCTAAAAGAGATGTAGATCTAAAATTAATGAATAGAAAATATACTTACTTGACATTTTTCTTTCACTTCTTTTCTTTTCCACACATGATTTTTCGGAAAGTTTGGAGAGGGGGGGTGGCCGCGGGGTCCTGGAGAAGAACGTCAGTTTTTAATGGTTTTGCACATTACTGCTGTACAGAAAACTTCCCAATGTTAGCGAGCTCGCCAGGAGATCGGAAACACATTCTGTTTTTACTGATACTGTTTTTATTAAGTTCTTTTATCATGATGTAATAAATGAAAAATTACATTCTACAGTACAATATTTCAGAAAATTTGAAGTACAGTACATACAGAAAACTTAGGCCTACTACACTGCAAATGAAAAAGTTCATAATTTGTGAAGTTTTGTGAGGAATTGATACTAATTTTAAATTAATTTGAATTGTTTTAACATTAAAATACATAATAAAGCCAAGAATTAGTGACAATGGAACTAGACATATAACAAATTTGCTCATTGGTCAGTCAATAACCAATCTATGATGCAAATATTACTTTACAAGTTCACATACAGTTGTAAAAAAAAAAGGTACAGTAATTAGACATCTTACAGTATTAACCAGAATTATTTAAAGGTATTTGAACCAGGAAAAGCATGACTTAAACACTAAGAATGGGTAAACCATGTACATTTCCTAACTGAAGATTGTCATCCTGTAATACTGTATTTATTTTCACGTAGACATAGCATGTTTGAAGGTCACAATTCCTTGTTTACAAGTTGTTACAAATGAAGGTTTAGGGGTTGTCATTTTAATATTAGTGATGTTTTTGAAAAATAAACATAAGACAAATACCAAGATTAGGCAAGGTTTACTTGAGGTACGATGCCACTCCTACGGCCCTGTTCAGAACCCTTTTTAGGGACACCGGTGGCCAGATAACTCATTTAATTTTGTTTATTTTAGGCTCAAAATGAATATAGATGGAGAGGCCTGCATTATAAAACTAAAACTATAATTCTTCTTAATTCCAGAATTAAAACAAAACAGATTATTCACAGTTAGTTACCACAGTGGATTCAGAACATAGCCCTAAGTTTCATATTAACTCTAGGTACTCAAAAAATGGGGCAATGTGAAGTTGTCATAGGATTACAGTACTGTATATCAATATTGAGGACCAAAACAAGTCACGTATGTCCACCCCAAAACACAAGTAATTGGAAAATGATTTGGTAATAACTTTGGTGGGTACATGTATACGTGTATATGTATACTTTATCTGTCTGTGTATGTGTGTGTAATTACCTAAGTGTAGTTACAGGATGAGAGCTACGCTCGTGGTGTCCCATCTTCCCAGCACTCTGTCATATAACGCTTTGAAACTACTGACGGTCTTGGCCTCCACCACCACCTCACTTAATTTGTTCCAACCGTCTATCACTCTGTGAAAGTGAATTTTCTTTTATTTCTTTGGCATGTGTGCTTAGTTTAAATCTATGACCTTTTGTTATTGAAGTTCCAGGTCTCAGGATATCTTCCCAATCAATTTTATCAATTCCTGTTACTATTTTGTACGTAGTGATCATATCACCCTTTTTTCTTCTGTCTTCTAATTTTGGCATATTTGATGCCTCCCTTTCTTCGTAGCTCTTGTCCTTCAGTTCTGGGAGCCACTTAGTGGCATGTCTTTGCACCTTTTCCAGTTTGTTGATGTGCTTCTTAAGATATAGGCACCATACAACCGCTGCATATTCCAGCTTTGGTCTAACAAAAGTCATGAACAATTTCTTTAGTATTTCTCCATCCACGTATTTAAAAGCAATTCTGATGTTAGAAAGTGTAGCATAGGCTCCTCTCACAATGTTCTTAATGTGGTCCTCTGTGTGTATTCACCTAGTTGTTCTTGTGGGGGGGGGGGGGTTAGCTCTGCTCTTTTGGTCCGCCTCTCAACTGTCAATTAATCAACTGTAACTACTAACTAATTAGTTCCCCCCCCCCCCACACACACACACCCAGGAAGCAGCTCCGTAACAGCTGTCTAACTCCCAGGTACAGTACCTATTTACTACTAGGTAACAGGTAGGTGGGTGGGTGGGTGGGGGTGTATTCACCCAGTTGTATTCACTTTGTTGTGCTTGCGGGGGTTGAGCTCTGCTATTTCGGCCCGCCTCTCAACTGTCAATCAACTGTTACTAATTACTAACTATTTCCCACCCCCACACACACACACACACACCGCCCCCCCCCCTCCCCTACGAAGCAGCCCGTGGCAGTTGTCTAACTCCCAGGTAACTGCTAGGTAACAGGGGCATCAGGGTGAAAGAAACTGTTCTCCTACCAACCCATGTTGCAACTGGTGTTAGGAATCTACAGAACTGCCATGAAGATATTCAGCATATCCTCGAAGCCCAGGGCCATTCTGTCCTTCAGGTAGATTTTTCTGCCGGCTGCCGGGATCGAACCCCTCTCCACAGGTTCACGAGTCTAGAGTGCTGTCCACTCAGCCAGCCAGCCCCTGAACACTATTGCCAACAGCATTTGGTGTTCCCAGGCGGTCACCCATCCAAGTAGTAACCAAACCCAACATTGCTTAACTTCGCTGATCAGACGAGAAGTGGTGTTCTCAACGTGGTATGGCCGTTGGCTCTCAACGTGGTATGCCTGTTGGCCATACCACGTGTGTACACGGGGTGGGTGGGTGTGGGTGTATTTACCTAGTTGTGTTTGCGGGGGTTGAGCTTTGCTCTTTCGGCCCGCCTCTCAACTGTCAATCAACTGTTTACTATTTTTTTTTCTCTCCAACCCCCCCCCCCAGGAAGCAGCTCGTGACAGCTGACTAACTCCCAGGTACCTATTTACTGCTAGGTAACAGGGGCATTCAGGATGAAAGAAACTTTGCCCATATTGTGTGTGTGTGTGTGTGTGTGTGTGTGTGTGTGTGTGTGTGTGTGTGTGTGTGTGTGTGTGTGTGTGTGTGTGTGTGTACTCACCTAGTTGTGTTTGCGGGGGTTGAGCTCTGGCTCTTTGGTCCCGCAACAGGGGCATTGGTGTGTGTGTGTGTGTGTATGTGTGTACTCACCTAGTCATGCTTATGGGGTTTGAACACTGGCTCTTTGGGACCACCTCTCAACTGTCAATCAATCAACTGCTCCCCCCCCCCTCCCCCCCACACTCTATCACCAGGAAGCATCCCGTAGCAGCTGTCTAACTCCCAGGTTAGACAGATTTACTGCTTGGTGAATAGGACCATCAGGGTGAAAGAAACTTTGCCCATTTGTTTCTGCTTCTGCTGGGGATCAATCCCCAGACCCTAGGACTATGAATCCCGAGTGCTGTCTACTCAGCTGTCAGGCCCCTGACCGTCAGGTCAGGTCACGTCGTGTGTGTGTGTGTGTGGGGGGGGGTGTTTTGCTTGCTGTGTAGGTGTTGGTTACTTGAGGCCAGTGAGGGGGGAGGTGTGGGTGGGAGGTGGCTGTTGACAAAACTTGTTATTACCTTCTAGTGGAATTTTCCTGACCGTGTATACCCAAGCTCAATTTGTTCATTATGTTTTATGAGATCCTATATTTGTGTATGTTACATGAGCACAACATTTTTGTGTTTTTCACCAGAAATTATGAAGTGGGGACTATATACATTAGGAGATGACTTTAATTTTCAACTATGTTTTAGGGCTTAAGTACCTACTGGTTTGTCATTACTTTAAACTTGTGGTACCTTTAATGACCATTGTGGTCCAAAATATATAAGTTCAACACATAACCTAAAATAATTGTGTTATTTATAGTCCTATTATATAAACCATTTGAACTAGGCCTATTGTTGAGAAACCTGAGCACTGTGTGAAGAAATGGTAAAAATATGTAGCATAAGCCTTAACTGAAGTTAAATAATGTATATGAAACAGGTCACAAAGAAATTTGAGTTTGCACCATGATGAAATAGGCGATTCTCCCAGGTTATATCTCATGGGTCTCACTCATAGGCCTATCCAGATTCTTACTGTTATTTTGTAGATTGTTTTGTTTGCACCACTAGAAGTGAATTCCTTACTATTAAACAAACAATATATACTGTATTTCCAAAGATACAAGCCCTAACCTAATTACTTATCAAGCTAAATATTGTACTAGCATTGAAAAACACCCTAATTAAATTTGTATGCGAGTTTACCAGTATGACTGTACAATATATCACTAGGAAGGGATATGAGGACAAGCAGCTGTGATATGTGGGCAGAGTACGGGGGAAATCCGGGATCAATAACTGACCGTGCAAAGAGAGACAGGCTTGTAGTTCTGCATGCAAGCTGATTAGCTGTTTTGATAGACTACAGATGTCACCATAATTACACAAAACACATGTGAGATAAGTACATATTTAACACAATACTAGCACGGACTTACTCTCTGTCGTAACATTGTCGGAGTTCGGTGGTGAAGAGGCAGAACTCTCCGAATGTTAGGAGGTGGCCTGCCGCCTCCCTCGTCGAGCACTCCCGCGCCACGTGCAGCATCTCATGCACTGTAAACACAAAACACCAATAAATACAACAATCTACTTTATTATTAATATTATTTGGGGGGCATTATTGCTTAGTCAATAGGGAATAGCTTTGGGATGATGGTGTGGTAGGGAGGGAGGAAGGGGGTGAGTGGGTGGGGGGTCAACGTGCGGGGTGACCTTGTCCTACCTTTACAGTCCTCCGCACGCCCCCCTCCAGCCCTCCCCAGCGTTCAACTCGGCTCATGCCGCCGAACCTTATCCGCCTTGTCGGCAACTTGACCTTACACGACTGGTCTCATATGCACCGAGCCGTCGGCACGTGCACGCCGGTGAAGTGAAAGGCTCCCTGCGACAACTTTAGGAGACACATTCCAGGTTCCCGGGCAGCAGTGGGTGTCCTCGCACCAGTCACGGCCTCAACTTACTAATATGGACACCACACCAAAAATGTCCTCCAGCACCTACCGTATACTAACGTGTTAATACAAAAACTGAACAAAATCTGACGCGCCACGTTTATGCCACTGGCATGAAAATGTGATATACAAACACTTATACAGTATTCATATATTTATACGCAATTATTTTACACTGTCTTCATTCAAGACGGTGAGGAGGACGAAGGTTGTGATGTGATCTGCATAACGATGGTCCTGCTACTCCACCTTACATAAACGATGTCATTGGGCCAGCGGCCGTCCACACACTGTACCAAACCTATGTATACGAACGACCTCATGAGTGGCAGCACATTAATTTGATGTTGGCCTGCGCGCCGAGTATGAGTGCGCACTATGCCTTTATATGATCAACAATGTGTGTCAGCACTTTAATCGCGTGCTGGATTGCACAAGAACATGTCTACTGAAGGATGCTTTAGTGAGTGGGTAGCAAGTCAACAACACCTGTAACACCCAAGACGACAACACCTGTAACACCCAAGACAACAACACATGCAGACACCAGTTCCTCTTAAATCACCTGTGACCCTCAACCGGACCCCCAGCTTCCTGGAACACTTCCCGCTTCCAGTAATTATTTTCACCGTGGCAGCCTTGTCCAAACTTTAATATGTCACTGGCTACATAAAGTATACTTGTACCAAACAGCCTCCATTTAATATATGTTTGCCAAGTCATAGAGTGAAGCTTAACATTTTGTAATGGTACATACGAAAGCACACGGTCATCCTGAGGTTATCTTGAGATGATTTCGGGGCTTAGCGTCCCCGCGGCCCGGTCCTCGACCAGGCCTCCTTTTTGTTACACACCCCCAGGAAGCAGCCCGTAGCAGCTGTCTAAATCTCAGGTACCTATTTACTGCTTATCAGGGTGAAAGAAACTGGGCCCATTTTGTTTCCGCCTCCACCGGGGATCGAACCAGGAACCTCAGGACTACGAATCCGAAGCGCTGTCCACTCAGCTGTCAGGGGTCCCCGTCAGGTGGACGGGGCACCCACGAACGAACTTCGATTCCCGATAGGCAGAAACAAATGAGCAGTTTGTTTCAACTAATGCCAGCCTCTGTTTGCCTAGCAGTAAAAAGGTAACTGGGAATAAAACAGCTGCTGCTGGCTGCATCCTGGGAATATGTGTGTGTGTGTGAGAGAGAAATATATGAAGTACATATGATTTGAGGAAATATGTTGGGGATCAGTACATTAGACAACCGACGGCTAGAAAAACGGGGTCCAAGAGCTAACAGGGCGTGAGGAAAGGATGAGGCAGAACATCACCACAATCGAGGAGGTATGATAGCGACATTAAAGATTCTCAGGGGGGAACTGATAAGGTTGATAAGAGGTCATGCTCTCTATAACGCAGGGTAGAACAGGGGACATTTATAGAAAACTACAGGAGGTAAACAATTCACAGGGATGTTATAAATAATTTGTTTATATAACTTAATGAACAATGGCACTGTATTAGATGGATAGCTGAATCAAATTCAGTAAATAGTTTCAAAAACTGATACGACAGGAAACTGGGTTGCGAATCACTGAACAAGATAACGGGGCAGCAAGTAAGGCAGAGCTCAGGAGGTTAGTGGTCGACCCTACATATACATTTAGGCGAGTACACAAGGGGAGAGTGGCGGTGGGGCCTCAGATGACCTTAAACACACACACCTTACCTCTCCCACGCATCTTGTCTCGGTACCTTACAAATCTCCATCACTTCACACATTCACTTTCTTGCAGCGTCACACAATACACCATATATATATATATATATATATATATATATATATATATATATATATATATATATATATATATATGCGGAAAATCCACAGAGAAATATGAAATGAGGTGAACGTTTCGGCTTTGTTAAAGCCTTTTCTATAAAGGCTTTATCTATACCTTTTCCTTTTCTATATATATATATATATATATATATATATATATATATATATATATATATATATATATATATATATATATATATATATATATATATAGAAAAAAATATATATATATATATATATATATATATATATATATATATATATATTCATCATTCGTCAAAAAACTTACATAGTTATATAAATATTAGCAAAGGCTGTCAAATGTTTATACCTTACATAACATATGCGTTCAAAGGTTACAATTCCATGATGTACAGATACGTGTCCCACGTGGGAATAGTTTTCCACCCCCCCCCCCCACGGGTGACATGGAGTCCAAGGTCGAACCCAGACACCACACACGTCCCCCACACCACACACACACTCACACCTCCAGCAACAATTTCTCCATCTCGAGTTTATGCTGACGCTTGAAAAACAACACGCGTCACAGTTCATCGGCAGCAACATTTTACACTTCCAGCCAGAACACCTTAAATTTATCCCCCATACATAATATAATTGTATAGCTTTAATTTTTTTTTTTTTTAATTTTGCCCCGAGGGGCGAGTTTATTGGGCAGCGTCACTCATCTTGTGAGTGGACACACCGCCATAGTGACAGTATTGGGCAGCGTCACTCATCTTGTGAGTGGACACACCGCCATAGCAGCATGTACAACACTCCCCAATAGGAAGAAAACCCGCTGGGTTGTTCATCCTGTCACTTGTATTGTATAACTCATTGTGTCGGGGGACAGGCAGCCCGAGTGTATTCATACACGTTAAGCTTATATTGAGGTTCCCCGCCCCCCCCCCCCCCACATCAAGGTATAATTACCGACCATACCCAGGATGAAACCCCATAACAAGCTGACTAACTCGTGAGTACCTGCTCACTGCTAGGTGAACAGGGACATTAGGTGATAGGAAATATACCCAACTATTTTGTGTCCCGCCCGTGATTTCGAACCCGGAATTCTTAATTTTGAGTCGAAAACGAACCAGACTGTACTAACGGGGAACATATTACATATTACAAAACCGTAACCGACCACCATGCCCAATAGTCCCGAGAATGTTTACAATGTGAGTCCCTTAAATTCCACTAAAGCCACTCACAGTTTATATGGTGCTATCAATAGCTACCTCAGTGAGGAGCCCAAGTGTGAGGACGGGTTGAGTAATATGCGTACATAGTAACGAGGGTCCATAGTGAGGGGGCTGAGAACGCTACTCCCTGCCCTCGGGGCCAGAGGTCTAGCCAAGATCACCTCACTGTAACCTGGAGATAATACCAGTAGTGGGCGTGCGCGGCAGGCTGTTATGGGCGTGTGGCGTGCCCCGCCCATGCCAACCGCTGGGTGACGCCCATGAACAAGTGGGCGCGGCAGCTCAAGCCTTATTATTACGTTGTAAGTGACCTGCCAACACTCACTATGGCCACAACAAAACTGTGTGGACCCATTGGGACTCGAACTCGCGAACATATATTACCTAACAGGCTAACGAAAGGAAAAACAATTATTTAATAAAAAAACAAACACAGAACTTGTAACAACACTACACATTCCGTATTAACCATTGTCATTATACTCATTTGTGCGGGTCTGCTACACTCACCAATCACCTACGCCTTCCACCGGACCACCAAATATACACCTAAAAGGCAGAACGACGACACCTCAGCCTACTATACACCCACACCGTAAACCCACCTGTTTCCCTCCACTGCGCTGGTCACGCTAATAGCGTTTGCAACACCAGAGTTTACGTTATCAGTGATAGCACAACCCTTAAAATATCTCTGACGCTTTGTTTACGACATTGGGGATAAATCAGGGCACTTCAAATTAAGAACACTATATAACTACTGCATTTGCTCTACGAAAATAGGAGGGTAAATATGACCCACATATTTTTAAGTTTGTGCACCTAATTAATAACAATACTCGTACGCACAAGAAATTTAAATAAGTAATTTCGACAAACAAACGCTATGCGACCATTTATCTGCTCACATTATAGGTACACGCTCATATGAGTTGGCTATATGCATTAAGGAACTAATTTGTGTAAATAGCAAAACAGACTATAAAGTAACATGCAGTGGGAGCACGAGGCGCAGTGCCGTAGAGACGATTATGTCGACCAGGAAGGACAACACTGTGTGTCACGGACCATGAGGCTGGGTGGGGGGCGGTGATCTGGGGTGAAGGGAGGAGTTTGGGGCTCAGGAGTGGGAGGAGGGGAAGGTGTGTGAAGCCAGAGGGTTGGAGGTGTGTGAACATGGTGACAAGTGATGGGTGAGCTCCCTCCCTGATGTCTCTGTCACTCACTCTCACAGACGCACTTGTGCCCCCACCCCTCTCCTCCCCCCCAGTTACTGCTATGCTCCCTCCCTCTTTTTTGGATCTGGATTCTATTTTGCCCCTTGTGTGTGTTCCCTTGACCAGGGCGTGTTCCTCAGATGATCACTTGCACGTCAGGACCATTTGCATTGGTGGCTAGGGTCAAGAGGCAGCGTGGGCGACTCCCACACCCACACACGAGCTGTGGCAGCATTCCTAATCCCTTTTCTCCTCCGCCCACCACCCAAACACACACAAGCTGCACACGTCTTACCGGCTAATATTAACCCCATCGCACCCAGCCACAGATATTTACGTCCCC